TATGAGGTACGTCCAAGGGCCTTAAAGACCGTTTTTTGTAGGACGTACTTCATACGTCAGCGGTCCATCCGGGGTAATATCTTGACTATAAAATGTATGCTAAAATTTTGGCAACTCGTTTATCTCCTTTACTTCTAATATTGTTAAAAATCGATCAGATGGGATTTATAGGAGGGTGTCAAGCTACAGATGCCACTCTTAAAATCATATATATGATTTTGGTGGCTGGGAATTCTAGGGCGGAATGCCTTCTTGTGTCACTTGACACAGAGAAGGATTTCGATCATCTTAATTGGGGCTTTCACTTCCAAGTTTTGGAGAAATTGGGTCTGCCATATAGATTTATAAAAGCTGTTATGGCTTTATATTCTAACACTATGGCAGTTTTACTTCTCTCTGGCTCAGTGTCACAATCATTTACAATCAGTAATGCACTAGACAGGGGTGCCCTTTGTCTCCCCTGTTGTATATTTTTGATTTAGACCCTTTGGCATATAGGATTAGAACGCATATAGCAATTAATGGAATTTCAATGCCCAATTTCATCTCGCAAAAGTTAGTTCTCTTTGCGGATGACATTCTCATAGCTTTAACTAATGCTACTCAGTCTTTACCCTATCTTAAGGAAGCACATATTTTTTATGTCATAAAGTGAACTCGAAAAAAATCACAGGCCCTATCCGTTAATATATCAGAACCACAATTATCTCAACTTTAAATGTGATATATAAGTTTGATTGGAAGTTGACTTTTATTCAATATCTTGGGGTAAGATTGTATGCAGACTCGGCTTTAAAAACTTTAAATATGAAAAATGCATGGGTGCAGGTTATAGGGGATATGGAAAGGTGAGGAAAAATTTAACTATCCTGGTTTGGTCACAATGCCTCATTTAACCCCTTAAGGCCACATGACATGTGTGACATGTGATGATTCCCTTTTATTCCAGAAGTTTGGTCCTTAAGGGGTTAAAATGATGGCACTTCCACAGTTCCTGTATCTATTTAAAACCACCCCTCTTTCCTTCCCCCCTCTTTGTTAAAAGATATCCAGTCATATATAATTAAATTCATACATGCTCATAAAAAACTGAGTTACTTTAACTACGTTATATAGTTCTAGACAAAAAGGAGGTATGGGGGTTCCAAATCCGACTCATTATTGTACAACTTCCTTTATATCACAAACCTTGTTGTATTGCTCAAACGTGGAATCGGTGTCATGTGTTGATCTAGAGGATACTTATCTGAAAAGGGGAAGGGTATCCTGGTTCTTATGTTCAACATCTGAGCTACCCAAATTTCCGGCTTTACTTCCGACTACTAGTTATAGTTTAAAAACATGGAATAATTTGCAAAGAAAGATACCCCAACTTCAACCAATCTCACAATATGCTCCGTTAGAGATTTTAGAAACAATTATTCCCGAATTAGATATCTCAGGCTGGGTGATGGCTGGTGTGGAAACTATGGATCATATGCTAAGAGACACCATATTGCCCTTTACATCTTTACAGTCACAATATAACATTCTATATCGTGATGTTTCGAAATATCTTAGGATTCTGCATTTTCTGGCATCTTTAACGCTATCTAGAGGATCATCGGCAGATGCCGTTTTTTCTAACTTATATGTAACCAATCCCTAATATCCTCAATATACTCAGAGAAACTTTCTTTTAAATCAGGATGGGAAAAGGAGTTAGGCCGTTCAATTTCTGACAAAAATTGGATGTCCCTGTTAAGATTCACCACAAAATCTCAAGATGTACACAATATATAGAACTATCATACAAACTGCTTACTAGATGGTACTTAACCCTGGTCCGATTACAGCATATGTATCCAAGCGTCTCTAATCGTTGTTGGCGAGAATGTGGGATGATTGGCTCGCTATCATATCTGGTGAGATTGTCAAAACATTTCTTGGGTGTGGAAAAAATTACATGATGGTATTCCAGCTAATCTTCAGGGTCTGCATTCCCTTTTCTTTAGAGGTAGCATTGTTAAATAATTATCCGATAACAATTCCCTTACAAACTGTTAAGACTTTTATTGCTGAAGTTCCTTCAATGCAAGGTTTATTAAAAATGTTTTATAATATAGGTCAAATGGAATATATTGCATATTCAGCTACTAATTCTTTGTTCAAGTTCTGGAAAATCTGGGGTCCTATATTAGAGGAAAGGGTAAGAGAAGAGGGTGGCTGGCTGAGAATAAAACAAAGAATAAACTTGGATAATGACACAGAGGCAGGTATTAACATAAACATGTAGGGAATTTGGAAGTAAGATGGATTTGGCTTACAATGTACCATAATCAGTTAAACCAGAAAGTCACAGTTTTTTATCTCTACTCATGATCTCTACTTTTAACATTAATTGAAATTGTGTGTGTGTGTGTGTGTGTATATATATATTTTTTTCTGTATTATCTTTCTATATTATTTTGATGTAGTATCTTGTATTTTTAAAATTTATTTTGGTTTATACTCTAATATGTGGCATATTTGTCATCTATACTAAATTCCTTGCTTTCCCTCCCTGTTAATACTCAGCTGAGGACTCTCAGGACCATCTTCCATATTCCCACTGTTCTGCTCTGGATTCCCACATAGCTTTGTAGAATGCAGGATGAGGGGGATAATAATCACAGTTGCTTAGTTATTATTTGATACTTATTGCTAAACAGTGTATAAAGATATGAACAGAACAAATAACTAGGAAAACATTATTGGGATTGACCCCTATGGCAGACAGTCTATTTCAGTTCAGTTACAATTAGTTAAATGCCATTCTTCTTTATATATTAAGCGCCTAGACTAAGTGGTGATGACATTCCCTTCCTCCTCATTTTCCTTTACGTTTAATTTTTGGCTGCTTATTAAAGTCTTTGTGGGTCATAACCAGCATTGGGGGAAGCATAAAGTAGCTCCTTCAATTTATTTTGAAAGTTCTTTAAAAAATAAATAAATAAATAAAAAAGCAGTTTGCAAAAAAACAAACAAACAAAAAAAAAACAACAAATTTTCAGAATTTGGGTGCCCTGGGAAGTAATGTTTAAGTGTATTTTTCATTTTAGTAATAGTATGCATAGATAGCACATTATTAAATGGAAACAAAAATAAAATTTTGGTTGAATGGAAAATAATAATAATTTAGCAAATAATTAAGTTACAGACAAGGAAACAGTGTTTTAAATAAATATATAAGCATTGTAGAATTAGAATATATGTTATCATATTGCCATGGTGTTGCCTGGAACATATCACCCTCATTGCAGCCATGCTGCTTCTTTGGGCACCCACATACAAATCCATCCACACACACATATATACACTGATGCATGCATGTATATAAACACAGATACACGAACACACATACACGCGTTTATGCGCAAACAAACATATACACCGATATTACAAACACACTCACTGATACAAACCGAGTGACTTGTAAAAGGCTAATAAAAAGAGGGCTAGCATACCCTCTTTCAAATGTGGTAAGATTGGGAAGTCAAAATAAAAGCACAGGAAAGATAAAAACAGAATACCAAATATAGTGCAGATGGTAATAAGACTGGGTTGACATGGAAAACTGTGCAATGGATTCACTCACATGGATTGGAGACTTAAAAAAGGGCTCACTTTTCACCCCACCTTGCTTCATATGGATGTGGCGAAAACCACTGGTTTTTGGAGGGGCCTGTTTGCCAGCCTCCTGCCCTGCGACTATGGCCCTGGGATGTGTTGCCCTTCTAGGAACTGATGTGGGCATACTTGATTTTATTATGCTGCTGCTGGCCCTTTAAGAACCATCTGGGGACATACTGTGGAGTTACTGGGCGGCTACCATTTCATGTATCAGAGGCACATGGTGAGAACAATGGATGAAGCACATGGCGAGAACAATGGATGGCGGCCATTTTAACTCACAGACACTGTTTGGACTTTTCTACACGGTGCCATCTCGCCGGTATTTGGTGCACAAAGACATCGTGCAGTAGTTTTAAACTATAGAACAAGGGACACATTTAACAGTAATTATTTTTCATATAGCCTGTATATGTTCTGCGGAATCTGCATTAAACTGTATCTTCCAAACTACTGAATGGATCTGTGTGAATTTTGGATATGTGGTTCACCCAGATCCCCCAGTTTTTATGGGGTTATTGCATGTTTTGGCATCCCTGTGATATGTTTTATAATACTGTATTTCTCTGCCTGTGATAATTATATTAACCATTGTGTTCAGTAATCATATCACAGGCAGAGGGGAGGATTTTGTGTGGGAGTGTCTGTGTGTATTGTACAGATTGATTGGTTGCATTTCAAAACCCTGTGGGCAGTACTATGTTTGTGGATTGTGAATAAAAGAGGCTGTATGTGCCAGTACAGTCAGTTCTGCTTGACCTCAAAACGAAGTGTCGTCTCGTTATTGGGGGAATTGGATTGTATGCTGATTGCCAGGAGTATAAGCCAATTGTATGCTTTTCCTGTGCAGCTGCTTACAGCATTCATATGCTTGAGAGAAATCATATGCTTCTCCGGTTCGGTGGTTGTGGTGTCTTCTGCAGTGCTTGGAGTCCTCAGGAAGCGCTAGAAGCATCCTTCAACAGAGGTACCCAGTCGGGGTGCCAGGTGATCCGTTACAATGGAATATTCCACTCTTAAGGAGGAGAACAGAGAGCATAATAAGCATATTGCACTATTATAATAAAATATAATTGAGATATTACATTAAGCTCACCTTGATTAGAGGCTTAGAAATCTCTGGCTCTAAGGTTTAAAATCTTTGTGTCACTTTGTGTAGTGACACTTCCCCAGTTGTATACTTGGAACCTGGATACCAGTACTACAATCTCAGGCACAGAATAGCAGATATATATATATATATATATATAGACACTCACAAAGACACCAAAAAAAAAAAAAGTCACACACACACACTGCCAGTAACACACACTATCAGACACTCAAACACATATACATGCTGACAGACACACCCACTCAAGCACAAATTTAGAAACATCTATATAGATTTACTGAACAAAATTATCAACACAACAATTGTTTTTGCGGAACTCAAAGGTCGAAGACTTTTTCTATGTACACAAAAGGCCTATTTCTCGCAAATATTGTTCACAAATCTGTCTAAATCTGTTATTGAGCACTTCTCCTTTGCCGAGATAATCCATCTACCTCACAGGTGTGCCTTAGGCCACTTCAACTGCCTCTCTTCTTACCATGAAATGGTGGTTCCCCACTATTCCTCCAGTTTCTAATAATACGTCGGACAGTTCTTAACCCAATTTTAGTAGTTTCTGCAATCTCCTTAGAGGTTTTCTCTGTTTGATGCATGCCAATGATTTGACCCTTCTCAAACAGACGAACATCTTTTCCACAACCACGGGATGTCTCTTTCGACATGGTTGTTTAAGAAATGAGAAGCTACTCATTGCATCAGTTGGGGTTAAATGACTTGTGCCAGCTTCAAGATAATCGCCCATGCAGTAACTATCCAATAGGAGGCACTTACCTATTTGCTTGATTAATCCAGATGGCGACTTTTCTTTTGGCAAGGCAGTTTATATACCCCATTGTGGTGTAGTGGTGGCTGTTGGCAGGATTCATAGCTGTGCCAGCTTCCCCCAGCATTCTCAGCCACCCTCCAATTACCTGCTTCTCCTAGAAAGCTTTTATACAGCAGCTCCCCTGCTCCCTGTGAAGACAGGAAGAGGGGAAAATGAGCTGTGCCAGTAATCACCCCTCTCAACATTATGAGCAAGCTCAGAAGACCCAAAGACCCCCTTGGGTATAGCTCTTCTTCCCAGCAGCATTATCTGCTCACGGAGGAACAGAGGATAGGCAGCTTGCTCCTCCATACAGCAGCATTCAAAAGTCAGTGTGAAATCGAAAGAGAGAGGCTGCTGCTGAATTCTGTCCACGCTATCCCTCCTATTAGGAAATCACAGGTCTAAGTAGAAGAGCTGAACAGTTAGTCTGTATTCAGTTTCCTGAAGGTTACTGCTTGATGGCGTTCGGTGCCGCCGAGCTGTAACATTCAAGACTTGCAATAAACTAATTTAATTACAATTTTGCAATTTATGTATACACAATTGCAGGGTAAGAATGCATACTCTGACAATCGTGTATACACAAGTGCTGAGGTGAAGTGGCTTGTGTACTACATAGTGCTACCTTCCACTATGCAAACACACACTGATACAGGAACGGAGGTGTCCAGTAGAAAGATCTGTACTAGAACAACAACTTCCAAATTGCAGTAAAGGAAGTGTCATGGGTGCAGAGCCTACCCAGCATGCAGTTCTTCAGCCAACACCTACCCCAGAATACCAGATATACAGGATAGGAGGCATATTAACTGATCCTTAGGGTTGCAAAAGTATTCAAGAGGAAATTACAGATTGATAGAAACAGTGGAGTCAGTTTTAGATTCTCAGAACAGTTCTTTAAGAACAGACCGTTTGGGTTTCTTCTCCAATATGACATGCTATGAGTGCTCCTCATGCAGAACAAGAAATAGCTTGTTGTAGTTTTTGCATTGTTAAGGGGAAGTCTTCATACTGCAATGTAAAACATTTTTGACAAACTGCAATGTTTACATTGCAGGGTTAACTTCTCATCCAGTGTCTATCATACTGAAAGGTGGTGATTTCACAGCACAGACGGAGAAAAACTCTGTCACATGATGCAGAGCTCCATAGGAAAGTGTTGACTCAATATTTTCCAATAGAGAACTTTAAAAGCGCAGACAGTGCTTGCTGTGCATGTACTTTAGCTCCCCAGTGCTCCTCTATGAGGAGAATTGGATTAGACCATCACGGTGCAGACCATGCCTCAACAATTAAAACGCAGCGGGAGGACAAATCAGCAGTGCCAAGGAAGCCGCAGGATTTTCAAACCTTTTAATGGTGAACGAGGGAAGGGGGCCTAATATTACTAGGGACAGGAACGCTATCACATTAGAAATACAGATTTGTATTCCTAACATTATAGTGTTCCTTTAAGATAACAATTATCTGCTAAATACAGAGGTCAACCTGGGCTCAACTCTAGGGACCCATCACTTCAGCCCAGCAGTGTGAAAAAAACACATGTAACCCTGACAAGGCCACTGGAAAACCCTCTGACTAATATAAAGTGCTGAGTTGTCAAATCTACTATCTCTATCTCTAGATAAGGAGTTGGTTCACTTTGTCCAAGTTCAATTCATACACAAACTATGAAAAATTTACTTAGTTTGGAACTTAATACGTTTAGAGTGTTAATAACACAAGAGGCAAATAGCTACTCCTTTAAAAGTCTTCAAACATCACCCAACATTTTGGGTTTAACACTGACCTCTCTGGATGTGCCAGTGAATTAAACGTGTTCCTTTACAACAAGAAGTCCACTAACACATTAGACAGATATGTATTTATGATTTAATATGTATATATGTTACACACACACATATTTAGCCTTAATTTAACGAATGTATTACTTTCAACACATTCCAGCATTGTCTGACTCCCAAGTTTTAAATACATTTGTTCCAGCTTGTGCTTATGAATACACTAAGAGGGCATGTAGAAGAAATTTACTAAACAGTGATAAAAAGTTGCTATGTTTCAAAAAAATTGGTCTTTTTCCTTCTCCATACTCTAACACGACTCTCCTTTCCCTGGTAATTAACATGTAAAAAAAAAAAAAGTTCACTTCAATTTAGGATGTTCGTGGATTATGGTTATACAAATTCCAGTGATGTACATGCCCCCTATGTTTTTAGATATCTGTATATTTCAACAAATAGTTTTGTTTTTTTTAACAAAAAGTCAAAAAAAGTCAAATCTTAAACCATCTGAGGGGCAAAACAACTTTAATTGAAGTATTTATATGATGGAAGAGTTTCTGAAAAATTTAAATAAAAAGAATTACAAGAATTTTTTTTGCATAAAACACCATTACATATTTTTATTTTTTTTAAATTTAAATCTCTTTACGTACCCACTGTAACAAGTCTATTTAAGATGCAGAAATACTGGGATGTGTAGTGTCTAGATACTAGTGCATGCCCATTGAAAACAGCACACAGAATAGATATAGTAAAGACTGCTTTAGAAGGCTATATTTAAAACATAGAAATGCCATGGATTTAATGTAGCAGCCGGAATAACGAATGGTCAAGGTAGGTTTGCCATTTGATTTTCCTCTGCCATCATCAAAGTCTATGTTTCTACACGTACACAAGATAAGTTGCACCTTTAAAGAGATTTTTTTTTTTTTTTATTATTATTTTTTTTTGAGCTGGCAGTTTATATAAAGACAATTATTAAAACAAAAGGATTCCTATTTTTACTTGTTTTATTCTATCTACGTTGACAAAAATTGCAGGGGAAATTCACAGCACTCTATTCAATGCAGTTTTAAAAAGCATATGATATTCAACATACAATTTGCTATATTTTTATATGACTAACTAAATACTTTAGATCAAAAATAATATACTGTAGAATTAGAATATTTAAAGGATAAGATTCTATCACCGCCTAATGGTGGAACATTAAAATGACGGATTACTGGCCACTGAACTTCTCTATAAACAGGCAAGCGGTTGCCCTCTTGTGGCCGGAAACTGGAACTGCACTCCATTAAACTAGAATGATAACGTCTCACATACGGATCGCAGATTCAGACACAAGAAAACAAAGTATAATAAAATATATATATAAATAATCTGAACACAAAAAAGTGGTGAAAGAGTTACAATATGGTAGTGTTTTAACACACACACGCACACGCACACACACAGAAATCAGTTTTGTGTGGATTTATAGAACATTCATTATCATGCGGACAAAGTTACAGGCATTCTGGTGGGTAGATTATAGAAATGTTTGAAAAAAATCCACTACAGTACAAAGTCACCTGTGTATTCCAAAGAATACCTTGTTCAACATATTACATTGCAAGGCTCTGTAAAAAATATAAATATATGTGTAGATCTGGTAATTTTTGCCATTGAACAAGAGATACTTGCAGTTGTTACAAACGACACAGTTTCTTTGACCAACATTAATATATAGTATATACCTATGCACAAATATGCACACAGCGGAGGATGCGCCAGATCATAAATAACATGCATACTTTATCCTTGAACAGACTTTTCCATTGCTACGTGTGATTCCAAATGCTCTGACAATAAAGTCAGCACATTATAGCCTTCCTGCACCCCTTCTATTGTCATAACGTATACACTAAAACACAGGGTGCAATATCCAAAACTTAATTCTGATTTTGCTTTGTACAGGGAATCTCCATTCACAGAGGGCTTGACAATATACGAACACACTTTAAAATATAAAACAAAGTCAAGCCACTCTCAAAAAAAAAAGAAAAACTTGAATATTAAAAGTAGGAATTTCTTCAATCATTTCTCTACAGGGATATCCACTAAGCCATGAACTGATGGGAATTCACAAGGCTCCTAGTGAATTCTTGACAATTCACAGATAAGTGATTGACCCTGCTGGTGTACCCACTCAGTGCTGTAACTCTCTCTTACGTATACATACTTATAGATATATAATTTATATGTATATAATATTTTTTTTTTTAAATAATTTTTTTTCCAACCACTCAATATTAACTCTTTCTTTGCTACATATAGTCTAACTAAAAAGGTTGTAACAGATAAAGAGTCATCTCCAGACGATATGCAGGATTCAAGGTCAGTGAAGTCGCCACTCTACGGGAGGTAGGGATATGGACGTGGAACTGTGTGTGTGTTTATGAGGGGAGGTGGCTTTCTCTAGCAGGCACAGTCCTGGTGTGGTGGGGCCTGCTGGTCAGTGAGTTGGGGTCCTTGTTTAGCTCCAGTGACTGCTGGGTCAGCTGTGTCCAAGCTTTCTGACATCTTTTCACAAATGATGTCCACCAAACGCTCAAAAGTCTGCTTCACGTTGATGTTGTCTTTGGCACTGGCTTCGAAGAATTCAAAACCTGCAAAGTAAAGGAGGAGGAGGAGTTAGGCACAAGAAGAACGGAGGCATCGCTAAGAAATGTCTTTTGTCCTGGGTGTAATTCTTTAATGTGTTTTAAAATACAAATGTCATCAAGACTTCACTTCTGTGTTTTAAAAGCTTATTACATTTAAACAAACGCAAGGATTGTTTAAAAGTCAAGTTACCAAACTCCTATATGTTGATGTAGTGTTTATAGTGCGATCAGTCTGTAAACGTAATTTCCTGCTTCGTGGTCAAAGTTTTTTTGGTTGTTTTGACCAAAACTGGATGTCTTTGAGGCACCAGAGGTCTGGTCATCTGCTCATCTATTGCAAAATTCCATTCTGCAATACCTATCAATTGCATCCAGATTGTAAAGCCATTTATTGGCTGAGCATGTCAGCCAATCACTAAACTTAATACAACATGAGGAAAGGAATGAAGGTATCTCATCTTAGAATCAGTATGTGAGTAGATTGCAATCTCATAAGTATGACTGCATCCAATGTTGCATTATTTTTATTTAGAAAATGTACAGTGCTGCAGAATGTTGGCTTCACGTAGATGAAATAACCAACTGATAACAAATTTAAGCAAACATGAACAGAAAGCTAAAAGGCCCCACAAAGTTATAAAGGATCCTGAATGGAAGATACATTGCCAGGTATGCACTATTCGAATACATTGTAAGACGTATACAGAGCTATTGTGCAAGCAAGGTTTATAGAAATTAGTGGGTTTATATGTTCCCTACATGGATTATAGGTCAATTTTAAAGGAACACGCACTACTTGACAATTTTATTTTAAACCATCAAGCACCTAAACAAATATACAAATTGGTATAAAGAAAGAAAAACTTTGAAAAGCATGTAATAAACATTTAGAAACTTGGTCAGATTGCACTGTTGGGTACACTCCTCAGCTACAGGAGTTTCTTCACCCATTCCCCCCCCACCACCACCCCTCTTAGCCACCCATCTCAGTTTCAGATTAGCCCACTAATGACAGAAACAGGCCATCATTGGGCAGCAGCAGGAAAGAGAAACCTGACACTGGAGTTTGCTCTGCATCCATATCATCTCCCCCTGTCACGATGTTGCAAGCTGTATAAATCTACCAACTGCACATGTGTAAATCTGGCAGGCATGCTCAATGTACTTTTCCATCATTCCTAGGATTAGGACACTGATTGGTTAGATCAGTGCCCCCAACCCACCCCTCCGGAGTGGGTGTGGAAAGCATTAAAAAAAAAAAAAAGAAGCAGGTAAATATAAAAAGAAGAAAAAAAACATTTATCTGCTTTTTTATCAGCATGCAGAGTGAAGCAACTGTCTAATTCAGAGCAAAAACATTTTAATTAGACTGCTGCCTCAAAGTGATACAAGTGATACACTTTGATTGTCATTGAAGCCATTACCTAATGGCATGTATTGGGATCATGGAAGCACACAATGCCCCTTTATATTACTCCTGCATCACATGTTACATCTATACCCCATTAAAATGAATCTCACAGAATATATAGTTTCTTACAAACAAGCACCTTCTTACAATTGGTGTAGTTTCTCTCTACAACGTGTAATGAGTCAAATATGAATGCATTCTGTACTCACTTTGGCTACCAGTTTGTCCTTCAGCAATGAATACACAATGTTTCAAATGGACAAATAATGGATTTTAATTTGAGGGGCTTGAGAAGTATGATCAGGAGCAGGGCTGTTATGAGAAATGATAAGTGTCTAACAACTGACAATGTAAGGAGCTAGCTTATTAACAAAGACTGCTTTCTAAACACATTTATTGTAGTTAAAACACACATTACTTTGAATATCACTGTTTTCAATACAGAATGTTGCAGTGACATTCATATTATGTCATGTGCACACAAAGGATCAGTTGAATGAATAGTTGGCCATGAAAACTTGGGGCATTGCCTAAAACAGTGCAACTTACCCAGGTGTTCTGCCAGTTGCCTTCCTCGCTCAGAAGACACCACCCTCTCATCTTCCATGTCACATTTGTTTCCAACAAGTAAAACTTGTGCATTATCCCAAGAATATGTTTTGATTTGAGTTGACCTGTGTAATTAATTACAGTGAAAGTTATAAATTACAGACAAAATTTGTTTTACACGTAGACTACATCATTTAGTGTTTAAGAATGCATGTTGATTCTGGTTCAATTAATAAATAAAACCCCAACTGAATTATGTTGACAGATTGTTTTGGTGTTATTTTTTTTTTTTTTTTGATGAATTAATTTAATGATTTCTTACACTCCAAATCTATAAAGTGCTCCACCTTGCTGAAGTGCTTTATGTGAAAAATGACTGACCCCTTGGTCTTATTTTATAAAAGTGAAGATTTCAAGAGAAATCGTAATTCTTATAAAAGTAATAAGTTGCACGCATTGTTAATAAAAATCATGGGATTCACTCCCTGAGCAGAATGGCTTATGATAGTGTGCAAGTTGAACGATGGCTTGGGTCAGCCAACAGTCAAGAACTGGATACATTTGGGAAAAGAGGTACTAATAAAAAATATATCTTCATTATGCTAAAAACAAGGGCATGAAAGCACCTTAAATTTAAAGCGGTTTTTGCCTATAGGAAAGGCCCGTCTTTAGAGGGTTACTTCAACAATCATAACCATTACAGCTGGCTGTAGTAGTTATGGTGGTTGGAATACCCTGCCATCATTCTCCAGTAATGGGGCAAACTGTTTTACAAACAAACAGTTTCCCTCTTACATGGGTATCTGCTGGGTGTCTGGTCTCTTCTCAAGCAAGTTAAGGTTAACAACATTGGCCTTCTGCAGTGACGTTTAAGCCAGATGCCAGTGCTGCTGCTCACTCATTGGCCAAATTTTTTAGCTGACTGCTTTCAGCCAATGAATGCAACTCTGTGAAAGAAATGTGCACTGAATTAACATTCAGACGTGATGCCTGGAGTCTGTGCATGCAGCATTTCGCTATGAAAGGTTGCACATACCGTGTTTAACCCCTTTGTTACTGGAGGTGTGACTCTACCTCTGGCAGTGTCACTAGTCAGCCTGGAACTAGAGTTCTGGGTTGGCAAAATAGAATTCAGTGCACATTTTTTTTGCATGTATGAGAAACATCTTTCTGGGAGATTGCACATATTTCACAGACAATCTGCAGTATTATCTTTCTTGTTTCTTGAAGGAACATCACTTAGTGGACCATCTGTTAATTGACGCTCCCCCCTGAATCTAAAATGCTAATTTTCGGAAGCCATTATAATCAAGTGTCATTCACAATCTCAGCCCTATATGTGACATCCATAAAACTTGATGTTGTTTTTCATTCTATACAATTTTGGGTTTTTTACACCATTGTCACTGTGCACCATATTGACAAGATTTTTATGTCAAGCATGATGGGTATCTAGTCAGAACTTACATTTCCTGTTAATTTATTTAGAGAGGTTATTAGTTATAAAAGTGCTATATGGCATACGCAGTGTGAATGCAGAACATGAAACATGATCAATATTTTCAGCAACAGTAAAAGACCTGGAAAATAAATTATAAAATGCAAGAATGACATGTATAGAAATTAACTGGTATCATGGGAAATGGGATGCTGTAATTTAGAAAAAATAAAAAGGTGGGTGATATGTTCATATGTACTTCTGATTGCACTATGTAGAGGTCATTCATTCTCTTTATACTTTGCAAAGATGGACCATTTTTGGCACTGTGGAATCTGACCCGCTCTATATTTGTAACAACGGTGTCTATGGCCAAATCCAATAAGAGCATTTACAGCTAAATAACATAGAACATTAGGTTTCAACTGAACCAAACATATTAGAGATGTGAGAAAAGTATATTGGAGCAGAAGGATTCAAAAACAATTCACCCACAGAACCCAGGGCTGGAAGCATTTTGTAGCAGTTGGAAACTGTTCCACTATCAACTACAGCCACTGGTATGCCATTGTTACTAAAGGGTTCGAACATATAAACAGGAACCCAGATTTTGTGCATCTTGGCTACATGTATCTGTGGCTTTTAACAGAACACCAATAGTTGGGTACAGTTTTTTCTTTACACAATATGTCATAGTAAGTACGGCCACAATCAACAGTAGTTTGTTTCCCTACTCTCTGGCCCACATATCATTACATTAATAAAGCAGGGTGTCTGCTTTTACTTTGTAATTGGCTCTCACAGACTAGGCTTCCTGAGCTAGAATCAGTATTATGGCTAAAATCAGGATTAGAATCACTCTTGGGGTTAGTGCCAGAATTTGTTTAGGTTGTTGTTATTCATATAATATTTTCAAAGTGAGAAATGCACAAAACACAATATACACACACAACACTACAGACTGCCCACACATAAAGAAACCCACAAACAGCCCACATATACACACACAGCCCACCACACACACCTACATTTTACAAGCAATCCTCACACACTTAACCTCACAGACAGTCCACACACAATACTACATATTGCTTAAGTACATAACACCAAAGATTGTCCCTTGTACACACACAAAATACTATAAGGAACAACTATAACATCATTGACAGAACACACACCCACACAGACAAAACCCTAGACACACATACTTTACCTCAAACAGCCTGCATACACATACAACACCACAGATATTCCACACCAAACAAAAATGCTACCTGCAACTCACATAACAGTACACACACACACACACACACACACAAACAGTACACACAAACCACAGACATACATACCAGAAACAGCCTGCACACATACTTTAAACATCAGGCTGTCAACATACTTGCACACAACCACAAATACCATGAACAGTCCACATACACACACAAATATCACAGAGAGCACATACATAAATATCACAAAAAGGGCCCACACGCATAACTCAACAGGCAGCCCCAACACACACACAAACAGGCACACAATTCCACAAACAGCTCGCATTCATAATTCAGACACAAAATGCTACAAGCACACACAAATACCATAAACACACACCCCATATATAAACACCACAGACAACCCACATACATAACACACACACAATATACAAAGCATCTTCCGCACCAGTATATAACACAAGCAGAATTCTTCAACATACATAAATCTTACTTGAATAAAAAAAATAGGGCTGGCTCACTTAGGGATATTAAAGTTTTACTTTGGCATATCACTACCAAAAGGTTAACTGCCCTTAGCATAGACTCAAAGTGCTGACTATGCAAAAGAATAATAAGCGCTCTCTTCTCAGGGGTGAGCAGCAGTTCACCAACAAGGTGTTCCTCTACCTTGTGATAAATGGACAGATAAAATAGAAAGGTGAACAGCGCTAAAAATCAGAAAATGTACATACGTTTTGTAGAAATACTGGCCAGCAGAGTAGCTTAAAAAAAAAAGAAACAAAAATACAAATAATGGTACAGTATGTATGAACGATATAATTCCACAAGAACAAAGGTGTTATATTCACACTCACACTTTGAGGAGCTATATCAGCTCGGTGTTAAGAGCCTGGACGGAATAATCCCGTCTATGGATTTCTTGAGGTTCAAGACCGTTGGTGAATTTATAGGTGTAAATATTCGTTACATGAAAAACAAGAGTAAAATACACCACATGGTATAGTACGTAAATATAAAATATTGTGAAAAAAAAGTGGATGATCCTACTTACATATACTAGAGCAACGACCTGCTCTAGTTTGGAGAATTTCAGGTGGAATAATCCCCACCTTGGGATATAGTGGACCCAGGTATAGCAGCAAAGCAGTATTGGATAGGAAGGAGGACAAAAGGAGTGACTGGATAGTTTAAAAAATATATATACTTTAATACATTAAGTGAAAAGTGAATAATAAACTATAAAACCAGTCCTGTATAAAAGTCCAAAATTCTTCCTCACTTGACGCGTTTCGCCGAAGCTTTCTCAAAAGTGAATTTTGAGAAATTTTGAGAAAGCTTCGGCGAAACGCGTCAAGTGAGGAAGAATTTTGGACTTTTATACAGGACTGGTTTTATAGTTTATTATTCACTTTTCACTTAATGTATTAAAGTATATATATTTTTTAAACTATCCAGTCACTCCTTTTTTCCTCCTTCCTATCCAATACTGCTTTGCTGCTATACCTGGGTCCACTATATCCCAAGGTGGGGATTATTCCACCTGAAATTCTCCAAACTAGAGCAGGTCGTTGCTCTAGTATATGTAAGTAGGATCATCCACTTTTTTTTCACAATATTTTATATTTACGTACTATACCATGTGGTGTATTTTACTCTTGTTTTTCATGTAACGAATATTTACACCTATAAATTCACCAACGGTCTTGAACCTCAAGAAATCCATAGACGGGATTATTCCGTCCAGGCTCTTAACACCGAGCTGATATAGCTCCTCAAAGTGTGAGTGTGAATATAACACCTTTGTTCTTGTGGAATTATATCGTTCATACATACTGTACCATTATTTGTATTTTTGTTTCTCTTTTTTTTAAGCTACTCTGCTGGCCAGTATTTCTACAAAACGTATGTACATTTTCTGATTTTTAGCGCTGTTCACCTTTCTATTTTATCAAAGTGCTGACTATTGTAGCTGTATGGTTACTATACAGGAAGACAAACTGTAAACTACAGATAGAGAAAATGAAAGAGGGATAACATGAGAATGTAAAAGAACAAGAGTAAGATGAGTGAGAGAATGTACAAATTGTGAAGCTGAAGAAATACAAATATGAGTGCATAGCCACGTTTTAGGGTTATTACGCAGACAACTCTCAAAGTATTTACAGAACTCACCAGTCCTGCACAGCATTGAATGACTCCTCGTTGGTGATGTCATACATTAGGATGAAGCCCATGGCCCCCCTGTAGTAGGCAGTGGTGATTGTCCTGTATCGCTCTTGTCCTGCAGTGTCCTGCAAAATAAATATTCCAGGGTAAGCAGAATGTATGTTTATGCAGGTATTCGTAGGCCTTTTATTACACTTATACAAATAAATTTTTTAGGGGGGACCAGGGGGGGACGACGACTTCATTTTAAAGAGTAGGTTACACTTTGTTTCATATTAAAGATAATAAAAATAGCAATGCATTTACATTTAAAAAGTGACAAGTTAATATTGCATTAGAATAATCACTTCCTGAAGTTCAAAGGATCACTATAAGGTCAGGCACACAAACATGTATTCCTCACCCTATAGTGTTAAAACCACCATTTAGGAGTCTTGCCCCCCCCTTAACAGGTAATATTAATAATAATAATAATAGTAAAGTATTTAACCAGTAAAGGTACATTCAGATTACTCTGGTTTTAAAGTATGTCCTGGGGATGTTACCTTAGCCCAACATCCAGGGGTTATAAAAAAACAAAAACAAAACATATTTCCAGTGTCACGCAAGTCCACCGGCGCTGGCCCGCCCCCGATCCGCTTACTTGCGGACATCATCAGAATGTATTATTGCTAGCCAATCAAATGCTTTCCCAAGGGGGCTGGACAGGGGGACGGAGCTAAACGCCAGCTTGGCCAATCAGCAACTCCTCGTAGAGGAAAATTCAGTGTCTCCATGCCTAGCGTGGATAGGCTGAATGGCAGTGCTGCGCACATCTGAGGAATGGCCACTGGAGTTGTCCATAGGGGGGCAATGTAAAAACTGCCTTTTCTATGGCTGTGAGAGGGCATAGGCCACATATTCCCTGAATGGGTATTTAGCCATTGATAAAAATATCTATGCAAAGTAAAAATCTTCCCAGATAGCCTGCCAGTGGTATTTCAGACAACTGTACAGAAAGGTAACTGGAATTATTCGAAAACTTGGTGAAAACTTGGTGAAAACTTGGGAGCTACAAAAAAATGATGTCCATTCTAGTCTGATTTGACCCCACCCCCCTCATTTTCTATATTTTTTTTTATTGTATGTTGCATATTCATTCCTGGAAACATAATGAGGCGATTTATTAGTGTTACGTTTTTTTGAAAAATTGTGAAAAGTGTTAACCAGTGCACATTCTGTTGATGACTACTCCTACATAGTACATGGTTTTGTCGGACAACAAGTGACTGCTTTTGAAAAACTCATGTTGACCATGATTCCTCTAGTTGACCAACATACATATATGATTCCCATAGTTTGAATTTTCAGCAATTCAAAATTGCAAGGAAATTCCAAACTTAAACTGCCTCCATCTATAAAATGCCTCCATCCTGGGTGCTCATCACCATCTTTTCAGTGTCTCTAACACACAGCATCTCATCAATCTTGCGCAGACATACCTTTCAACAAGCCAAATTCTAGTGGGACAGTCCTGACTTTCTGGTCAAGTCTTGCAATCCTGACACCAGGGAATCGACCCAGACAAGCTCAGCACAAGTCCATCAGGTTAAGGACACTTGGACCCTGCAAGGGGCACTAGATGTACTGCCGGTAGCGTCTGCCCTCAGTGGGCAAGCCTTAAAAGATTGGCAGGCATCCGGGTGTGCATTCATGCCAGGCTTACCTGCCTCTAGAGTGTGCCGATCCACCCTTTGCCAGACATGTCTACTCCTTTTGGGGAAGAGCCATGGATGCAAACTCTCACTGGACCAATCCCTCCCACCAGTGTCCTGATTTTATGGCACTATGGCTCTGACATAGCCTTTCTCATTCCTAATTTTTCTCACACACTATAACTTCTCTTCTTTCCTCTCACTATTCCTTATACATCATCCTTTGCTTACTATTCTCAGATTCAACGTTCTTTACACCGCATTCACTCACCCTTCTCCATGACATACAGGATCCTTTTATACCTCTCTATCACATACAATCCATCCTCGCCATAAAAGCCTGCAGTTAATACAATCAATGAAATCATGCAAACATCGCATATAACATAACATATCGCAAGCTTATTTTTGTCCATTTCTACACAGTGCTGTATATACTTATCTATTTATGGTTTCTCTCGTGTGTAGGATAATGAGAATAGTGGTGCCATTGATTATGTCATCATGTGTGATGTAATCTGAGATACCACAGTAATATTTTTTTTTTCATATGTCATGGGTGATGTCATTAACTGAGGTCACTACTGATGCTACTCAGGTCGTCAACAATGGCATGCGTGATGTAACCATTGATGTAATTAATTATATCATGTAAAAATTTCCTTGCCTTTTAACAATTGACTATGTGACACAATGCACACGCACACACGCTTTTTAATCAAAAAAATTAAAATAAATCTGTTTTCAAACATGACAATTTCTCTTTAAAATCTTTGTAATCTTAGTATCTGTGTAGCGTACCCCTTCTTCCAGCAGAATTTCAACACTGTCTGACGTTGGGTAATGACTAATCTATGGTAACTGATCTCTAATGGAAATTGTCAAAACAGCTTTTGCTGTTGATTGACAGCAATTTTTACTGCAGGCGGCTGATTCTCTGTAGATCTTCGCACAACTATTTTATGTAGAACCAACACATTACACTGCACTAAATTAATTAAAGGATAGATTATATCATATAACCAGGGTCACTGCTACCATAAGTGGCACTGACGTGGGGCACATTGGCCAAAGGATCACAACATCTTGATACCAGGCAGGAGCAGGGTTCACAAAGTTACCTTCTCTCTCTGATCATTCTGTGCAGGACCAGACTGGCCCACCATGATACTGAGATATTTTCCAGTGGGCTGCTATTACCTGAGGCTGGCTGTGGCCTTCTTGATTGCAACCAGGTCAGCAATGGAAGTGACAACAGCCAGTCGCTCCTTGCAATGCACAGAGCTAAGGCTTGCTGGGATACTTTATGTCAGTGTTAAAAGTAGGGAAATCACCATGCAAATCAATGGAACCAACATACAGATGTTGATGACTCCTCCTCAATATATCTCAGACAGCAACTAACTGCAGACTAGATGTTCCATATGTGAAAAGCCAATTAAATAACTTTTGTTGCCCTTTGTCGGCAGTTTACATAAAGCTATATTTTCCCATGATACATCTAGTTCAGCCAAAGTTGTATCAACATTTATTTTTAAAGGGACTCTGTTCTAGGATGATGGATAGACAGACACTTAAAGCTTCTGAAGATCCAGGTGTACGGACATCTGGTAAACATATTTGTAGATATACAAGATGTGTGTGTATGTGCACGTGCACTCTCTCTCTCTCTCTCTCTCTCATGATTTACCCATTCTATATGGATAGATCCATCATCAATGGATCAATTACTTTATTCTGAGTTGTTCCCAAAATTCCTTGCCTTTCTCAAGGCCTTGTTGGCACTTTTACTATGGGTTTGTTCCACTGTAATTTTCTGAAACCATGCTCCCTGCAATGTCAGTCATCAGTTGGCTGGCTAGAATGACTGGCAGGCAGCCTTTTGTGTTTTCACACCACGCTGACCTGCCATTAATGTGGGAGTTGAAGCCCCCTTCCATACACCCTTTTGTGAGGAGCCAGTGACACAATTGCATCACTAGTTCACCTCCTTTACTCCCCAACCACCGGCAACCCAATTCTGGGACTGTCGATGTCATTGGAAGGTATGCCATATGGTTTAACTTAACGCTATATTTGTTTGTGAAGATAGGTGATTTTAAATAGCTTTGAAAAATTGACGTTAAATTAAACTGTATTTTTGTGTGTGCTCGGTTTCTGGAATTTGTATAAATTTTGGTCTTTACGGCAGAATCACTGCTGAGAAAAGTATATTCCAGGTGTGTCCCCAATTGCCATTTGTCAGTGAATGTATTTGTGAGAGTGTGTGTCAGTATGTGTGCCAGTGACTTTGTGTCAGTGAGTGTGTGTCTTTAAACTATCAAAGAAAAAAAATATATATTGGTATTACTTGGTAAATATGAGCAAAGAAGGCTCTGAAAAATTGTCTTCACTGTTTAACCCCTTAAGGACGGTGGGCGTTCTATGCCGTCCTTTTAGGGGTGGCTCTAAAGGCCAGATGGCGGCATAGAACGTCCCTGCCGTCCTTATTACTTACCCGATTGGCCAATCAGCCCGACTTGCTCCCACTCTGGTGGGGACTCCCTATCAGCCCAGACAGCCCCCTCTCTCTGCAAATTAGGCACCCGCGAGCCATGTGGTCGCTCTGAAAGAGCGGTCACATGGCCACAATAGGCGTCCATAGTGCTGCCTGCAGGGGGACTGCCTAAACTGACAGGCAGTCTCCCTACTGCTGTAAAATAGAAAAAAATATACAAGTAAATAAAAAATATATATATATACATACACACACACACACACACACATACATATATCATATATTATTATTTTTGCCATTTATATATCGCCAACAGATTCTGTAGCGTTTTACTATATTATGAGAGGGTGGATTTAACTATAAATAGGACAATTACAAGAAAACTTACAGGAATGATAGGCTGACGAGGACCCTGCTCAAACGAGCTTACAGTCTATAGGGGGTGGGATATAAAACACATTAGGACAGGAAATCGCAAACAAATAAGGTGGGAGTGAAGCAGAGCTGAAGGAGAGAGTAAAGTGCTGCCCTTTAGGAGAGAACAAGAGACAGGTATGTGAGGTAGAGGTTACTCTGGGAGTGTCAGGATTACTGTTTGATCCAGCACGTAGAACTGTACAGCACGGATGACAAATAAGTAACGTATTACCGGTCCTTAGAATGGCCGGATTTAACGTACAAAGAATAGTCAAAAATACTAGCCGAGGTCAGGGAACACAGAAAGGGACACAGCGATGAGGAAAGCCAGGAGTCAGGATACCAGAATATAGAGAAGTCAATAAACAAAGCCAAAGTCAAAAACCAGGTAGAAAACTATAAACAGGAACGCGCTCTCAGACAACCACAAGGGAAACCACGACAGGGCACTGAGCAGGCTGAGAACTGGGACTAAATACCCCTCCTTTAGTTCTGATAGGCTGTGTAACGGAGCTCCCTGTACTCCGACCGAGTACCCTCCGATGATGGATGCTCCTAGCGCTTCCTGAGGACTCCAAACACTGCAGCAGACACCACAACCACCGCAGACTCCACAACCGCCGTAGCTTAACTGGAGTCTCGCCGTCTTCCTTCCACTCTGGATCAGCTTCTGTCCTCCAGGACCGTGTTGGGAAGACCTCTCCTCCAGGAGAGCGTAACAGGAACAGCTCTTAAAAGAGCTAAGTGATTAAAAGCTCAGGGGAGTATGCAGAGCATAGCAATCCCCAGTGTGATATAGCAGTTTCCTCCAATAACGAGACAAGGCTACGTATTGAGGGTCAAGAAGATCTGTCAAAACCTTTATTTCCCTTGGGACCAGCCAATAGGGTCACCACAATAACATTGTTGTGAAACCTCAATAAAATCACAAACAGTCAAACCATATTAAGCAACACACAGTCACTTATCACAACACAATGGCACATTTTTAAAGGGGTGGGGGGAGACAATATTTAACAGTAAATATCTCACCTGCCTGCAGAATTAGCAATATGCAAATCTACCCGAATATGCAAATGAAACAGTCTTGCAATTCAGGTAGTGCATATTGCTGTTGCTACCAACAGAGGGCACTAGACAAGCTCCATAGCCAAACCCACCTAGTTGGTAGCAAACCTCAGCAATACAAGAGAGCAGGCAATACATTACACAGTACATACACACACACTATAAACAATTACATTACACACACCCTGCACCTATAATGGGTACAGGGTGACTAAAACATAAGATAAATAAAGCAGCCTACATAAATAGTCTGTCTGAAGGTAGACTAGGGGCTTTAAAGCCAGATACATGAAAGAGTCATAGTCACAGGGGAGGAGGCTGGCAAGTAGGCCTCTCCAGGACCAAGTGGCGAAGGGCACTTCGTCACAGGCTGTAACCGGCCTTTGACCCCAAAGTCAGTTACCAGGTTTCATTTGCATAATTGCTGCTCAGCATTAACCCTTCTGTGGATTAGGTTGCTGCTCGGCACAACTTTTCCTGTGTGGACAGTAAATGTCATTAATCACTTTTCTCTAAGCGGATGAATACATGACACCAGGTTTCATTTGCACAATTACTGCTCAGCATTAACCCTTCTGTGGATTAGGTTGCTGCTCGGCACAACTTTTCCTGTGTGGACAGTAAATGTCATTAACCACATTTCTATAAGCGGATGAATATGTGACATTACCCCCCACCTGAAGAACGCCCACCGGGCGGACAGGACCAGGCTTGAGAGGAAATTTAGCGTGAAAAGCGCGGATCTTACGGCCCGCATGCAGGTCAGGAGCCGAAACCCAAGAACGATCAGCAGGACCGTAACCTTTCCAAACAACCAAGTACTGTAAAGTGCCCCGAGAAAACCTAGAATCCACGATAGAAGATACCTCATACTCTTCCTGACCACCCACCACCACCGGAGGGGGAGGAACACAAGGAACAGTATATCTATTGCAGACAAGAGGTTTGAGTAAGGACACATGAAAAGTGTTGGGAATCCCTAAAGATGCAGGAAGAGCCAGAGAGTAAGACACTGGATTGATCCTACGAAGCACTCTATAGGGACCAAGGAATCTGGGGGCAAACTTCATGCTAGGGACCTTAAGCTTGATGTTGCGAGATGACAACCAAACCCGGTCCCCCACTTGGTACACCGGGTTGGCACTCCTACGCTTATCAGCAAAATGTTTGAAGCGTTCAGCAGCAGCCCCTAGAGCAGTTTGAACCTTAACCCAGGTATCCCGAATGGAGGCCAGACGCTCATCCAGAGCAGGAATGGCAGTATCAGAAAATACCGCAGGGAGAACCGTAGGATGCCTACCATTATTGACAAAAATGGACTGTGCCCAGAGGAGTCATGAACAGCATTGTTTCTAGCGAACTCGGCCCACGGGAGTAGTTCGGACCAATTGTCTTGTGTGCTATTAATAAAACAACGCAAATAAACTTCTAATGACTGGTTAGCCCTCTCAGCTGTACCATTGGTCTGTGGATGGTAGGAGGAGGAGAAGGAGAGATCAATCCCCAATTGTTTACTGAACGCCCTCCAGAACCTGGACACAAACTGAGAGCCCCTATCAGACACAATATTGTGGGGGATGCCATGCAAACGGACAATTTCACGTATGAAAATTAGGACCAAATCTTGCGAAGATGGCAACTTCTTGAGAGGAATGAAGTGAGCCATCTTAGAAAATCGGTCTACAACCATGAGAATAGTAGTGAACCCAGCAGAGCTAGGAAGCTCAACAATAAAGTCCATGGATAGGTGGGACCATGGAATCTCAGGAACAGGAAGAGGCTGCAACAGGCCACAAGGAAGTGCATGAGTCACCTTAGAAACTGCACACACAGAACATGCCTGCACATACTCCTTTACATCTTTCCTGAGTGAATCCCACCAAAATGATCTAGTGATCGCGGCAGTGGACTTATTGATGCCCGGGTGTCCAGCAGTTATATTGTCATGGAACACTTTCATGATATTAACCCTTTCACATAGGGGAACGAACAGTTTATCACACGGTTTACCACTGGGCGCCTGAGGCTGGGCCTCCAGTATGGTGCCAAGCAGTGGAGAAGACAGTGAGAGGACAGTAGTAGCAATAATACACTCTGCTGGAATAATAGGAGATGTCATCTGTTCCGGAGCTGACTCATTATCAAATTGCCTGGACAAGGCATCAGCCTTGGTATTTTTAGAACCAGGTCTATAAGTAATGAGAAAGTTAAAACGTGAAAGGAACAGTGACCATCTAGCCTGTCTGGAAGACAAACGTTTGGCATCCCCTATATATGCCAGATTTTTGTGGTCGGTTATGATCAACAGGGGGTCCTTGGAACCCTCCAAAAGATGTCGCCACTCCTTGAGGGCAAGAATAATGGCCAACAGTTCTCTATTGCCAATATCATAGTTGCGCTCAGCAGGAGACATCTTTCTGGAGAAGTAGCCACAAGGATGCAATGGTGTTCCCTGGCTTTCTCTCTGAGAGAGAACAGCCCCTACCCCTGTCTCGGATGCATCAACCTCCAATATAAAAGGTTTACTGGTGTCAGGATGTTTTAGTATGTCCGCAGAGGCAAATCTTTGTTTAAGAGTCTCAAAAGCATTCACAGCCTCTTTGGACCATACCGTGCTACTAACCCCTTTGCGAGTCATATTTGTGATTGGGGCTATTACAGAAGAAAATCCCTTGATGAATCTTCTGTAATAGTTGGCAAAACCAATAAACCTTTGAATGGCTTTTAAACCAGAGGGTAATGGCCAGTGTAGTACAGCCTCTAGTTTTTTAGGATCCATTTGAAATCCCGATGCAGAGATGTTGTAACCCAAAAAGTGGACTTCAGGCTGGTCAAATATGCACTTTTCTAATTTACAATAAAGTTTATTTTTCAACAACGTCTGCAGAACCTGTTTCACATGGGAGTGGTGAGTTTGAAGATCAGGGGAATACACCAAAATATCGTCCAAATAAACCAAGACAAATGAGTAAATGAATTCCCTGAGTACATCATTTATAAAGTCTTGGAATACGGCCGGGGCGTTGCATAACCCAAATGGCATTACCAGATATTCATAGTGTCCACTACGGGTATTAAATGCCGTCTTCCACTCATGATTCTCTTTAATTCTAACCAAATTGTAAGCGCTCCTAAGGTCAAGCTTAGTAAATACTTTAGCTCCCTGAAGTCTATCGAACAATTCGGAAATGAGTGGAATAGGGTATGCATTTTTTACAGTGATTTTATTAAGTGCCCTGTAGTCTATGCAAGGGCGTAACTCACCACCCTTTTTCTCAACAAAAAAGAATCCTGCACCAGCTGGTGAGGATGACTTTCTTATGTGCCCTTTGCTCAAGGATTCTTTGATGTATTCCTCCATTATTTTACTCTCCTGGGGAGATAAGGCATAAACTGCCCCCTTAGGTGGCATAGCGCCTGGAAACAGGTTAATGGCACAGTCATATGCTCTGTGGGGAGGCAATACATCGGATTGAGCCTTGTTAAACACCTCCTGAAGTTCTCGGTATTGTATGGGAACTCCAGGAGTTTGGGGAGTGGTAGTGGGAAGGTCAATAGTATCCAATCTCTTTAGTACTGGTTTTATACATCTCCCCATACACTCTTTACCCCATTCTAATATCTCCCCATTAGCCCAGTCAATATAGGGATTGTGCTTACTCAGCCACGGAAACCCTAATATGATAGGACATGATGGAGAAGTAATAACCTGAAACGTCATCTCCTCCCTATGGGAGGCCCCAATGGAGATCGTAATAGGGACAGTTTCGTGGGTTATAAGCGGTTGTGTGAGTGGTCTACCATCAATAGCCTCTACAGCTAGCGGCGTAGGTCTCTCCCTGACCGGTATCTCATTACCCCTAATAAACTGGACATCAATAAAATTTCCAGCAGCACCTGAGTCCATTAGGGCACTGCAAGAAAACTTCTTGTTATCAATGGAAATAGATACCTCAAGGAGGAATCTACTTTTGTTTTTGTTAGAGGACAACTCCATCACACCTAAGATCTGTCCCCTTAAGGTTCTTAGGTGCGGAAGTTTTCCGGACGCACTGGACAATTAGTTATCATATGTCCCTTTCTACCGCAATATAGGCATAACCCCTCCCTTCTCCTATACTGTTTTTCGGCCTCTGACAGTCTAGTGACCCCCAACTGCATAGGTTCGGGTTCGGACTGTACAGGGAGGTTAGACAAAACAGGTTTAGAGAATTGAGGTGCTAGGGACATAGCCGTACATCTGGTCTTGCTTCTGGTGACTTCTCTGAGTCTTAACCTATCAAAATGCATGACAAACGTAATAAATTCGTTAAGACTCTTAGGTAATTCTTTAGCGGCTATCTCATCTAGTATGGTCTCTGAGAGACCCTTTTTGAATGCTGAGATTAACCCATTGTTAGTCCAGTCTACCTCGGAAGCTAAGGTACGGAATTCAATAGCATAATCCGAGATAGACCGGTTACCTTGTCTGATGTGCATTAGGGCAGTGGAGGCGTCATCCTCTCTACCCAATGGCTCAAACGTGAGCTTGAATTCGGCAAGGAATTCCTGGTAATTATGAGCTATGCTCCGATTACTCTCCCACAACGGATTAGCCCAGGCAAGGGCCTTGCCCTTTAATTGATTCATTAGATAACCAATTCTTGCTCTGTCCGTGGGGAATGACCCTGGTGAGGCCTCAAAATGGTACTCCACCTGATTAAGAAAACCCCTGCATTCCTGGATATTGCCATCAAACTGTAGGGATGGTGATAAGGAGATGCAAGGAGTCCTATTAACAGTGGGTGGAGGTACACAGGGTAGAGGTGCTATAGGAGGAGACGCTGCAGGCTGCAGATGCTCCGTTCTAGCGAGAAGCGTACTTAAAGCCTGAGTGAATTGATCCATGCGGTGATCATTCTCCTCTAATTTCCTCTCACAAGCAGCTATGTGCTGACACAGTTCTACAGGATCTATGGCCATGTCGTAATGTCAGGATTACTGTTTGATCCAGCACGTAGAACTGTACAGCACGGATGACAAATAAGTAACGTATTACCGGTCCTTAGAATGGCCGGATTTAACGTACAAAGAATAGTCAAAAATACTAGCCGAGGTCAGGGAACACAGAAAGGGACACAGCGATGAGGAAAGCCAGGAGTCAGGATACCAGAATATAGAGAAGTCAATAAACAAAGCCAAAGTCAAAAACCAGGTAGAAAACTATAAACAGGAACGCGCTCTCAGACAACCACAAAGGAAACCACGACAGGGCACTGAGCAGGCTGAGAACTGGGCCTAAATACCCCTCCTTTAGTTCTGATAGGCTGTAACCTGCCTTTGACCCCAAAGTCAGTTACCAGGTTTCATTTGCATAATTGCTGCTCAGCATTAACCCTTCTGTGGATTAGGTTGCTGCTCGGCACAACTTTTCCTGTGTGGACAGTAAATGTAATTAATCACTTTTCTCTAAGCGGATGAATATGTGACAGGGAGGCCATAAGCTTTCCTAATGAGATGGGTTTTAATGTAATACTAAGTTTATTTTTTTAATTAATATGTACATATATTAATATAAAAATAAACTTGGAATAAAATTACACATACATATATACACATATATATATATATATATATAATATAACTACCGTATATACTCGAGTATAAGACGAGTTTTTCGGCACATTTTTTGTGCTGAAAAACCCCCACTCGTCTTATACTCGAGTCAGTGTCTGTATTATGGCAACTTACATTGCCATAATACAGACCAGGTCCTGTTGGGGGCTGGCAGCGAGCTGTAACTTACCTTTCCTGCAGCTCCTTTCTCTCTCCTCTGTTCCAGTCAGCTCCCCTGCAAGTCTTGCGAGAGCCGCGGGATCAGAGACCCGTGGCAACGCTCCGCACGGCAGTGGAGCTGACAGGGGAGCTGACCGGAGCAGCGGAGAGAGAAGGGAGCTGACAGGAGCTGCAGGAAAGGTGAGTAAACGCTTCCTGCCAGCCCCCTCCTGCACAGCTCATCCACTGGACCACCAGGGAATGAGAGCCCCCCTCCCTGGCCATGTATCAAGCAGGTAGGGGGAACGAAAAAAATAACATAATTTAAATAATATAAAAAATAAATAAATAATTTACGACTGAGGGGTATCCCAGAGGAGGTCACTACTGAAGACCTACCAGCATATGTGCGGGGCCTACTGCATGCCCATGGCCCGGAGATACCGACGGATATGCTGCTGGTAGACCGAGTTCACCGCATCCCCAAGCCCAAACACCTTCCCCAGGAAGTGCCGAGAGATGTACTAATGAGGGCGCATTATTATCATATAAAGGAGCACATCCTTCGCGGTAGCAAGATGAGGGCCACACCACCGCCAGATTATCCTGACATCAAGATATACTTATCAGCGGCAACACTAAGAAAGCGGAAGGCATTTCATCTGATTACAGCTACCCTGAGAGCGCACGGTATTAAGTACAGATGGGGCTTTCCCACTAAGTTATTGATTGCCAAAGATGGAGGAATCACCACCCTAGCAAACCCAGACGAGGGGGCAAAGCAACTGAGTGCCTGGAATATACAAGTCGCACAGACCATGTCAACGGCCAAACCCGTGGGGAAACTTACCACGGAATGGAAAAAGGCCGCCAAGAAACATTGAACCCAGCCAGAGTCTGATTAAGGGATGTGGGACCAGCACACGTTCTGACCCGGGACTCCGCGGAGTGACTGCCCTTGAGTGAACCCCCCGCGCCGTCTCCCCTCCGCTTGGGGATGGACTGGATGTCTGGAGCGGGGGAGGGCTCGGGGGAGGGAGTGATCACGAAAGCGGCCGGGCCGGGCCGGGCTGCAAGAAGGAGGTAAGGGCTCTTCCTGTTCCCCTGCCGGTCCCCCCCTTGCCCTATGTTTGGGCTCCCCGGAGTTGTGGACTGCCCCGAGGGTGGATATGGTCAGGCATTCGGCCACAGCACGACATCGCTGAATACGGACACTGCCAGCTGCCTGGAGAGGAAGCAGCTGCCCTAGGCCTGGCTGCAGACATGTCGGACAGTGTAAGACTGGTAGTCATTGGTGGGGCGGGGGGCACCGGGGGTCCGGGGTGGTGGAGCGGGGGGGTCTATTATGGGTCTATCATTGGTCAATAATTGTTTGATACGGTTGAAATGATGAGACAGTAGAGCAGGGTGACCGTCTGAAGGCAAACTTAGGCCGCGGAAACCATTTGCGCTGTACCCGGGGACATGGACGTGGGCAGGGCCCGACTACATCCCACTAAACTACTGCTCACCACATAAACGGAAGTGTCAGCTGCGCCGGCAGTGAAAGCACATACATAGAGGTGCATACAGCCATGCTAATGGAGAGACAACATCTCCACTATACCCCAGATGTGGATGATCCACATGCAGTCTCCTTGGGAGACGATTTGTACATAGTTCTCACGTTTTCCCTTTCCCCTCTTGTTTCCCCTCGTGTCGATCAGGCAAACTATAACACATTACTAAATACAACGGCTCACAGGCCCATGCATCACTGCTTCCCGGCGCAGACGGGCGTCTGGCCTGGGAATCCAGCTGAATAGGTAGCCCAGTACCTAGACTTAGCATACAGGGTTATCCCCTTGGCACTTTGTGCTGCTATACTGGCACCTGTTATACTACTTAGAAGTCCAATATCACTAAGTGATCTATGAAAATACAAACAATTAATGCTCGCGGTTTAAACACGCCGCACAAACGACGGCTCCTCCTGGAGGATGCCAAGCGTCAGCAGTCAGATATTCTCTGTATACAAGAGACCCACTTCGCACATAATAAGGTACCCCACTTTGCCACTAAAGATTACCCCACGCAATATCACTCCACCTATGCTTCTAACTCCAGAGGTGTTTCCCTGCTCATCCACGCATCACTCTCATTTGAGCTTGTTTTTAAAAAAAGATGCACAGGGTCGATTTCTTATACTACATTGTAAAATAAATGAAGTTGTCTATACTCTAGTGGGAATTTATAGCCCCAATGACAACCAAGGGAACTTCCTGAGGAAGGTGCTCTCTAAACTCCCTAATACGGTGCAAGCGTCCACGATTATCTGCGGGGACTTAAATCATGTGTTATCTGCCAGCATGGACACCACTGCTTGGGCACAGGCGCATAGACACAGAGTGGTGGAAAGACAGGCAGATCTCCTGTTAAAACTCTTGTCGGAATACCAATTATACGACGTGTGGCGAGCACAGCATCCGAACAGTCGGGAATTTACCTTCTACTCACAAGTACACAAAACGCACACTCGTATAGACTTTATATTCATATCAGGGGACCTACTACCCAAAGCCACGCATAGTGAAATAGGGAATATAGTATGGTCGGATCACGCCCCGGTGCATCTGATGCTGGAAGATACCTTCCCCTCGCGGGGGGTGGCCACGTGGCGCCTAAATGACTATCTCCTCTCCAACAGGGAATTGTTAGCCAAATTAAAAGAGGAAATAAACGCCTTTTTTGAATTAAATAGTACTACAGACACCGCCATCACCACACAATGGCAGGCGCACAAGGCAGTAATCAGAGGTTTGCTAATTAGTCACACATCTTATCTTAACAAAAAATCCAGACAGGAATACATAGATCTTTTGAGATCCCTAAGGGAAGAAACTTCCAGGCAAATCAAAACCCCAACGCCATCCACACAACAACGCATAGAGGCCCTACGAGGGGAATTAAATGCTAAACATTTGCGGACAACGGCCCTCATGGCATACAAACTAAAACAGACGACATACACACAAGGGAATAGAGCGGGGAAGACACTGGCAAGGCTACTAAGGCAACAACGACAAAATGCAAAAATCCCGTATCTCCTTGATAGCATAGGGAATAAGATGTATAACCCTCAGGCGATTAATGATCAATTGGCGGATTATTATGATGGTCTTTACAATTTAAAAAAGAACCCAGGCACACACCAGCCATCCCAAGCGGAAATAGACCTGTTCCTACACGGTGTCCAGCTACAGCAGCTTACACACCCAGACCAGGTATCACTAGCAGAACCCATTACATCTTCAGAGATTGAAACCACGATTAAATCGCTTCCTAAGGGAAAATCCCCTGGCCCAGATGGTTTCACGAATCTCTATTATAAAACCTTTTCCCATACGCTCGTCCCCCAATTAGAGAAATTGTACAACCATATACGTATCACCGGCGAAATCCCTAAAGAAATGCTCTTAGCGCACATAACAACCCTGCCAAAACCCAGCAAACCACCCAATAGAAGCCAAAATTTACGTCCCATATCGCTATTAAACACGGACCTAAAGATATTAGCCAAAATTTATGCTAACAGACTGGGGTCCATCCTGCCCAGGTTGATAAATGATGATCAAGTTGGGTTCATAAGGGGGAGGCAAGGCTCAGACGGGACCAGGAAGTTGATTAATCTTTTCCATACTATACGGAAAACCGGAGTCCCGAGTGTGGTACTGTCACTGGATGCTGAAAAAGCATTTGACAGGCTACACTGGGGCTACCTACAATCCGTACTCAGGAAGCTAGCCTTCCCGGAATGCTTCATTACCCTGGTATCGGCGCTTTATAGTAACCCCACTGCAAGAATATCTAATGGGGGCTTCACCTCCAAACCCTTCTCCATTTCCAACGGGTCCAGGCAAGGGTGCCCACTATCCCCCCTCTTATACATAATAGCGCTGGAGTCTTTAGCACAGCATATACGGAACTCACCAGGTATTCATGGGATACTAGCAGGAGGGATGGAACATAAAATTACACTTTTTGCAGATGACGTAATGCTCACGCTATCTCAACCAGAGACTTCCCTCCCCGAGCTACAAACTGTCTTAACACGATTTAGCAATTGCTCTTATTATAAGTTGAACACAACAAAAACGCAAGCCATAGGCCTCAACATAACCAAATCCAAACTCCTGGAATTAAAAACCACCCATGCTTACGATTGGCAACAGTCCCACTTAACCTTTTTAGGGGTCAATCTCACACCTCAAACAAACCAACTATATAAGGCTAACTATCTGAAACTGCATAACTCAATTAAGCAACAGCTCTTAGCTTGGAAACACAAATACATCTCGTGGACGGGTAGAATAGCTGCCATTAAAATGATGGTCTTACCAAGGTGGCAATACCTTTTCCGAACCTTGCAGATTAGGTTACCGAGTACTTTTTTTAAAGAGTCTCAACAAGTGATAACTCAATTCATCTGGGGAGGAAAGAAACCTAGGATAGCGGCTGAAACTTTGTATAAACCATTTAGGGAAGGTGGCCTGGGGTTGCCAAACATAGCACGGTACTACGCGGCGGCTGTGATGAGTACACTGGTAACTACCTACTTTGATAAAAAGCCACGGAAGTGGAACTCTATAGAATCCTCGCACATAGGGGGCCTTTCCCTGCCCACAATGGTTTGGTTGCCTAAAATGCATAGACCGAAATACAACACTATTAGTCCCACCACAGCAGCAACGATTTACATATGGGACAGAATCCTTAAACGGCACCGAAGCGATACTTACATATCCCTCGCTATGCCGATACAAGCCTTACAATTTTATATTCCTAACTTTGACTATGGGTTGTGGCACAAACATGGGGTAACATATATATATCAAATCCTAGCAGAGGGCCGTATCCTGGATTTTACCTCCATAATCCAATCCTATCGACTTCCAGAGAAAGCACAGTACTCGCACATGCAATTACAATCTTGGGCACGATGGAATCTCAAAGGAGATGTCCTACAACAGCGCAACTCCTTGTTAGCAGAATTGGAGAAATTGTGCATGGCCCCGAAACTTTCCCCCAAATTGCTGTCTGTAATATATCAGCAACTAACGAAATACGATAAACTATGGAGACCATCGTTTCTGAGGGCTTGGGAGAGGGATTTCCACAAAAACATATCAGACGAACAATGGGCTGACATATTCCTCGCACACAAAAACCTCACTCTCAACGCATCCCACATAGAACTGAGTAGGAAAGTGTTGTATAGGATGTATATGGTCCCCACAAGGGTGCACAAAATAGCTCATGAAAGATCCAACCTGTGTTGGAGATGCCGGACGGAACCCGGATCTATGCTCCACATTTGGTGGTCCTGTCCACGACTTGTGGAGTTCTGGAAGGATATTTCAACCACGATACAGGCAGTAACAGGCAAGAAACTTACTCACAACCCATAGACATACTTACTTTTAGCACTGCCGAGGAGACTTCCCAAAGCCACTCTACATCTTATGTACCATATTATCATTGCAGCCCTAGCGGCAATAGGAAAGATGTGGCTCAGGGACACTCCGCCAGAGATTGGGCAGTGTTTGAACGAGGTGGACACCACAAAACAATATGAGTTAGAAACAAGATGCCTAAGACCTAAAGGAGAGACATGGCAGGCAACATGGGCCCAGTGGAAAACTTGGCGACAACAAAACTCAACTCACTAAGGCCCAGAGGCTCAGAGCCCTTAGCATAGACTTTTATTACTGAAGGACCGACACCTTGCCCATAATTGACCCTAACCTCTCCCTAGTTTCCCCAACCCAAGTTTCTAGAGGGCGGGTATGATGTAAAAAGACGGAAACTACGGAGGCATTGACATACGGGTGATGATACCGAGGTTCCCTACACCTTGACGCTTCCCTGTTGACATATGAAGTTATACAAGACACGGGAAGCAAGAGTGATAAACACTTGACCCACTTGGATGGGTGAGGGATCTAATACCCAGCATTGTTGTACTGTCGTGATGTCTGTACAATGCATCCCTTTCTTTTCTGTACCCATTTCCCCCTTAAGTCTTAAAATTCAATAAAATATTGAAACAAAAACAAAAAATTATATACACACTGTAAATAAATATTCAATTAATATAATTTTTGGGGGATCTAATTTTACTTAGGAATTTACCAGTAGCTGCTGCATTTCCCACCCTAGTCTTATACTCAAGTCAATACGTTTTCCCAGTTTTTTGGGGTAAAATTAGGGGTCTCGACTTATATTTGGGTCGATTTATACTTGAGTATATATGGTATTTATATTATATATATTATAGAAAAATAAATAAAAATTAATTAATAAATAATAATAAATATATATATATATATATATATATCTCAATATATCAAAATACACTTAGAATGAAATTATATATACATAAAATAATATAAATATACCCATACACATAATTACATAAATAACTTCATAAATATACACGTAGACTTCAAATATATAAATATGTATATATATATATATATATATATATATATATTTAAAATTCTATGTGCATATTTATGTAGTATTTTTAAATAATTAAGTCATTTTACTGATTACAATTTGAGGGACCTGCCTGACAACCCAGGCAGAAAGTCCGGAAAATTAAATTTGCTAGCACTATATTCAACCCTGTAACTCTCCAAGACACCCTAAAACCTGTACATGGGGGGTACTGTTTTACTCGGGAGACTTCGCTGAATACAAATATTAGTGTTTTCAAACAATGATATTGTCAGTGAAAGTTACTTTTTTGGCATTTTTTTACACACAAACGACACTTTCGCCGTTTTTGTAATACGTTTTACGGTTTTAATACACTAATATTTGTGTTCAGGGAAGTCTCCAGAGTATAACAGTACTCTCCATGTACAGGTTTTATAGTTTTTTTTACATGGTCAAATATAAGGCTTGCTTTTCAGTTTTTTCACATTTAAATTTGCCAGATTGGTTATGTTGCCTTTGAGAGCGTATGGTAGCCCAGGAATGAGAATTACCCCATGATGGCATACCATATGCAAAATAAGAGAACCCAAGGTGTTGCAAATGAGGTATGTTCGGCCTTTTTTAGTAGACAGTCACAAACACTAGCCAAAGTAAGCGTTCATAATTGTTTTTTGCATTTTTAACACAAACAAAATATAAATGCTAACTTTGGCCAGTGTTTGTGACTAAGTGGCTATTAAAAAAGACTGGACATACCCCATATTGAGTAGGGTTGTCTACTTTTGCAAATGGTATGCCATCATGGGGGTAATTCTCATTCCTGGGCTACCATACGCTCTCAAAGGCAACATAACCAGTCTGTCAAATTTTAATGTGTATAAACTGAAAAACAAAACACGCTATATTTGACCCTGTAACTTTCCAAAACACCATAGAAACCTGTACATGGGGTGGTACTGTTGTACTCGTGAGACTTTGCTGAATACAAATGTGTGCATTTTATTGCAATAAAAGCTAACAGTATTATGACATTCACAGTTAAAATGCAATGCAGAACTAAACTTTTTTTTTATCTTTATTTCTCACACTTTTTTTTTTATTTTATTCATAATGAATTCGGTTTCATATATATTTATATCTGAGAGTAGGTGGTGGGTAAGTTAATTGTTCTGTATGTATTTGGGTATATATGTTAGCACTTGCACTGTATTAGTTAGTCCTGATGAAAGTCTGTGTTTAACAGACTGAAACGTCGATTTATTTTTAAAGCTAATTAAAAGCAAAGTTTTATTTACAAGTCCTGGGAGTGCTATCTGGATCATTTGTTCATATATACCTGTATATATATATAATATAAATCATTCTGTGGCACAATTAACCTCTAGGGAATTCATATAAGAAAAATATATTTGAAGTCTATTCCCACCAATATTTACATTTTCAGTACACCTGGGTGACTAGGAACCGAAAATTGTTCAACTGTGACTACCTGTTTCACAGGTGTAAAAATATGAGGTCACACATAGACAAAATTCTCTTAGTCATTCATTACAATGGGTAAGAAATAGTGATGTTCCGAACGGTTCGCCGCGGACTCAGATGAGTCTGCGGCGAACCGTTCGCGAACCGTTCGGGACATCACTAGTATGAAACAGTAATATGGCTGTGATGTGTGGGAAAAAGTTGATCTTTACAAAACTGGAAGTGGCTATGAGAAAATTGCAAAAGCATAAAAAAAAAAAAAAAAAACACCCATTTCCACCATTAAGGCAATAATTATGAAGTTCTACTCAACTGGAAATATTATGAATCAACCTCGAAAAGGACGTGTGTCTAAATTGTCACAACACCCTGTTAAGAGGATGGTTCAAGTGACCAAAAAAGAAGTTAGTTGCGTCTTGAGATCAGAAATCTATAAAATTACAATAGGACATCACCTACACCACCACAAGTTGTTTGGAAGGGTTTGAAGAAAAAAGCCTCTCCTCTAATCCAAGCACAAACTCAAGTGTCTTCAGTTTGGGGGCTTTCTGACAAATACCAGACATGGGTTTGGTGCACACAGAGAGGTAGTTTTATGGAAAAGTACCTCAGGACCACAGTTAAATATGGTGGTGTCTCTTAATGTTTTGGGGCTGTTTTTCAGTCAGAGACATTTTATTACGATACACGGCATCATGAACTCTATCAAATATCAACAGATCTTAAATGAACACATGACTGCTTCTGCAAGAAACCTTAAAACTGTCCCTCGCTGGATCTTCCAACAGGACAACAGAGATAACAATCAGCATGAAAAATGTACTGCCATGGACATCCCAACAGAAAACCTGTAGGGTGAACTTAAGAGGAGAGTCCACCAGCATAGACCTCAAACTTTGAAGGATCTGGAGAAATTCTGTATGTAGAAATGGTCTCTGATCCTTTGCGATGTATTCTCCAACCTCATCAGGCATAGTAGGAAAATACTTTGAGCTATTACCTAGGCAAAGGGAGGTAGAACAAACTATTGATAAACTTGTGTTGTGTTTCCAATTGTATCCAAGAGAGAAGAGTATCTTTTTTAACAAAAGATTAAATAATAAAGCCAATTTTTCACACACAAAAATATATGGATTGAACTGACTGGGAGCACAAACTCAAAACCCTAATTTCGAGGTAGAATGGGGGAGCAAGCCCATGCCAATTGCATCATTCTTGATGGGAAACCACAATGTTGTATTCCTAGCATTATAGTACCCTACCCCGGTGGGGAACCTAATGCACATGTGCAGCAAACACCGCATTAGGATTACCCCATAGTAAAGCATTGAATCAATGCTTTCCTACGGGGTTTTAGCTGACATTGGATGTCCTCATGCAGACCGTGAGATCGTTCAGCGTCAGTTAGGCAACAAAGAGTCGCCTAACAACCAGGAACGGCCTCTAGTCTGGTAATCAATAACTGCAATAATTACTATTGCAGGGTTAAACTGACAGGGATAATGAGCTGAAGTGGTCTGGAAGCCTATAGTGTCCCTTCAATTGTTTTACTGTCTGGGGAACAGCTGCTCAAATGGCAGCCTTTCAGACTTATTGTGCCTCACTGGCTGACAGACATATTTAAATATATTATCTTTGTTATGTAGCGTATTAATGGTGAAGGACAAAATCCAGCACGATGCATGCATAATAGTGTTAAACAAAGTCAGAAGGCCACCTGCAGTTCATGTTGCTCTTTACAGTGACATTTTTTTTTTTTGTCCTTTCAGTGTAAATGCAATTCCTTTCTTATCAAAATCTGTCTAAAACACATAATTCCAATGCTAGCAAACAAGCCTTGGATTATTACCTACCCAGCCAACACAAGTATTCCTAAGGTTGTTCAATGTCATTTATTGTGATAATCAGTTGGCACTAAAAGAAACATTACAAGATGATAACATAAATAGCTACATTTCAATTCACAGGGCTACTAAAATGAGAATTCAAAGCAAAACCAAAGCAAATCCCAAAATTATCGAACTGGAAAAAGTCAGCTATGATTTCAGGTCGTCTCCTCTGGCATTAAAATTCACACCTTAGTAAATAACGCTGTCAGTGTATGATGCCATCAAGTTAGTTGACAGCGTTTGGTACAGCAGTAATTTTGCCAGTAGCTGCTGCATTTCCCACCTTAGTCTTATACTCGAGTCAATACGTTTTCCCAGTTTTTTGGGGTAAAATTAGGGGCCTCGACTTATATTCGGGTCGACTTATACTCGAAGATATACGGTACATCTGATTGAAAGTGAAACCAATTTTTTTTCATGGAGGCTGTGTCAATCATAGCCAGGGGAGGTGTGGCAAGGGCTGCATAAACAGAAACAAAATAGTTTTTCTATTAATTCTTTATTTTTCCAAGTTTTTCAAATTCTGGCATCAGTGAAAATAATCAGTTGTCATATTATGCTTACACTTACTGTAAAGTAGGTATAAGCATAAAAAAATGTCATATACAATTTGAGATACAAATTTGATGATACAGCATATCCATGAGATATTTTTTTTCTTCTTCTCTTTCTTTTGTTTAATGTAGGATGCCTTAAAAGAGACACTCTAGGCACCTAATGACTGGTTATGGTGTCTGTAGGTCCTGGGCGTTGTCTTACCTTAAAGGGCACCTGTTATGTCCCAAACAATCTTATGCTCATTAGATTGAGCATAAGATTGTAATTATACATTGTTCTAGCAAATGTAAAGATTAGGAGAAAAAAAACAGTCTGGATATTATTTTTTCTCCCAGCTGTCAGTCAATGCCTCGGCATGCCAAGGGACTGACAAGGGACAGCAGAAAAGACCACAGGAGGTCCCTCCGCTCTCCACCCAGAGCAACCATAATGCATGTGCTGTGGTTGCCATGGAAACTCCTTAGCCAGCACTGGCAAAAACTAGCAGGCACGCTGGCAAAGAAGCCAGCGTGCGGACATCACTGACAAGACTTGCCCTGCTCGGTGAAGCATTCCGGGTGCAGTCAAACACTCGATAGATTGTTACTTGGGAGTAAAGTCAGGGTTTCTGCCAAAAAATAAAACCTAGGAACAAAGGAATCATAACCAGACACCCAAGGATGGTTAGAAGACTTTACCTTCTACAATACACAATAACTGTACACTAGATTACATTACCATTTTCCTTATTACTTGTTAGAAGGTATTAAATAGGATAATATTCTTGAAATATTCTTTAGAAATGCAACATCTAGTGCTGGAGATATATTATTCTCTTTCGCAATATTACCCACAATATAATTTTTCCAATTTGAGACGCATTAATAAACGCAGAGTCTAATTTAATTAGATTGAAATCAAATTATGTTTTTCAGTAGCAGAAAACTGCAGCTCAATCTGCGTTTATGAAAAACATACTGTAAAAGTGCCGAGTAACAGATTGGAGGGAGGATTAAAAACAAAATACAGACGGATAAGTAATCACTATTTTCAAAACCCATGGTTTTAAAATTTTATTTTATTTTTTAAATATACAATGTTTAATATTAGCGCAACTAAATACAACTTCACCAATGCTCATCTCCTGATCTCCCTAAATTACATTTGCACAGCAGACAATAAGTAGCACACATATAATTCTTGAAGGGGTGGGTAGACACAAAGTCATACTCTACTTGTGTGGCTGTGGTCATCTTGAGAACGCAGAAGTAATCTTCATGTTGGTATATATTGTAATAATTTCTTTACTGATGAATTTTCCAGCACAATGTATCACTAAATGTATGGTTTTGTGAATGGGATATTTTAATCCACATTTTTGGAGGAAAGCAGAGTTCTTTTCAAATTGCATACATATAAAAAAATTGAAAAAAAGAAAAAAAGCAGGGGTAGGCAACCTTTTAGCAGCACTGTGCCGAAATAGGATTGTGATGTCCCACAGCGTGCTCATCCTATTTTTTTTAAATTGAGGTGTGTATGTTGCCATACTCTGCTGGTGTTATTTATAGTGCAATTGCTTTGTATCATTGTATTTGTGCAGATATGAGCTATTATATTGTGTATGTTCAGGAGTAGTTTGTGGTGTTGTGTATGATACCTGTGAATGTGGGCTGTGTATGGAGGCTGCTTGTGGAATTGTGTGTGGATGGATATGTCACATTGTGTGTTTGTTGGGGTGTGTATGTGTGGGGCTGCTTAAGGTATTGCATGTAAGAGACTGCGTGTGGGGTTGTGTGCATGTATGTGGATTGTCAGTGGTGTTTTATTTGTGTGGATTGTGTGCGTTTGTGGGTGGGCTGTTCGTATTATTTGTGTGAGGGGAGGGTTATTCTGCATTTCTGTGTATATCTAGCAGAGTGGGTGGCTTCCCTGGGTTCCCAGGTACAGGTCAATCACAGGAGCTGCAACAGCAGCTGTAGGCTGCTCTACTCCAGTGTGGATTCCCATTCACAAGTGCTAGGAGGAAGTGATCTGAGATCAGTTCCTCTATGTGGTGCAATGCATAAATTGAGGATTGTCCTTCACCACCTTTTCATATTAGCAGATATCTGAAGTGTCACTGGGACTCCTGATAGGCCAGAGCCTGTTTGGCTCTAGCAGCCTTGAGTGCCGTGCAAAGGCACCTTGAGTGTCGTGCATGGCACACGTGCAATAGGTTGCCTACCCCTGCTATAGGGTGTCAGCAGAAAAAAAAGCTTAGAATACAAAAGGATGTGAGAATTTCACCAAAATGGATGGATCTAGAGTAACAATGGATGCCCAATTCCCCAACCCCATCGAGAGAAACAAATATGGTTACAGTTTGCTGCTATTAAGGGAAACACACCTAAAAAAATAGTTTGCACGTCTCCTTTCAATCATATTTCTTTAAGTGATTTTTTTTTATGAACGAACCAAATCTTCAGAAATTATTCATTTCAAGATTACCATTTCATTGAGACTTTTTAAAAAAAAATGTGCACGTCTAACTAAAAGCTGAATAGAGAACCAACACTGAAAATGCAGCCACAGAACAGATGTAATGTTATACTTTTAAATTTAGAAACCAAAATATCTGAAATTCATTTTGATTCTTACTTTAGTATTTACTACTGAGATGAACATATCTCACAGGGTTATGTACTAAAGTGAGTGAACGTGCGTTTAGCTATGTGTATGTGTAGTGGTGTGTGTGTATACTGTCTGAATAAGTGTGTGTTAGTGTGTGTATTTAGAAATGAGAATAATAGAGGTGAATTCTGGGTTTATTTTCCTCAGAAAAATACAGGCCTTTGTACTGCCGGTATATCTGGACATAGATAAAAACGAGAGAAATCTCAATGTATCCTTCCTGGTAAAATATTTCATAAATAAATAACATTTGCAATACTGGCACCGGCCTCAAATACTGGCCAGGTGGCACACCTAATCTGGGTCTGTTAGCCAAGGGTCCTATGCAGCTTTGTTTGATGACATACGGCTTCTGCGGAGCTGCACAATGCCAATCCCTACAGCCATTCATTGGCTGAGGGTGTTCGATGTCACTTTCAGCCAATGAATGACATTCTGTGCATAAGAATATGTACAGAATTGACATTAGCAAGCCCGAATGACATTGCAGTAGACAGTGTTTTAACTCCAGCAGCGAAGGGATGAAACTCTGCATGTGCAGCTTTTCATAGCAAAACAATGCACGCAGAGACTCCAGGCACCATAACTGATATAGAAAGAGTCAATATAGAGAAACTGTAATTTTCGGTGTAACAAAAGGGTTAAAAGAGAATATTTTAGTACAAAAAATTATGTTTGCTACTTTCTATTATGATCTACAACAAGGACCCCTTCAAGTCACTGGAAGAGTGGAGTTACCTTTTATTACATTCTGATATATCAAAGTTAAATATTTGTTCAGAATGGCAATAAAAAGTAAAAAAAAAACTGAAAAAAAATAAATAAAAATCGGTGCTGGTCAAGGGAGAGTTTATCACTTTACTTGATAGTATTAGATCCTAAAAAAAACATACGAACTAATATTATAATGGCAGGCATACCTTTGCCATTACTGAATTCACTTGGCATGATCTAGGTGAGGCCAAATGTCTTCTATTGTAAATTATTATTATATTTATATAGCGCCAACAAATTTCATAGCGCTTTACAATGGGTGGACTAACAAAAATGTAGTTGTAACCAGACAAGTTTGATGCACAGAAACAGAGGGTTTCAGGGGCCTGCTCAATGAGCTTACATGCTAGAGGGAGTGGGGTAAAGTAACACAAAAGGTAAAGGAAGTAGATTGGTAGAATAGTATTTAATGAAGACTTTGTGTTGGTTTTTAGAGCAATTAACAGTTTAATTGGTATGCTTTTGTGAAAAAGTGAATTTTTTTAATGATTTTTTTGAAGGAGTGGAGACTGGGTGAGTGTCTAATGGAAAAGGGAAGGGAGTTCCATAGGAATGGTGCAGCCCTAAAAAAGTCTTGAATGCGAGCATCAGAGATGGGAGTAGGAACAGAGAATAGGTCTTCGGCAGAACATAAGGGCTTAGATGGGACAAACTTGTATAATAGGGAGGATAGATAGGTGGGAGTGGCATTATGTAGAGATTTGAAAGCAAGAACCAGAATTTTATATTGAGCCCTTTATCTTACCGGAAGCCAATGTAGGGACTGACAGAAGGGTGAGGCGTGGGAGGTGCGGGCGGACAGGAAGAGGAGCCTCGCCGCATTCATTACCAACTGCAATGGGGCAAGTTGGAAATATGTAAGACCACTGAGAAGCGGATTGCAGTAGTCAAGGTGAGAGAGGACAGTGGCATGGGCCAGCACCTTAGCCGCACCTGGCGTTATGTAGGCGGATGCGCACAATGTTTTTGAGATGGAAGCGGCAGGATTTAGCGATAGACTGAACATGAGGCGTAAAGGAGAGGTCAGAGTCAAAGAGAACACCTAGGCAGCGAGCATGCGTGGTGGAGCTGATGGTAGCACCATTAACGTGGAGGGAGACAGAGATGGGAGTAGCAACACTTGAGGGAAAGACCAGAAGTTCTGTTTTGGACAAGTTGAGCTTAAGAAAGTGGGCAGTCATCTAGTTAGAAATAGCAGAGAGGCAGTCAGAGACACTAGTCAAGAGGGGCGGTGAGAGATCGGGGAAGAGAGATAGATTTGTGTGTCATCCACATAGAAGTGATATTGAAAGCCAAAAGAGCTGATGAGTTTACCAGTGGAGGCTGTATAGATTGAGAACAATAGGGGATCAAGGACAGACCCTTGGGGAACACGAACAGAGAGAGGTTGGGAGGAAGAGGCAGAGGCAGAGCCAGAGAAAGAGACTGGAGTGAGATAGGAGCACCAGGAGAGAGCAATATTGCAGACAGAGATTACGGAGGATGAGAAGAAGCTGTTGATAATCAACAGTGTCAAAAGCAGCAGAAAGATTAAGGAATATTAAGATAGAGTAGTGACCATGAGATTTTGCAGCAAGTAGACTGATACTTTAGTCAGAGCCGTTTCCACGTGCGGAGTGCGTAAACCAGACTGAAGTGGTCGAGCTAAGAATTGGACTTGAGGAAGTCGGTCAATCTCATATACACAAGTCTTTCAAGGATTCTGGACGCAAAAGGCAGTAGCGAAATCAGGGTCAATGTTGGGCTTTTTTTTTTTTTTTTAAGAATCAGAGTTACAGTTACATGTTTGAAGGGTAATAGAAATATGCCAGAGGGGAGGGCAAGATTAAGCATTTTAGTGAGAGGCAAAGCAAGAGAAGGAGAGAGTACGGATGAGATGCGAGGGAATAGGATCAAGGGAGCAGGTGGTGGGGTGGGAGGACCGGAGCAGATCAGAAACCTTGTCCGTTGTAGCGGGTGCAAATGAACATAGAACAGCACAGGGAGTGAGGTTGGGGGGAGTATTGTAAGGGGAAGGAGAGAGATGAGAGATCTCTTCCCTGATTGTAGAGTTCTTGCCAGTGAAGTGAGTTGCAAATTTTGTGGCGGTTAAGTTGGAAGGAGGAGGAGGAGAAACAGGGCGTAGAAGAGAGTAAAAAATGTGAAATAGTCGTTTGGGTTCAAGGGAGAATGTGGTTATGAGGGTATTGAAGTAATTTACTTTTGCAGAGGAAAGAGCCAAGCTGTAATGCTGAAAACGTGTTTCTACATTACATAACCATTTCATATATCTACATCAAAATCGGATCTGGCAATCAGGCTTGCCAAATAAATCCCAGAACATCCCACTGACATGCTGCTTTTAAATAAATTTCTAAAGGACATGTTTTACTGCAGAACTGTGGGTATCTTATAGGAACAAAACAAGATAAGCATGTTCTCTGCCAACCCTGGGCTGTTTACAGTTAAAAATGGGAAAATTCAGACCCATGTGAGCTATTTAGCTATGGTCTACATTCACATCACAAAGTGTATCTACTTTTACTTTTTATAATGTATATTCAAATGCGGGAAAGTACACCATTTCATCACACAGATTGAAAGTGAAAACAGTACAATAGGTAAACTATTATTATTTATGTACATCTGTATAACCAGACAACGAAAACTTCTCTCACAAACGCAGGCCTCCCAACAATCCTGATTTTGTGAGGATAGACCTGATTTTGTGGATCCTGTCCCACTATCCCAATTTTATCCACAGACGCAGGACACCAGAAAATTGATCTCAAGCAGCAAAGCTTAAGCACAGAATTTCACATGCTCGATAGTGAACGGGCGGTAGGACCATACAGCTGCACTGTATGATCCTGTATGGAAGAGGCCAGCCTAGATGCGGTCAGTCAGTCTGGCATGCCATTCTTTTTCAGTGGGAAGGACCACCCATTATCCCATCCCATCCCAATCTCATACCTCCCAATGTTGGGAGGAGTATGCAAATGCCATAAGCATGGTGGTAAGCATGGTGGTAAGCAAGTACTCCAATCAAAATAATACAACTGTTAAATAAATATTTTTTATATATAGATACACACACACACAACTTGACAAATGTGTTTGGAATCTAGGAGCCAGCTAAAAAAGTTAGGAGCTAGCTCCACACTGCTCATGGCTCCTGGCTGCCCTCATGCTGCTCACGGCTCTAATATTCCCAGCAGAGCTGCTAAATGCCAGGTGCCAAAGCGAAATATATCTTTATTTTTATTTGTGTTCAGTGCAACCATCGATATGTTGATGCGAAGTCCTGTAGTGACGCAACATGTTATAGTACAACGTCGGTAGGCCAGTAAATAGTGGGCAAAAAGAAAGAATTATCTTGCCAAAGAAAATTTTAAAACAATGAACATAATAGAACACAAAGAAAAACCTTAATATGTGATCTGAACCGGTTGTCCCAGCTGGCTAGTCTTGGTACAGAGTAGTGACAGTACATAATGATTGTGATGTCTAACCAAGTAGGAGCGTTTGAGGCATTCATGGGAGTGATTTTTGCTATGGATGGTAATTTTGCAAGGTCAAAGGAACCCAAAAAAGGGCAGGTAGATTGTAGCTTTAATGACCGTATTGGTGATAGGTTCAAAAGGGGTTGCATCTAGCAAGTCCGATATGGCCTTGAACAGCTGTTTATCAATGAGTAGGACCGCTGGCTTTGTGTATGCCTTTAAGTATGGTCTTCATTGGGTAAGAAGAAAGAAAACTGGTGTTGTCTGGAAAATATGAATACATATGGTGTTGAATGCCTGTTAAGTATAGCTTAAGGTGGCAAAATACAGGACTAGCTCCTGGAACGAAGGGGTGGCCGTGGGAACCCAACCGTGATTGTAACTCCTTCCGATTACAAGAACCAACTTGGACGTATTGGTTGATGATATGACTTATTTTATCTAACGGGAGGCTGGCTTCCCTGGCCATGGAATCATGGTGAATACCCAGGAAACTAACTATGGTGTTGGGACCTTCAGTTTTGCTGGGAGTTTTGCATAAGGAATGAAATAGCTTAATGGCTTTGTTTAAGTTGCCTGGGGTGGAGAAATTGTTCTCGATAAACAGAAAGTCATCCAGGTAGTGAATTACTGTATGGCACCTGCACGCAGTGGTGCATCCTGGTTTTGTGCTGCCCAAGGCATGACAAAACTCAGACGCCCCCCTTCCCCCGACCCCGCCTTCTAAATACACACACACACACACATTCACTGACAGACACGCATACACTAGCTAACAGACATACACACTCACTAACAGACACATACAGTCACTAGCAGACACATACAGTCACTAGCAGACACGCATACACTCTCACTAACAGACACACACATAGTAACACATTCCCTAACACACACTCCCTGACGTACACACAGACACACACACACTAACAGACACACTCACATTAACACACTCACAGACACATACACTCACATTAACACACTCACTTTTTTTTTTTTTTATTCAATTCCCCCAGCCGCCTTACCTTTGGGAATGCTTGGGGGGGGGTTTCTCCCTTTCCGTGGGGTCCAATGGGGCTGTTGGGCGGGCGGGCGGCACTGGCGAGGGAGCACTGATTAGTGAGCTCTCTGCTCAGCTCCCTGGCGCGCCGGAGAGTGATGCTGGGAGCCGGAATATGACGTTATATTATGGCTCCCGGCATCACTCTGCGGCGCCAGAGGGAGCTGAGCAGAGAGCTCACTAATCAGTGCTCCCTCGCCAGCTTCGTCCGGATTTTTAGTTAGCTGTCAGGCTAACAAGACATTTGCCGGGGCATTTGGGGGCGGCTTTTTTTGCTGCCCCCTGGAAAGTGCCGCCCAAGGCAAATTCCTTGTTTGCCTCGTGGCTAATACGTCCCTGCCTGCACGTGTTCAATAGAAGCCAACACAAGGTCTCAGCGAAAGTGTCAAAAATCTTAGGGCTGTTTTCGACCCGAAGGGGAGTTTTATGAAAAAGTAGTATAGACCCTTCCATTTGATACTGTGCAGATGCCATAGAGTAGGATGAATGGGTAGCAATTTGAAGGCGTTAAAATGTATGTTTTACTGAGCCAGGCCCCAATCCCTGTTGTAATGATTGTGTCAATTGCGTTGTCAATTGTGGAATACTGCAGCGAAAACTCCTCCGAGGGAATCAAGGAGTTATGGCTGGGAATACCCGAAGAGTGAGGTGCGGAGAAGTCTACTATCAATCTTTGTTTGCCAGAGGTTTTCCCGGTGACCACACCTATGGGGTTAGTCCTCCAGTTGGAGAATGGAGGTTCCTTAAATGTTCCTAATAAGAAACCTTCCCCTAGTTCTTTGTGTAACAGTGTATCAACAGCGTCCATGTCTACCATAGCGGATTGGAGGTTACTGCACTCTACAATACCTGCAGGTATGTGAATAATACCAGTATGAAAACCATGTGAGAACTCCGTTATTAAGAAATCGACCAAGTGTCTGGAAGGGTGAGTGGTTAAAGAGCTAGCCAGAGAACCAACATTTACCGGAGGTCAGATAAGGTTTAGCATGCATTTTATTTGAGCACATAGACTTAGCATGGGCCTTAAAGCAGTGAGAACATACATGCAACAAGCGGCAAGCACTAATACCGCAGGTACCTTCATGGTAATGGTTACACACCTGATATTTTCCTAAATATACAATAGCACAACCCAGCTTATCCTTGGCCGGTTTGTCAAACTTGGCTCGGGCGCCTAGGAAAGCCATGGTAGGATTGATGTCAGGGGAGATCGGACAATAGTCTGTGGCATGCGCGGTGGATGCGCAGATTGCACAAGCTGGTGTACTCAGCCCGGTGACGTGCCTGCAAAACAGCTCAGTGTCCATTCTGCTCCAATCAGTTTTGATGTTGAACTGAGCCAGAATGGCAGAGGCCCTCGCCGAAAAGGACCGGTTGTAATCATAGAATGATGAACCCCTGTATTTTTGCCAGTCCACCAGCTTGTGCAAGTAGAGATCCAACTCTTCCCTCCTATGAGGGTGTACCGAGCATATTACAACCCTATAAATCCCAAAAGCAATGACAAAATCCGGGATAGACAATTTCTTACTTAGTCTAGGATCCCTAGATTTCAATAGAACAGATATATCGCCGTATGCGTACGTGCGATTCTCCATGACATCCTGAGAGGCAATCACTAGTGAGACAAGATTAACGTATTTGCCTTCCAGGATGTCTTTTTTGAGATTTGCAGGTACCATATGGGTGGGGGTGATGATATGAGTACCCAACTCCGGGGGTACTTTACCCGATTGTATCTGTAGTGAACCTGGAACTTCAGCAGTTAAAGTCGCAGATGATGACAGGGGAAGGCTACGAGCTTCAATTCTATCCAGTCTATCGTTAACTTTCCCCATGGAGGTAGAGAGTGAGGAAATCATGGCGTGAAACTCCAAATTTCTGGAGCCATTCGTTCCTTCTCCGGCCCCAGCGTTGTCAGTATGTGTCTGCATGAGCTGAAACAGTTCCGCTTTCCGGGCCGTTGCTGGGAAAGGGATGTTGCGTTTATGAAGTTCTGCCGTTATATGGGGAATGGTCCAAGACCTAATAGATGCAGGGCTACTGATATCGCCCTTTTGAGTAGGAGAAATGTACCAGAAGGAGCACTGGGAATTGACAACTCGCCCGCTTCATCAGGGATCTGAGACATACTGAAAGAAATATTAAACACAACTTGGAAAATTAGGTGTTTTACTGGCTGGCTTACAAGTGCCAAGCGGCGAAACAATTCACTAAGTTCGGTGACGGATGAGGCCCTGCTAATTGCCAAGAGGCTAGAGAGGCTCTACCTATGATTTGTTGCGAGGGGATTCGTGACCACTGCACTTGTGGCGGGGTGGCGGCCTCTCTGTGACAAAGCCCAAAGATAGTAGGGGAGTGACATGAGAGGCCCTCCCTATGCAACCGTGTGAGGCGGCTAACTATGATTTGGCCCAAGCGGCGAATTTCACCTCTAGCATGGAGTATGGGTGTTGGCCTTGCGGGACCACTGTAGACAAGGCAGAGGTGCCGGAAGTGTTACCACTTAATAAGCCAGTAAAACCTAAAAGAAAATTGGGATGTTGAGAAGTCACCTTTGGTAAACGTACCTGAAGTCAATTCTCGTGTTTGTTAGGTCAGAAAGTAGTTGTAACCTATTGTAATTGAATCGTACAAGTTGCAGCGTGGATACGGTAATAATAGGGGAAAAACTCACCAACCAAAAGGAAGGGGTATATATATATTGATCCTTATTTGTAGTTAGCACGGTCCTCTAGGGTAAACAACAGGCACAGTCCTTTTATTTTCATATAATCCAGGCACTTTATTGGTAAGTCCACACAGCAACACAACTAAAACATAAATATAACAGGTTTCCCCTTTAAACAAAAAATCTAGCTCGTCTGAGCACTGATTCACTTTTAATATCCCTCTCTATCAGGGTTAAACTAACACAACTTATCATTGGGTTGCACCAACCTTATTAGATAGCAACACTCTGCTCTCCTTTCTGCACTCCCAGTGCTCCAAGCCAGCCTTGACTGCTTCCTTCTGCACGCCCACTGCTCCAAGCCAGCCTTGACTGCTTCCTTCTGCACTCCTAGTGCTCCAAGCCAGCCTTAATTGCTTCCTTCTGCACTCCCAGTGCTCCAAGCCAGCCTTGACCGCTTCCTTCTGAACTCCTAGTGCTCCAAGCCAGCCTTGACCGTTTCCTTTTGCACTCCTAGTGCTCCAAGCCAGCCTTGACTGCTTCCTTCTGCACTCATAGTGCTCAGTCTCATTGACTCTCTCACAGTAGACAACAGCGTCTCTCCTACCTGCTTCCAGGGAGGAAGCAAGCAATCCCCCTTTACTTGCCTAGCATGGAGGTGTTTATTCACACTGCTACAGCTGATTATCTGCAGCTGAGCAGTGGGTTGGAGACAGTTCCAAAAAACTCTGGCCTGGACCTTATTTCTCCAAGTTGTGTATAAACTGAGGAGTGGAGCATTGGCCCACCCTGCTCTCCAAATGCTTCACCCCAGGGGCCCATAACTAAACATAGGTTTGTGTTGCACACCATACATACAACACGTACTCCTGCTGGGGTTAAATGGTATAGGCCTCTCTGCCTTCACTTTATTACAATATTATATATTTTTAACTTACCTGTAACAGAATACTGTGTTTCCCACTAAAGAAGGTAGAGAGGGGAAGGAGAGGCCTATATCTAATAATAACTGTAACGGATCACCTGGCACCCCGACTGGGTACCTCCATTGAAAGATGCTCCTAGCGCTTCCAGAGGACTCCAAGCACTCCACCAGACACCATAAGCACCGCAGACTGCAGCTATCTCCCTTCAGAACGAAGCAGGAACAAGCTCTTACAAGAGCTCAGTGATTATAGCAAGGGAATATGCCTAGCATAGCAATCCCTTGTAGCAGATTCCCCCAATAAGAGACAGGACTCAAGTTGAGGGTAAAAATAGAACTCTCTGGCTGCTAGCTTGCAGCCCTTTTTATTAGGTGCTCCCATGAAGGGGAGGGACACACACAGTAACGTACATTAACCAATCACACAATAGTTACATCCCACACATAGCCCTCCCCTCTACCTGTAAACTAATTATCTGTACACACAGGGAAATACAATTATCATAGGTAGGGAAAATACAGTTTTTACACAACATTCATAACTCCCAAAATATACATCACATTCGCATAAAAATACATATTCACAATCAATCCATTCAGGGGAACAACATATTAAAAAATGGCATGAATCAGACCAGGGGTTCAAAAGTTAGTAAAAGTATCTTTTGTTCCCCCTGGCTCAAACAGTAAAAGTAAAACATCCCCACAATGCATCCTGGCTTCCTCCCTTCTGCCCTGGAGATAATTGGAGAAGGAATCTAATTATCTCCAAAGACAGAGCCAAACTCCATTACCCACATGGCAGACAAAAAGACAGTAAAAGACATAAAATTACATACTGACACATTTAGTACATAAAACACACATTTCTACATATCCCCAGATAGCTTGGATCTGACTGCACATTATTAGATGAATGGCACTCAGATCACACGAATAAGCCTTTCTGCAGGGAAAATAAACAGTTTAACCTGCAGGGCCATAGTCCAAAGGCAAGAGGCGGGCAAGCAGCCCCCTCCAAGGACACGTGGCGAGTTCGGTTTTGCCACAATAACAAAGATAAAGGATTAGCATACATTTACGCCAATGAAACATCTGGAATCGTACCCCTTAACAAGACCACCTACTTACAAGATATAGGATTCGAGGTATGAAGAGCAAATGCTGCTCTATATCTTCACCTAAAGATCTGAAAATGATTGTCATGACACAAATACGTGTGTAAGCAAGCCAATGACATGTATTAACATCAATCGTAACCCCCATAGTATGTTTAAGGAACTATTACATAGAAAACGATGTAGAACCAAATAACATCCTAAACAAAGCGCTATGCGTATACTATGTACCTATACATGTGCTAACTAGAAACCGCATCCAGACTGACCTGCTGAGCCCAATATTATAATGTACAACCTATACATAGAAAAAAATACATTCTGTCAACCAATAGTTTCCTAGTATGAGGGTCTCCTATATACCTCTATACTACTGCAACATCAAGTTCTGACCGCTAGAGGGCCGTCAGCCAAATCACCCTGAGCTAGGAAACCATAGCAACCTATGGAGAATAGTTGCCAAGTTTTCATGAGCACAGGCGTAAATGTTTGAGAATCGTTTAGCTACGGCTAGCCAAACCTAGGGAAATGACTGAATCTCCCTTACTAAGCGAATGAGTGGGAAAAGGACACGAACGGTAGGAGAGCCCACAAGTCAGTTTACCATGATTACGTGCAAACGCAGTAGTGCGCCTAAATGACCCGTTCATCTGGTAAAGAGCCGAACAGGGGGGAGGGGAGAGGCATGAAATAAATAATACTGTGAACAAATATAAGATGGGGATAAACCCACCTAAAAGAGGGCGCTAAACTATACAGGCCAAGGGACAAATTCAATAAAAAATGAACAATTTTATTCTGCACATCATGCAGTAAAGAACAAATATAAATATATAAAAGATCGCTAAACAGCAGTACAATTATGAGACTCTGAAACAACTTATGTCTAGACACTGCTATGCTAACAAGCAGAAAAGATGGAATATATGGATCTAGGTCGCGATCCTAGATCTAAAATACTACTTGCAGCTGGTCAGCAATATGAATAGACAAAAAAATGAACGAAGATCTTAAATACGGTCTCTGGACTGCTGGTGCGCTGATCTAGTGATGTCGGCTCAACGCGTTTCGTCCCGCGTTTTTCGAAAATATGAAATAAATAATAGACACGACCCGTTCGTATAAAAACTAGCTGAACGGATAAGTACAAAAAGGACACAAATGCTCTATGAGGGAATAGAGCCCACGTGTCCACATTTCAACACATGATTGAAAGGAAAAGCACAAACAGTAAAGACGCCAATGGAGGGCGCCTGTGCGACTGCTCGGTCCATGGGGTCGGAGGTCAGGCTGGGGCTTCCAGGTCAGGAGACCATATTGGAGCACGGCAGAACAGAATGTAGCCACGAAGACCTGGGGATCCAGACATCAGTTTCCACGGACAGGTAGTAGGTGAGAGGGCGGTCTGTATGCACCGGAAATAGCAGCATGATGATCGCCAGATCAATGACGGTGAGGTAGGCTGGGGGGTAGGGGGGGAGGAGTCCCTTATATATATCCATATGCCCCTCCCCCAAATCCAGGCCCCTCCCCCAACAAAGCCTTAACACACACACATATATATATATACATATATATATTTACAGTTGCAAGAAAAAGTATGTGAACCCTTTGGAATGATATGGATTTTTGCACAAATTGGTCATAAAATGTGATCTGATCATCATCTAAGTCACATGGAGACTAGATCCCACAGCAGATGTAGTTTAGGCTGTATACGACATTAGCTTCGTTTGAGGTTTTGTGACATTTAAAAAAATAAAATGTAACATACGAAGCCACATCTGTTTAGGCTGCAGTTGGGTGCCTCCATCTTGGGTCTTTGTTAATTAGCTCTGTCCTTTCACATAGCAGTTGGCATAGAGAAAGCGTACAGAAACTATGTTTCAATTTCTTATTTGCATTTAGGTGTGTCTGTACTGAACTTCGTTGTGACATAACTTGCTAAATCTTTAATATAAAGAAAACGGAGCATCACATGTCACAAGCCTTACGGTTACAATATAGGTGATTATCAATGTTGCTCTATGGTACTAGCTCCCTAGTCAAAAATCTTTATTTTAGTGTAACAGTCCCTATTTCAGTGTCCTGTCCCACAGTCCCAAAATTGTTCCCTGGTGTTCCATTTTTTGCAGTGTGTCCACTCTCTTTGGACTGTGCAACTGGTGCAATTTGCATCACAGGCCGACTCCCTTTTATCACACGAACTGGGGCATGGTTCCCCTTTTTAAGTATGTTGTAAAGCTGATCAGGGGATGTCTATTGAATGCAGCTTTTGAGAATGGCTTAGCAATGGCACCAACTGCTTTAAACTGAAAAATAAAGCGAATGAAAGAGGGAATATGCACTCTTTAGTGGGAAGATAATTTGAGCTTCTCAATGGAGGGCCAAAACCACCTGCTTAGAAGGTAGCTAGGCGAAAGAAATAGACGCAAACTATACAATAGTGGGATTTATACCCAAGGAAGTAGACAAAAAACTGTAAAGGAAACTAAAATACACTGAATACAAAATGAAATGAGTTGAAATAAATGAAATAAATGAAACAGAAAATAAAACCTTATGTAATTCCAAGCACATCTATAATTCTAGATTTGTTTGGACCTACATAAAATATTTTCTCTTTCATTTATTTCAATTCTTTTCATTTTATATTCAGTGTATTTTTGGAGTTTTGGTTTCTTTTTCACTTTTTTGTCTACTTTGTTGTTTTGGGGTGTTTTTGGTGAGGTAAAACCTTGATAGGTACCACCCCATTCACTTATATTATTTTTGTTAGTCACTATAGTGAATTTTTCTTTTCATATCACCATGGAAACCCAAAATGTCCCTGCAGATTTCTCCACTTTTAGAACATAAACTATTTTTCTCCCACTAACACTTCTACATATCTTCCCAACAAAAATTGTTATAACAAAAATTGTGACGTGTTTCAATATAACAGAGAGCATGATGAAAAATGTATTTTAAATGTTATATTAAAGGTTATCCTATTTATTATCCTAAAGATCCTTGGTCCATATATTTTTTTCATAGCAGGTATAGAAACTATTCCATTGGATTTTAGAGAAAGTTATAAGATTATTTAAAGATCCTGAATACTCATTAAGAATAGATTTCAGTCCAGGGTGACAGGCGACTTTGGGAGAGAATGGAGATCCCTAGCCATTTCCTCTTACAGCAATATGTTCAACATGAGATAGTACAAACATAGCCACGACTTTGCTCATCTAATCAGCATTAGCAAATCTATATATAGAGCAGCACTAGTTAATGGAAGGAATATGGTTTTCATATCCACCAGCACATGCAAGAAAATGTAATATTATCTAACATTAACAATTATTCAAACCCATTTTAATAGTTCTACATTTTCTTTTCTTGAAGACTGTGGCACTTGTAATTCCGAGAGTCACGTTTCACACTCCTCAGATCCCGACTAATTGGTATATTCTCAGTAGAGAAAGAGGAGGGGAACATGGGCCATTTAACAGCTGCTGCCTCTTTAAACTTTATCAGAGCTGTTTGATATCTGTAATTAAAACGGTCATCCCAATTGTTGAAAACATGTACCCTAGTACGTATACAAAAAAAAAAAAAAAAGTTCAAATAAGTTTAGATTTTTTTTTTTTAATTAAGCACCATCTTTACTGCAATCTATTGTATTGAAGGAGTCTTTGGATGTAGACCTTCTGTCTAGTCCAACCGAGAGCTGCTTTTGTCCAACTGAGAGAATGAAGCAGAGTTATATATATTTATTTATATGTGTTTTAGTGCTGTTAGTGTTCGTGTTTCATTAAAGTGGCTCAGCTGGTTTCAGGGTCTTTCCATTTTTTTTCAAAGGCCACAAAGTTAACATCTGTACTGTGTGTACATCAATCTAAGGATGAGGCTTAATATAGGTATATTTACCTGAAGCTTTAGCCCACAGGCACAGACATCTTTTTTTGGCACAATATGACTACAGCTTCCCACACACATCACTAGAGAATTGATAAAAGTTGACAGCTGGAACTCTGTCTTTTATCATGTTTTATCAACCTAGACTTTGCCTAGTTACTACTTTGTCTTCTTCTGTTTTGGCATTTCAATTAAATTCCAAAGCAGTATTTCACTGTATCTTTATCAGATACAGAAAAGGGACAGAGCTGCTTTAAGGCCTTCCCTGCAAATATTATTTGAAAACAATTAACCATAAATAGTATCCATACAAATTTTTAGGTGATCAATGATTCATGTCTTCAAGTCTGTAAATAAAGGCAGATATGGAGCAGTATTTCACTGTATCTTTATCAGATACAGAAAAGGGACAGAGCTGCTTTAAGGCCTTCCCTGCAAATATTATTTGAAAACAATTAACCATAAATAGTATCCATACAAATTTTTAGGTGATCAATGATTCATGTCTTCAAGTCTGTAAATAAAGGCAGATATGGAGCAGGTGCTCCCCCCCCCCCTAACCTTACTTAACAAAATCCATATAAAATGAAATATGATGTATGCTCTGACAATAATACAGGGAGTGCAGAATTATTAGGCAAGTTGTATTTTTGAGGATTAATGTTATTATTGAACAACAACAACCATGTTCTCAATGAACCCAAAAAACTCATTAATATCAAAGCTGAATATTTTTGGAAGTAGTTTTTAGTTTGTTTTTAGTTATAGCTATGTTAGGGGATATCTGTGTGTGCAGGTGACTATTACTGTGCATAATTATTAGGCAACTTAACAAAAAACAAATATATACCCATTTCAATTATTTATTATTACCAGTGAAACCAATATAACATCTCAACATTCACAAATATACATTTCTGACATTCAAAAACAAAACAAAACAAATCAGTGACCAATATAGCCACCTTTCTTTGCAAGGACACTCAAAAGCCTGCCATCCATGGATTCTGTCAGTGTTTTGATCTGTTCACCATCAACATTGCGTGCAGCAGCAACCACAGCCTCCCAGACACTGTTCAGAGAGGTGTACTGTTTTCCCTCCTTGTAAATCTCACATTTGATGATGGACCACAGGTTCTCAATGGGGTTCAGATCAGGTGAACAAGGAGGCCATGTCATTAGATTTTCTTCTTTATACCCTTTCTTGCCAGCCACGCTGTGGAGTACTTGGACGCGTGTGATGGAGCATTGTCCTGCATGAAAATCATGTTTTTCTTGAAGGATGCAGACTTCTTCCTGTACCACTGCTTGAAGAAGGTGTCTTCCAGGAACTGGCAGTAGGACTGGGAGTTGAGCTTGACTCCATCCTCAACCCGAAAAGGCCCCACAAGCTCATCTTTGATGATACTAGCCCAAACCAGTACTCCACCTCCACCTTGCTGGCGTCTGAGTCGGACTGGAGCTCTCTGCCCTTTACCAATCCAGCCACGGGCCCATCCATCTGGCCCATCAAGACTCACTCTCATTTCATCAGTCCATAAAACCTTAGAAAAATCAGTCTTGAGATATTTCTTGGCCCAGTCTTGACGTTTCAGCTTGTGTGTCTTGTTCAGTGGTGGTCGTCTTTCAGCCTTTCTTACCTTGGCCATGTCTCTGAGTATTGCACACCTTGTGCTTTTGGGCACTCCAGTGATGTTGCAGCTCTGAAATATGGCCAAACTGGTGGCAAGTGGCATCGTGGCAGCTGCACGCTTGACTTTTCTCAGTTCATGGGCAGTTATTTTGCGCCTTGGTTTTTCCACACGCTTCTTGCGACCCTGTTGACTATTTTGAATGAAACGCTTGATTGTTCGATGATCACGCTTCAGAAGCTTTGCAATTTTAAGAATGCTGCATCCCTCTGCAAGATATCTCACTATTTTTGACTTTTCTGAGCCTGTCAAGTCCTTCTTTTGACCCATTTTGCCAAAGGAAAGGAAGTTGCCTAATAATTATGCACACCTGATATAGGGTGTTGATGTCATTAGACCACACCCCCTTCTCATTACAGAGATGCACATCACCTAATATGCTTAATTGGTAGTAGGCTTTCGAGCCTATACAGCTTGGAGTAAGACAACATGCATAAAGAGGATGATGTGGTCAAAATACTCATTTGCCTAATAATTCTGCACTCCCTGTATATAATGCTCGATAGTCCAATGTCATGTAGTTTCATAATTTATCTATATCTGTCTATACTAAATATCTTGTATTGTACGGATGGACAAAAGTAAAAATAGCGAATTCTGACAGAAATGGCAATTACGTTTTTACAAAAGATAATTCGGGTTGGAATTTGGCCATCCCAACCGAAATTAGAACCCATCGACTGGATACATTTGGTTGAGTCTGGTTTAAAATCTGTGTTTTTCTCTTCTAAACCCTATTCAAAGCAAAGTATAGTATTTGGAATATGTACAAAGTACTAATTTTTAACTAAATAAGGACAAAATGCAAACAACAGGATGCATATTTGCAAATAATCTCTCACTTTGAAGGGTCAAAGATATATATATATATATATATATATATATATACACACACATACACACACACACATTGTTTTCCCCTTTTAAAAATATTTTATTTATGTTAAGAATAGAAGTGAAGAGGGTACTGAAAATACAGAAAAAGATGGAGTAGAGCACTTTTTGTTCACAAAACAAAAATCGACATTTTAAGACTTACAAGTTACAAAATTGTCACACATATGCATGCATGTATCAGAATGTTCTTACACATTCATGTATCATGTAAGGTGGGTAACACAATAAATAAGGGAGAGCAGAGGAGATACAAGGGGGGTAAAAAATAAAATCAATCCTATCCCAGTAGCACTCCATCATAACCTGTTACAAAAAGGTACTAGAATAGTACCTTGTCATAGATATAAGTGATGTTTTACGCTATGTTTACATTTATAGAGACCCCGTTGGACATATTTGCGTACTGGTTCCTGTCATAAGGGCTTCACCCCAATTATATATCTCTAAGAACCTTGTTCCTTGTGGGCCTAGAACATAATATGGGTAATCCTAAATCTCTCCGTAACGGATCTGTGAAGTCTATATTGGTACATAAATATAGCCATATACACACATTATTTACAATAAATGAGGATTGACCAATCTCCATGTGCTCCAAAGTTCCTATGCTTTCATATAAATTGCAGTAGCGGGAAAAAGGCGTATAGGCTCTTTCATAGGTACATTGTTTATATAAATCTGTTAATCTTGGAGGTAACTGGGATTTCCATTTTCTCCCTATGTTCTGCTGTGTCTTTAAAGTAATTTGCACAATCAGTTTTAATTTGTAACGAGGGATTAGCTCTGGTAAGACAAGCAGAAGGTAAATGCTAGGTAGTAAGGTCATATTGCAGCCTGTACTATTTTTAATTAGAGCGTGTACCTCTTTCCAGTATTGCTGCAAAAGGTCCCATGTCCACCATATGTGGAGCATTGTACCCTCAGCATTACTGCCTCTCCAGCAGATAGGAGTGCTTGAGAAAATCTTATGAAGTCTGATTGGTACCAAGTACCATCTATAAAGTATTTTGCGATGTTGTTCAAGGTGTGTAGAGGATTTAATTAGCCGAATAAGAGCCGAAAGAGACAATTCCCATTGTTTCTTTGTACGTGAGCACGTGATCATTTTCCCATTGCCTTGCATATTTAGAGGCAATAAAGGGTACATAATCTGCTATCAATTGATAGCACATCGAGATTGGCGTACATACAAACAGATGTTTCATATTAATGCACATTTGTTCCCAAGTGGAGATAGAAGTTGTAGAGACCTGTAAAGACAATGATTTATCCGAAGTTAGGTAAGATCTTAATTGAAGGTAAGAATAAAAGGACTGAGTGAGTATGGAATATTTAGTTGTTAGTACAGTGTATTCTAACAGTCTATTTTGGTTATATAAATGGTACAGATGCGTTGCACCTAAAATAAGAAAGTGCCACTGCCAGGGTTGCTAAGGAAAAGACTGGTGAAATGCTAATTTTGTGTCTATATTTGTCCCAAGTCTGCAGCAGTAGTTGAATCTGGGGAGGTAGTGAGTGGATTTAGCATCTAAGTTTCTGGGGCACCCAGATTATATTGGTTATACTGTGTCCATTCAGCAGATATGCTTCTATAGTCACCCATTGTGGTTGCGTGTCTTTGAGGAAGTGAGGTGTAGCAGTCACTATAATGGCTGCATGGTAGTAAGACTATGTTCAGTAAGGCTAAGCCGCCAAGTTTTTGGAAGATTGTAGCACTTCCAATATAACCAGCCCAGATGAATCTTGTTAGGTCAGTCTGTATGGCCTTAAAATATGATGTTAGAGTAGGTAGAGGAAGTGTACGAAACACATACACATGCCAACACGGTCATCCCCGCCCACACACACACACACACTGCCATGCCATGCCACTCACACACTGTCACTCCCCCTCACAAAGTCACCCTCATGCACACATACACTGCCACCCTCTCACACGGTCATCCCCCCACACACTTTAACCTTCCACACTCAGTGTCAACCCCTTCATATACAGTGTAACCCCCCACCACACACTGTCATCATGCTCACACAGTCACCCCTACCACACTGTCACCCTCACGGTCACCCTCAAACACAAGCTGTCACTCCCCCACACACACACAGACACACACAGTCACTCCCTCAAGCGCACACACAATCACACACATGCACTCCTTCATGCACACACATGCACTCCTTCAGGCACACACAGTGTCACACTCACAGTCACACACAAAGTGTAACCAAACCTCACACATGTCACCCACACACCGTCAACCCAATAATACAAATATTAGGGATAAAAGAATAAAAGGAGGGTAATAGAATGAGAGGAGAGAGAAACAGTAAGCAGTCAACGAATTAAATTTAAAAAAAAGATACATAGTAAAACCATGAATGGAAATGTCATGCCAAAGCATGAGTTGGCATTTGAACTATGTTATGAGTTGTTTTTGTACATGTTGGGATAACAATCTATTGTAGGCTTTAATCTAACACCAGGCCTAAGCCATAACACTTCTAGATAACCATCACCAGAGCTGGACATAGGATGTCGTAAAAGGTATTGATGCATATGCTCTGACTTTGGGTTACTCACAGGACAACATAATTTAAGGAAATATGGAGTGGGCAATAAACTGCCAGGCCAAACCGCTCTGATCCTCTTAGGGGTCTGCCCACTTAGAAACAACTAGTTTGAGATATATAATGAGGATGTTGGACTATCCAGGGAGAGATTTCTTCTTCTTTTTTTTTTTTTTTTTTGAGATATCTTGTGTTTTCTCCTATTTTATTTTATGGACTGTTTTGCAATTCGTTATCTGTGTTTCTGTATTTTTTGTACACAGCACTGTGGATCCTTTTTGTCAGATTAAATATTTACTTAATCATCTTGTGTCTTTGTTCTCTATGAGCTAACTCTTCTGAGGAAAGCTCAGGTAAACACGTTACCAAAATTGTTAATCATATATGTCTGATCAGTGAAGTAAGGTTGTGGTACTATAATTCTACTGTGTGTGGGGTAACCTAAGACGCCCAGATAGAAAATGGTGGCAGTAAAGTGTATACTAGGGTGTAAGTGTAGAAGGGATTGCAGGGGTTAATTTAGTGGTTGCTGGGACTAGCAACAGGTAACCAGGGGTTTGGTGTCATTAACCCTTTCACTTCCACACTCACCCCACCATCTCGGCTGGGCCAATAGCCCATACTCGTGACAGGAAATGATACCCAGTAAATAGACTGAAAAGATAGAGGGTAAAAGAATGAAAGGGAAGTATATATAGTAAGGAGAAAACAATGAAATAAGAGGACAAACACGAATGCATTAAAAACATATCTGCGACCCCAAGATGTTTAGCCTATTTTTATGTTGGCCCTTACCTACTGTCAAGTTGTGCAGGTCGGTCCTAGATGATTTTATGGGTATTGACCATGTGCCAGAATCAGCTCATGGAAGAGACCGGGACACTGAAATTCTCCACAAAAAGGCCTTCTAGATATATACACTTGACATGTTATCTCCACAGGGGCTTAACAAAATTAACCCTTCAAATCTTCAGAATCTTACACTGACTGTATACCATCTTTTGCAATGCTTTTTGCATTACAGACATGCTTAGTTTTACTAGACATTACATAAACTTCTGATTGCTACACGTTTGTATGTCTGCTCCCTCGTTTCACACGGTTTCTGCTTTTTTCGCTCAATGCGCGTCTATTTACCGCAATTTATTTAATTCTGCCTTACTTTGTACTTAATTTATTGGCCCTCATATAGTTTATCTGCCAGCTAATTGTTTATTCTGGCTGATTGGTGGTAGTATATTGCAAACTAGATGTAGTTCTATTTTGTTTCTATTAACACGTATACCTTTATCACTGAATCATTAATTACCAGCTTTGTTCTGGGCTATTGGTGCTACATAGTTTGTCTGTCCATGCACCTTGATCAGGTACTTTGGGATTGTTTTTACTTTTTACTAAATCGCACCATATCAGCAATGATGTCACCCATTTACCCACTGTTTGGATGACTCTTTCATTTATCGCAATTAATTAAAGGGACACTATAGTCACCTGAACAACTTCAGCTTAATGAGGTTGTTCCGGTGAGAACTATACCTCCCTGCATCCTTTCTCATGTAGACACTGTATTTTCTGAGAAAATACAGTGTTTACATTGAAAGCTAGGAACACCTCCAGTTGCAGTCACTCAGAGTGAACCAGAGGGACTTCGGAGTTGATGGAGGCATAATATGCCTCCATCCACTCAGATCTGCTGTCAGCAGAGCACAGGGCAGCACTGTGCACAGCATCCTGTGATTCAGTATCTCCTCCCTCTGCATGCAGACACTGAGCTTTACTCATAGAGATTCATTGATTCAATTCATCTCTATGAGGAGATGCTGACTAGCCAGGGCTGTGTTTGAATCATGTTGGCTCTGCCCCTGATCTGCCTCTTTGTCAGTCTCAGCCAATCCTATGGGGAAGCACTATGATTGGATCAGGCTACCACATGTCAGCAGACTGCTTGTTTTTCTGAGTCTAACGGCATGCAGATTTACAGCTTTAGACTTGAATACAGTAACATTTTTACTATATTTATGGAGGCATGAGGGGCCCAGGGGGCGCTAGATGGTGTGGTGTTAACACTATAGGGTCAGGAATATATGTTTGTGTTCCTGACCCTATAGTGATCCTTTAAATGTGTTTGTTTGCAATTGACATCTGTCTTTAGACATTGGTCAAAATCCTAAGCAAGTCACACAAAGGGAACAAAACAATAATGAGTTTCTAGGGCTAATTTGAATCTGTAGAGTTGAGTCTCTGTCATCACAAAACCTTTTTTCTTGCTACTATCCCTCCTTAGCCTGTCTATGTTCCCAAAAGTAGAGTTATTTCTCCCAGGTCGATCAAATCTGCCATGCAACTGGGCACGAACAATAAGATGTGTTTCATGCAAACCCATAGTAAACTAGTGGAAGAACTGCAATGAGCTTAGGCACTGCTCATTTCTCAAGGCTATCACATAAGTAAATCTACTTTTCATCTCTATGTTAGCTGCCAGTCAGCAATCCAATTTTGCGCTGAGGAGCCAGGAGCAGAGGAGGACCCGTCAGAGAAAGATGGCAGTGCCTGCGAGGGACAGGTTCAAGGAATTAAATCTCACATTTATCTGACCCCCTGTCCCCCTTCCGGCGAGGTCACCAGACAGTGCCTCTTTAATATTTTTGGGTAAGCATTACAAATCAGTTAATATTTTGGAAAATAGTTTAGTATTTTAATATAATTTTTTTTTCTATTTTAACATTTTGAAAAAAAATATTTCCATCCAAAAATATAATCAAGACGAATGTATCAGTGACATGACGGTTGTGTTTTACCTGAGCATAACCAGCCCTATAAAAAAGTTTTCTGTGCATGTCAACTAAATGTGAACTACATTAATAATAATAATATGACTAATAAAGCTATGGAATTTAGCATTTCCACAATGGTTACGACTGTACAAAGGCTCATTAATGCACAGCTACTCAGGATGAGCAGTTACAGATGTTCCGTGTCTAATTATATCCTTACCCAAATCTGCAGCTTGATTCTTTTGTCATTCCTGTAAATGGTTTTCACTTTGAAATCTATTCCCACCGTGCTGACGAATGCCGGGGTGAAGGAGTCGTCCGCATATCGGAAGAGAAAGGAGGTTTTGCCCACGCTGCTGTTCCCGATAATTAAGATCTTGAACATGTAATCAAAGTTCTGGTCGGAGGACTCTTTCTGCCCGTAACGAGAATCTGTAGCTGATGCCATCTGTAGGGAGAGAAAGACATAGTGATGAGTGGGAGTGTTGAGGAAAAAGCTGTTCAAGCGACTTGCATGTTCAATGCCATGGCAACCAGACCTTGTAATTTGATATACACATTGGAATACTCAATATGACGCAAAGGAATAACATTCTAACATTTTAATTTTATTCTGCTCTGCAATTTAAGTCTGCATTTTACTGGAATGTATCTAGGTCACCTTTGCTTCTGATAGAGGTCTAACTTCTTTCCTCAAAGGAAGCAGACACAACAAGATCACAGAATGATGACGAACGTTGCTTTGTAGAGCATGATGTACACTTTATTGCATATTAATGTTTTTGTAACATTCTTTAGAAAATGAAAAACACTCCCAACCAAGGGTGGACAAATGTGCATTCAGAAAAATTTGGGGGCCGAGAGCTACATTTATTGAATTCAATTTGTGGGGGAAAAAAATTAATAAATAGAATTAGTTTGAGCAAGAGCCATGTCTCCTGGGTTTTTGAGCTCTTTCTTACCTTCTGCCAGCTATGCTGAAAAGCTGCTCCATTAATCACCCAATCTTCTGTTCTGTAATATTCCTTCTGTTTAGCAAGCCTGACATGTATGAGAAAATTAAATGCTGAGGCTGGAGAAGTCTGCATTGAAAGGAACATCGCGAGCACCATAACCTCTACCACATTGAGTGTTTATGGTGCCAATGAGTGTCCTAGCAATCCCACCAATGGTTCGCCATGACTGCTCCCTGCCTTATTGAAAGTCAGAAGCTCTGAGTTCTGACCAAAGCCCAGCAGTATAATGCTGAAAGAGATCGTCTTGGCTCTTAGTACCAGGAGGGAACTGGCAGGGAGTGACTACTTTGTCTACTCAAGTCAGCTGCAAAACTCAAAATGTCTTTGCAACATTTAAAGGAACACTATAGAATTAACAATACAAGTATGTATTCCTAGTGCTATAATGTCACCCTACCTATTTAGGGTTTAAAAGGGTAGTTTTTAATTCTCCTTACTCCCTTCTCTTTGCTGGTCTTGCTGTGGCCCTTCCCAAGGCTGATGATCTCATCCAATGCAATGCTTCCCAGTAAGGAAGCAATGAGAGGCTGGTGCACACGTGTGGCAAAACACAGCGTTGCGGCAATCAAATGCTCTCTATGAATAGAAGAGGTCTGGGTGCTTTCAGTGGACATTAAAGCTGTCCGATGTTTTAATGGCAATAAAAGATAAAGTCATTCCGGTATGTTTGTATGCCTGCGCAATAAAATTCGAACCCAAGCAGCACCCTAGTAGTGCCAATAGCATATGTACCATCCTTATCAAAAGGCACAAAACAAGGGATATGATATATTTCTAACAAACATAATGTAGTACCCAAGATATTAAATACATTTAGTCTTAGGAAAAAAAGAAAAACAGAACATCCTGATAATATATACCAATATACATACAAAAGGATTCATTCTTTTGCTACAACGGTGTATAATAAGACTTTGCAAGCCATACAGGACATAGCATTGATTGCCTACTTTAGTGGCATTAATAGTGGATTAATCAAAGCACTGATTCCAGAGTAAAATTACAAGCCTCCTTAAAGAGCCCCGTTGACACTAATCTCTGGGTGTTGTCCCTTCGATTCTCATCAGCACCCAGAGAACACCCATCCTTTCCACATTCATAATGTTCTCAACCAATCACTGCCATTTGTTGGACAAAATCAACACTGTTAAGTTATAGTAGTTATGGTGCTTGCAGTTTTTTTTGTCATGACAAAAAAAAGTGTGTAGACAGGGCTCAAAATTTCTACTTGCCCACTAACCATAAACAAGTGAAAATTAAGCACTGGCAAGTAGAAATTAACCCCTTGCAAGTGTTCCATTGATTCTCCAGGCTTGCAGTGACCGTTAACATTGCCTTGGCGGGGTCAGCGCCTGAGAGCCATCCTGTTCAGACGCCATTTCAGCTTGCTCTCCTGTAACCTGATATAATCTATGAAATATCTCACTAACAGGGGCTCATCCAAACAAATGAAGCACTCACTCGGATTGATTCCTTTCTTTCAAGCTCCCAAGCAGCCTAGGCAAACGCGCAAATCCAAGGCCTACCGCGCATCGCCACTCCTGGGCCTTGAGGCGATTCTCGGAGTACCGGGAGAAAGAAGCAGGTATCCAGATTACTCCACGCCTAACACAGCCACCGGTACACCTACAGATGGGGGAACACTGGCTCCCTACTCGTCCATGGCAACGGGACTGCCCAAAATTTCACATCTATGACTGGAGCATAAACCTTTCTGACAGCAATAGGACTGACTCCTCCACCAGCTCTTACTACAGCTGGAAATTGCCTGGAGGTCCCTGACGGCAGCACCCCTCTTGGCCCGACGACAAGATGCCCACAGGCTCTTGACACCTGAAACCACTCAGGGACTACGGCACCCAAATATGTTGCCGGCAACATAACTCTTACCAACAAGTTTACAACTCAGTTCCTTTCCATGTATTTTATACTTTATGTTTAGTTTATCTTTACTTGCTTTAGTTCGGCAAATGGGCCAGAAAAAGTGCTTACTATCCTCATGTACATGTTTATCTTGCTGAAAACCACAAAGTTTTGCATGAAAAAGGTGTTAACATTGTAATACTTTTACCTTGTGAAATGTAGGATGTTATTGAAACAAGAAAGCATAAAAAATAAAGAATTAAAATTATATATATATAGATTTAGCCTTGACTGGGGGCATAGGCCTTGAAAGTTTGACCTTTACTGCAGATCAATGGAATATCACCGAGGTCTGTTCTGTTAACACTCGTACAACACGATGTAGGTATCACTAAAGTGTGTTTACAGCTTAAAAGTAAAAAAAAAAAAAAAAAAGTTTTACTTGGTATATGTTATTACAATATCACATACATGCATACAACATATAGTATTTCCAGGAAAAAACTGTAGAGTACAAAATCTATTTTAGAAATAAAATTACTAAAGCTAAATGAGGTATAAGAAGAACATTGGCATCCTCCGAAAGACAAGCACAGAGAAAGTTTTTATAGCAGTAAACTAGAAGTGGTTACAATTACATGTATGTTAGTCCACCCAATTTACAGCGCTATGGAATTTGATGGCGCTATATAAATAATAATAATAATAATAATAATAATAATAATAATAATAGTCAGGCTACAAGGTAGATGAAATACACAATTATTCAAACGTTTCAGGAAATAGCTAGTAGAGAAAGAAAGAAAATAATGTGGGAAACTCCAGTGATAAAGATAGAGTCCCTCACAGAGGCTTACGATGTAAGCAGTGAAATTCCAACAGTAGAGAGGACTTCTCCGGCCTAACTACTGGTGAATCCGATACCACTACTAGTGACTGATGTAGACAATGAAATTCAAACTGTAGAGAGGACTTCTCCGGCCTAACTACTGGTGAATCCGAACACCACTACTAGTGACTGATGTAGACAATGAAATTCAAACTGTAGAGAGGACTTCTCCGGCCTAACTACTGGTGAATCCGACACCACTACTAGTGACTGATGTAGACTATGAAATTCAAACCGTAGAGAGGACTTCTCTGGCCTAACTACTGGTGAATCCGGCACCACTACTAGTGACTGATGTAGACAAAGAAATTCAAACCGTAGAGAGGAATTCTACGGCCTAACTACTGGTGAATCCGGCACCACTACTAGTGACTGATGTAGACAAAGAAATTCAAACCGTAGAGAGGAATTCTACGGCCTAACTACTGGTGAATCCGGCACCACTACTAGTGACACAAAGAAATTCACTACTAGTGACTGATGTAGATAAAGAAATTCAAACTGTAGTGAGGAATTCTCCGGCCTAACTACTGGTGAATCCGGCACCACAACTAGTGACTGATGTAGACAGAGAAATTCAATCTGTAGAGAGGAACTCTCCGAAATTCAAACTGTAAAGAGGAACTCTCCGACCCCACTACTGTAACTTCTGTTTTGCTACTGCAAATCTAAAGTAGATAAGGACGCCATGCAATGTCCTTAAGAAGGTATTAAAATTCAAGCAATTTAATTTTGACCTGTATTTGAGACAGTACAAAAACGAAACGGGTACATAAGAATTCTCTTTAACAGTTAGGGGTGATCAGGAGAGGTAACTTCTTGAAATGTTCTAGAATTACTGCCATTTCAGGCATAGGTTGCTTCATTAGTTTCCAATATATTTAGTCTTTATGCTTTAGACTCAGCTGTTTCTTAGATTTTCTGTGCACACAGTCATCTTGGGCTAAAGTCAAGTAAATGGATTGAACTTGGCGAGTAAAAAGACTCAATAAAAATGTTAATACCAGCAATACTAGCAATTCTTCCGATACGGTGTACAGATATCTTTTACTTTAGCTGAAGTTGCATTTGCATACACTTTAGAGTCTGCATATAAGACAGATAAGCTAGCATTTTGAAAGCATTTTATTTTTACTGGCTGCTAGTTCGTGTTTATTTCTGATTTCATTTAAGAAGAGCTTACATTGTCAGAGTCCCTAATTCACGTCCTCTTAGATTTAACAACTCTGCAAAGTCACTGAAAATGGGAGCAACTTTACTTTACATGGAATAAAGCATGGAAAAGACGCAGCAAAAGTGCTTTCATTAGTAGTTTAATAAAGCCCCTAATAACACTGCAACACTCCAGGAGGCTGATCCATGGGGGCAAGTGTCTACCCAGTTTTTGTTGCAAATTATTTATTAAAAATCTCAATCTCAAGGACTACTGATAAGTGTTTTATAAGTGAAAAACAACATGTCTGTCATAATATCTGCAGTTTCTATTATCCCATTCATTGATAAATATAGATGCAGCTGGTTTTTAACAGGACATGGTATCTCATGGGGTTAAATGGGTAGAGCCCAACACAATGTGTTAAATGTGTGGAACGGTGGAGCTCCACACATCTTTAAACTTTACCACTTGCCACTCTTTCTCTCTGCATGCCTATGTTGTACTCAAAGATACTCAAAAACTAAAAGCGAATGGCTCTGTGCCGAATGGGGAAAAATTATTAGACTGCATGCAGGGCCAATTGTACTGCAAATCTAGGCATAGTTAATAGAATTCATCAATGTCCAGTTTTTAATTGAGGCCCTGAACAAGCATGAATTTGTTTCTGTCAGTCGGACTGAACACCGTCAGACGGTTTAAAGCTAGACCAAATACTGCAAATCCGGACCAGATTTTAAAAAATAAATAAAAAAACATACTATTTGCGCAGCGGGCAAATAGTAAAAAAAATAACTGCAGCAATGCAAAGGTAAATTATGTGCCAGCAGCCTAGCACTTGTTAGCCAGTTGCCACATTGAAATTTAAAGAAAAATAAATAAATACGGGTTAATAAGACCCCCATATTACTATAATGGATGTACTGTACCTCCATATGCCTCTACCTGCCATGCAGCAGTTGGGGGCATGTCTCCAAGATGTTTGGAAAAAGTGATTGGCAAACAAGACATGACCCCATCCCATGGGGATGTGGTCTGTGAAATAATGGGACACATCCCTATGTGTCCCCACCCAAAGCTGCTTTAAACATTCATGGTGCAGGACCTAGTGTGTGTCCACGGATACCATGGGCAACGGGTGAGGGCCCAAACATGGGTGGCTTAAGATGAATAATAAAGTGGAGCCTATTAGGCAAAGGGTGGGGATTAACCTACAGATGACCTACAGTTTTTTTTCCCCTAGTCCCCACCCATGGATGGTGGGTGGCCTAATTAATTATAAACTAGGGATGTGGACATGACATTGTCCCCCACCCTAAATAATAGCATGACACCCCAGGTGGCCATGGGTCAAATCAAAATCCAGGATCAGAATAACCAATTTTTTAAAAAAATAATGAAAAAAGCCTAAATGGAACCAAAAAAAGACACAAAAATAAAATAAAAACAGCACTGCAATAAAAAAAAAAAATTACAAAAAAAAAAAAAATGTTTTAAATCCATCTTCACCCATGGAGGGCTCGCCACATAATGAGTGCTGGGAGTGGAGAAAGTTCTTAAATATGCTTTCCCACGCTATGAAAGCCATCACAAAGCGTGGAAAAATTTCCTCAACTTTGTAATGCTCCGATTGGTTGGCTAGCAAGAGCTCTGACAGTCAAGTCTCAAGAGAAGTCCCACAACAGAATTACTAAATATTGACTTAGAAACCATCCAACAATATGTGAATTAACAAAGAAAAATTGGGGTTGCAAACAGAGGACAGCAAAATACCTTTATGTAATAAGTGATAGAGACCGTGCATTCGCCCAGTTTTTTTCTTTATTTTATGACCTTCAGTATTTGGCAACAAGTAATATGGCGGAGCTGAAAATCCTTGACTGAAGGCCGATCAGATCTGGATCTGGATTACATAACCACTTAATAAAACCGTTTTATTTGTTTGGAAGGATCTCAAATGGTTGTCTCTATGTAGGAAAGGCCAGTTTGTGTAAACACCTGTGGAGAATTTAAGTTTGATAAAAGATATTTTGCAAATGAGGTAATCGTGTATTTTCTTTGATTTATCCTCGTTTGGGGAGATAGATTGATCAGTGTACTTTGGGTGAATCAGTCATGTATGTTGGGGTAGAGTTCCTTTTCTTTTTGATTGAGGTTTATCTATACCTATACCTCTTTGAAAAATAAAAGCTGGCAGATATTTCCCGACATATAACTTTGAAACATCCTTTAATGCAATAGACATTGTTCTATTCTCTTGACAAATAAATTGTTACTTCTGTTTATCTGTAAAACAGTTTTCCAGTATAAAAGGAAGTTTAAGTATTATAACTACTAGAGCTTGCTGTATTGGTGTCCTTCCCTCCTCCCCCTACACCCCCTCTCTCCGGAGTTAGAAGTAGTGGCGAGGAGCAGTGAATGGTTTAACTACATAAAATGGTCACCACCAGGCACCATAACTACTACAGCAAGTGATAGTGGTTATGGGAATTGGAGTGTTCATTTAAAACTCTAAAGGTGGTTTTGTTGAGACTTTGTTAAAGGCACATACATTTAATATTGCTGAAGAGGGATACAAGGTCTAACATATATGATATGAATGTGTTATTTCGGAGGACAATGGATTGGATGTGGATGTCTGTCTAATGAAGGTGTTGATACGCACTGCCTGTAAACAGCTGATGTAGATCAGGTCTAGTACACGACTAGGTGTACAAGTGGGTTTTTTGATTAGCTGGGTAAAACTCATTACTTTCCGGTAAGCTATTTTCAGGGCTACTGTACAAGCCTCAATGCTCTCAAAAAAATAAGAATCTACTATACATGTGCAATCGTGACATCACAGGCCCTGCATTATGAACAAGAAGGATTGGACTGGAGAGTTAGAGCTTCAATTCCGCATTATTAAAAGATTTTAATAGTGTCCACATGACATCACTACCCTGTACACTCTCGCTGATTGCTACACTCACGCTTGTATGGGAGATCATTGATTTTCTGGCAGTTAATTAGCTACTTTCTTGTTGCAAGTAATAGAGTCTAGATATGCAAATGTTTATTTTATTAAATTTTTACTCTTTTTTTGTGTGTGTTTTTTATTTTTTACATGTAAGACATTAAAACGGGGTAGGAGTAATTTCTAGTAGGAATAAATGAAAATCACAATTCATTTTCACTGTAAATGTTCAGAGAGACGCCAAGCCCCCACTTTGTATTTAATTCCATTTAACACTTCCTGTTTCTCACCTTCTTCCTGACAAATTCTCCCCTATCTATATCTATCAAAAGGTGTGATAAGAGTGATGAGAATTAATAGGACTTCTGGTTATGCAGAGAAATGGTGTGATACATCGGATTCCATTAATAAAATAAAGGGAAAAAAGGAGAGAGAAAAATATCTAAATTTAGAAGAAAAAAAAAAAACTTACATGTAGCAGAATTTTTTATTTTTAAAAAAAAAACTCTGATCGGTAATGTTTTTATGCTATTATTTTCATGGTGATCAAGCCCACCATTTCACCCCCCCACCCCCCAAAACATAATGCCGTATTAGTATTTTTTATTGAAATACAAAAAAAGACATTGGTGCAATACTATGAAGAAAATTGTTAAGCATTGTTTCATGTAAAGTGAAATATATACAAAATGCAAAGCAATAGTACTATAAAATAATACAACCTCTGTTAATTAAAGACAATGAATGAACAAAGGTAGCCTGCATAAAAGGGGTAACACATACTTTTTGGCTTACTCCAGCAAAGCAAATATTCTATCTCTAAGTTCTGTGCATTTCGTAAAGACATTCTACAGCGACATTACATCATTATCCTCTCCTGCAACGGTCATCAAAACAAAACACTAAGCCCTCAGTGAATACTAGACTAGCAACCTACTTTTCAACCCTACCCTTACCTATTGTGTCACTATACCCCACTCCCTCTAGCATGTGAGATCGTTGAGAAGGGTCCTCAACCCCTCTGTTCCTGTGTGTCCAACTCGTTTGGTTACAAATACGTGTCTGTTAGTCCACCCATTGTACAGCGCTGTGGAATTTATGGCGCTTTATAAATAATAATACTAACATTAATCTCTTTCTTACAGCACTAATTTGGTCAGGACTTATCCTACAGAAGTCCTGGTGGGTCCAATAGACCCAGGCGGCACCTTAAATGAGGATATAAGCTGGAAACAACCAAATGCTAATCATTAAGCTTAGTCCCAGGTGCATAATCCACAACATTTGGTGGTATCTGGAAGGTCCCACCAAAAGCGGGAATGTTGGGAGCAGCTACACTATTGCTTACAATGTCCTTTTGAGAGGTCATCTGTGAGCACTAACTGTGAGTGACGTGTGCCAGGACCAAGCAAACGGGTAATAATCTGTGTGCTTGTGTTCATGTTAGGGATCGTACGATTATTGACCCAGATGCCATGCGGAGGCAGAGTTTAGGGCAGCACACAGGGTGGTCCCCATACTGCCAATTGTTTCATGGTCTCCAGCACTTTATGCATGCTGATGAAGGATGTCTTTTATACACAGGACTGACACTAGCAGCATGAAACACTCGTTCTAGGTTGCTAATGACCTTGTCAGAGGTGGTGTTACACCTCTGGCATTAACGTTCTGTCTTGCTTTTCTTATTGAAACGCTGTACGGAATCCAACCACTTCAAAGCACTGCAGTGGCCATGGTACTTTAAGTAACTTTTTAAAGAAACACATGCACATATCAATGTCAAATTAAAACATAGCAGGTCAATGAAGCGTCATCTTTTATTATAACCAAAAGAGGTCAAACAGGTCAGACCTTTTCAAAATTGATCTATTTTGTTTATGTCTTGTGAAGCTCTTTGACTCTGACCTTTCCTTCACCTATTATATTATATCTATAATTAAATCCGGTCAGTCACTTTACCATTAAAAACATATCTCCCTTTTGCACCTTTCACATTCAGGATGCGACCAAAATGCTCGTCCAAGCTCACATTGTTTCCCACCTTGGTTATTGTAACCCTCTGCTTAAAAACCTGAAAATTGCTCAAATTGTTCCGCTACAGTCCATAATGAACACCTCTGCAAGACTCAGCTTCCTTACATCACACAACTCTCTAACATCACCCTCTGTCAGTCTCTACACTGGCTTCATTTTTTACTTAGAATCCCACCCAAGGTTCTTGCCCTTACTTACAAAGCTCTCCATAACTGTATCCCTGCTTATATCTCCTCCTTCATTAGTAGATATCTTTGCTTCTCCACCAACCTATTACTGTCCTTTTCTTATAACTGCTCCCCAGTGTCATATCTGCAGGGCTGCCCCATACTTACGGAATGCCCTCTCACACCTCATTAGATTCTCCCATCTCTCCAGTCCTTCAAAAATTCTATAAAAAAAACACTTTCTAGAGAAAGTTACAGGCTCTTCCCTTAACTCCTCACCCCACGACAACCTTCTACTACTATCTTCCATCCACTGTGCTCTCTTTACCCAAACACCCCTTCCATCCTTTCAAGCATATCCTGATCATATGATTCTATGACTTCCCTCTGTGTGTTTGTCCATCTTCCTTTTAGATTGTAAACTAATTTGGACAGGGCCCTCTTGAACTACTGTTTCCGAATGACAAACATGTTTTGTTAGAATGGTCGGTCTTATTTTAGGTTTTGCCTATTGTACAGTGTGTGGAATATGTTGGCACTACATAAATAATTGCAATTGTGCTCCTGGGGACCAATGAATAGGACATCTGCTGGTGGGTGGTATGAAACGCTTCTGCAGAGATATGTGCGGATAAGAGATTAGTGCGGATAAGCACAGATCCCTGGCAAATCCTGATGCAAGGGGTTGATGTGGATAAAGAGTGGCATGTCACTTCCCATGTGAAGAAAGGGTACAGGTTGGCACTATTATCATTAAAACCTAAGTACACCTGGAGATCAGAGAATTTCTTAGTCTAGCCAATTGAGATTTATTTTCATCTGAAATCAACAAAAACGTTGGCACCAAAGACAGTTGTGCAACATCCATGGCCAGTCACTTGAGTTACTTGTGGGGTTCCATGCAGCATTAACATTGTTCTGCTGCACTGGTGACAGAAGGAGAGAGTAAAAAGTGGACAATGGGGATAAAATAGGTAGAGAAACAGAGGTGGGATAGGGAGACACATGGAAGGCTGGTTTGGGCATGGTAAAAGAAAATCAGGTGAGCAGTGAGGGCATAGACATACATAATGTAGTGGTTTGCATGGGCATAATAGAGCACATGGAAAAGTGGAATGCCAATAGGCATGGGAAAACAACAGTGGGCAGTTGGTATGTGCTGTAACAAAGAGGCAAGAGGGCAAAAGTAGAAGGATGCCCAGATGAAGAAAGGATAAACACAATTGTTCGGAAATAAATCACAGTATTGAGATAAAGACAAGTATAAGAGGACATAACAGGAGACTCGAGGGAAAGAAGAGTGGACAGGACATAAGGTAAGTATATACAATTAGACAAAATAAAGGTAAAAGGCAAAAGAAGGCATAGGGAGAGGGAGAAAATGGAGATGTCATGTATTTATAGGGAGAGACTGAGGTGGAAAAGGGGACGTGAAGAAAGCAAGTGAATGAATTGGTAGAAAATTACAGCGGAGGTGCTACTAGTTTTTGTCTTTGTGAGTGGCTGCTGATCAGAAACTCATAGTCAACCTATCTTTAGCTCTCCTACATTAAAAATCCCAACCCTAGTCCTCCTGACCACAATTTCAGATCCTGAAGCATGAATTTGGGCTGATGTGCTATAAAAATATAAAACATTTTGTCACAGCACGGCCAAGGTAGGTTATCAAGAACATGGGAAGAAAGAGATCATTTAACATAGAAAGAGGAAATGGGTGAAAATATGCCCCCCTGTAGTCATGCATAATGTTTCCCCATGCCTACATTGCAATGTTATATTTGATTGTTTCGAATTTCATAAATCTTTTTCACACACCACATAATAGTTGAAAAATATCCATGTCACATTTTCACGCATTGCTGCCATTTACGATGCTGTGCAGTGTCCTATTTAACTGTATAGCGTAAGTAAATGTGATTCTGCATTAGCAACTATACCTAAAGGGTGGTGGGTGGGTTAGTTAAAAAGTCATTGTATGTCAGAGAATGAACACAAGCAGTTACAACACACTAAGCAAGCAATTATTCTGTAAAGTTTGTTTGTAAAGCACTTCACACTGGTTCCAATGCAATCCTGTTTTTCCACCAGCGTAAAAAGAGTATATATAAATGGGTGACATTAAAACTGTATGTGCAGTGCAGCATGAAGAGGTCTTTCATAGTTTTGCTCCAAACCGGTTTTCTGTATATATGTTTTTGTTAAATTCAATTGCAAAGAAGTTACTGCTCCGAGTTTTTATCTATGATTACAGTATTGCATCCGCTTGCTGCTGGGTGTTCAGCACCAACCTTCTGCTATATAATGCAATCATCAGTGGTACTTCTGAACATAGATGCCCAACTCAAAACTGCTGAGACAGTTAACATTACAGGACATCGGGAGGCCAAAAAGTCATGGACCCTGCCGTGATGCCTCAGTTTTCACCACAAGTAGCTTAATCATGCTAAATAGGTATGGTCACTCCTCTGGATTTGACACAATTTACCACAACATTGAAAATCACCTGTTACTTGTTTTTTTTTGTTTGTTTTTTAATATATAATTTTCTACATTACAGGAGGCTTCATATTTTGCAATAGGATGCCTAAGGTGCATGGGGTGGTGAATCACATTCTCTGCACACATGCTACGATGCCCTAGTTATCTTAATTGAGATAGATAGATAGATAGATACATTTATTTTGACATAAATGTAAGCCACAATCATAATAACTATGGCACAATAGCATGTGTGCAGAGAACGGGCCCCACCACGTCTTGAACCCTGAGATCACCTTTCAAAATATTTGCTTCCTGTCATGATTATACTACTGGAACACTAAAGCTTACATAATCTACAATTACAGAAAACATTTTTCAAATGACATCATAATCCAAACCAAAGCAAACATTGGAAATAAAGAAAAATAGAAACATTGTTTCCTTTCTCCTCTTATTTCACTCTTTCAGTGATTGACAGGGAGCCAAGATGGAGGCATCCAGTTGCAGGATAAAGAGGTGTGAATTTCTATATTTAATTTATCATAGTTCACAGATTACAGATTAATTGTATATATAGGGATAAGCCTAATATTTAAAATTCAGGGACAATGAAAGTACCCCTTTAAATTAACCAAGTTTTTGGGGGCGGGGCCTGACCGCCATGTCGAACGGTCGCAAGAGACACGAACTCCACAATTATATGCAGTAAATATTGATTATTGTGTTACCCCTGCTGCCACAAAAAGTTTTTTAAATTACGAGGTAGATCTGGGCTCTACAGAAGTACCGGGGGGCTTTATTTACCGCGACCTCCCATGTGAGAACCAGCGGACTGATTGGTGACAGAGTCCCGGCCCCTCCCCCCTCTCATCTCGGTCCTCGCTACCACACCAACTGTTATCCCGATGCTACTTACCTGACCCGACTCCTGCATGATGCTACCACACCCACAAGCTCCGAGTATACCCAGGATGGCGGATGCGCTCAATTTTCTGACCAGCACCACTCCGCAGCATGAGGGGGCCCACCACTACTACTTTGAACCATCCCTACACCGTTTGGATGCCATATTTGCAGTTTGTAACAGATCTATAGAGATGTGCAGCAAAAGTATCACATCAGTCACAGAGGGAGGTTTGGAGGAGGGGAGCAGCTGTCCTTCGGGCATAGCCAAACCTGCAAATCCTGCTTCTACCCATGCTAGCCCACCTGGGCCGAATGCCACCAGGGGCATGACCCCAAGGCATTGCCCGCATCAGTGGAGCGCTGCCATCTGTGTCTCCCTGAAGGAGAAGGACTGGGACTCTTGCAGCCAACTAGTCCACGGCTTGAAGAAGCTGGCCTCAAGATTGCTGTTGCCTAGGTTTTAAAATGTGTCTATAGTGAGACATAGCATTATCATGAACATGATTGTGGCATGACTTAACTTACAGCAGCTTCATCAGGGTGATATTTTTCAACAAAATTTTGCACTTTAACCCACTTCACACACACATTTCTTTGATCAGTGCACTAGGAATATTTTAACTTCCCTCTTCCTCCTCTGAAGACAATTCCTCAGGTGCCCTCTTTTGCTTCTCCCTCTGAAAGTCTTGCAGTTCTTCTGTGGTGAGTTTGTTCTGGTGATCCTCCACATCTTCATCATTCACATCCAAGCCCATTGATTTCCCCCAGAGACACAATTACCTCAATCTTCAATAACCTCATAGACTGTTTCAGGGAAAGCCTCTGGCCACAATTTATTGTAGGCTGAGTTCATGGTCCTAGAAGACACCCCCTCCCCCCCATGCTTTATCTATGAGGAGTAAACAATGTAGGATATTAAAAGGATTTCTCCAGAACTCTCTAAAAGCGTTAGCTTAGTGTCTGAGGTTACTTCAAAGCACCTTTGGAACAGTGCTTTGGTGTAAAGCTTCTTGAAGTTTGAAATTACTTGCTGGTCCATGGGCTGGATAAGAGGAGTTGTATTGGGGGGGACAAAAACTTCACAGTAATAAAACTGAACTCCATTAATTCGTCCTCTAACCCTGGAGGGTGAGCAGGAGCATTATCCATAAGAAGCAGATCATTGACAGGTAAGTTTTTTTTCTTGTAGGTATTTTTTAACACTTGGCCCAAACACCTTAAGAACCCACTCAATAAAAAATTGCCTGGTTACCCAAGCTTTGCGGTTAGCCCTCCACATCCCCTGCAATTTGCTTTTCAGGACATGTTTTTTCTTAAATACCCTCAGGTTCTCAGAGGTGTTAACTAACAAAGGCTTCAATTTAAAATCCCCACTTGAGTTTCCACAGAACAAGGTTAGTCTGTCCTTCATTGGCTTGTGTCATGGCAATGATTCCTCCTTTGTTATGTAGGTCCTCTTTGGCATTTTCTTCCAAAATGGCCTGTCTCATAACAGTTAAACACTTTTTGGGGAACTAATTCCTCAGTCTCTACATAGACTTTAAATTCCACAACAAATTTCGCCCCGTCTTTGTTAGCATTGGAGACTTCACCATGTCTCACCACACCGTGTATGCCACTTCTCTTTTTAAACTTTTCAAACCACCCTCTACTTGCCTTTAAAACCTCACTATCAGCACTTGTTTCTGGGGTGTTTTTCACAAGATCAGCATGCACATGTCTTGCTTTTTCACAAATTATTGCCTCTTATATGCGATCACCGGCTAACTGTTTTTCATTTATCCATATCACTAACAATTTTTCTACTTCTTCTAGTGTCTGGCTTCTTTGTTTCATAATTGCTTTCACCCCTCTAGCAACATTGGTTCCTTTGATGGCATCTTTATTTTTTAATATGGTACAAATTGTAGATTTGGCCATACCAAACTGTGTTGCTAGATCACACACGAACACCGCTTTCATGTTTTAAAATTATCTCTTTCTTCAACAACTATTGACACAGTTTTCCTCTTGGGTTGGCTAATATCCTTGGGACCCATGGTGAGTTTTTGCAGACTGAATGGAGGTCTATGTGAAGACTTAATGAAATTTATTTAAGAGTTAGTGGAGCTTTATTTGAAGATTGAATTGAACTCTATTTGAAGACTGAATGGAGCTCTGCTGACTCAATGGAGCTCTATTTGAAGACTGAATGGAGCAGTTTGCTGGCAGAATGGAGCTCTACTGACTGAATGGAGCTTTTGCTGGCAGAATGGAGTCCTATTTGAACACTGAATTGAACTATATTTGAACACTAAATGGAGCTCTGATGACTGGATAAAGCTCTGCTGACTGAATGGAGATGATTGCTGACTGACTTGAACTCTATTTGGAGACTGAATGGAGCGGTTTGCTGCAAGAATGGAGCTTTTGCTGGCAGAATGGAGCTGTGCTGCTGACAAAATGGAACTCTGCTGACAATAGAATTGCGATGGGTCATACTAACGAGGTACCAACGAGTTTATCAACAAGTTTACAAACGAGATTACCATAGAGGTGAATGCCGCATGACGTGTTCGGGTACCGAGGATCGTTCGCGTAACAAGACATTTTTCACTCCAAATTTTTGTTTGAATACCGGATTGTTCATGAACAGGAACGTTCGAGTTCCGAGGTTCCACTGTATGTCTAAAGATTTGTTTGTGGCAGTGCTGACAATTATTTTTTATAAAAATAAAAACAATTATTTCAAATAGTAAAAAAAAAAAAAAAACAATAGTTAATTTTACACCAACAAAAGAAGCAGATATGGGAAGGCAGACAGGTGGAATTGTATCACAGGAAATATGACTGTTCATTGATCCTGATTGAACATTTATTAAATCAGAGCTTAGAGCAGGGGTGCCCATAAGGTACATCCCCAGAGGTTTTAAAACTACAACTCTCATGATGCTTTGTCATTCTAAAGCCATGCAAATCATCATGGGAGTTGTAGTTCTATGACATTTGGGATTCTACCTTTTATGGCACCCCTGGCCTAGAGGTTTGCTGCACAATATGTCCGTAAACTCACATACAGGAAAATTTTATTTATCACAGATTGTGATCATTTGAATAGCTTATCAAAAAGAATTAAACTGAGACCAAAGCTAGCAAAATATATCAAGCAGTGGAAAATAGAATGTAAACTGCAGGGCTCCTAACACATCATGAACACACTAATTTACAAATTAATGATGCGTAGTACATTTCCGTAGGTTGTTATGTTAATAAATAATTTCTATCAGCTGGAATGAAAGCATCTCACTTCTTTAAACATTCTTACTGGATGTAAACATTTACTTTGAAAAGATTCATTGATTCTCGAACAAAGAACTTTGTGTCAGTAATATGACTGCAAGGTGTCAGCTCAGCCATGTGACATTCTATCCCTATCTCAATGGAACACCCCAGGGAAGATTTCTCTTTATTTTGTATGCATTAAACATTAAGAAGAATTGAAAGAAAAATGTCACTCCTGTACTGCATGGTTCTTCATCACAAAAAAAATATGGATGCAACATACCACGCCATTGTATGGGTGTGCACTGTAAATTAGTAACCAATGACGAAAGAGAGAAGGGGATTGGAGGCGGTCTGCCCTTTGTGAGTAGAGGCAAAGGGGTATATCTGCTTTTCGACCGAGCAAGTCCACTTCTACCATATCCTTGCTCGCAAGTGTACCAAGCAATAGGTGCCTGCTCTGGTGCCGTGCTGCGGATGTCTGTGGCACAGGCGGTAGGGGGGCTGCTGGGAGCTCTCTGCATTAAATTTCCCAACTCCCTTGTGCATCCTGTACTGATGCTGGAGTCTGGGTAGGACGGCACCCTAGTCCTACATCAGTACAGAGGTGCTTTGAAGGTAAGAAAAGAGAGGCAGGGGAGACCTCACTTTAAAAAATAAATAAAATACAAAAAGAGAGTGTATATTTGTATATGGATACATGTACATGTTTTTCCTCTGTTAATTACAACTACAAGATTGTAAAAGAACTATGCCTGCCTCTATGCTGTGTTGGTGTCAAAATTAAAAAAATAAAGCAGACAGATGTGCGTTCTGGTCTTTATTGTGCAAATGGGCAGCCTTTAAAAAAAAAAAAGAAACACACCAGAAACAGGCACATGGAGTGATATATCTATACCAAAAAATAAATAAATGAAATAAGTAAATTGCAACAGTAATAGATTCATAGCAATAATAAAACACATATTGTACATTAAGATACCTCACATAAAACAAATGACAGCATAAATGAGGTTTAGGTGCACCATGTACAGGCTCCATTCTTGACTATTGCCTAAAAATGTGTTCTGTTGAGGATCACTTAGTATATTTCAAATGTTTTAGGAGGAGTTAGAATTTGATAGGAAGGAAAGGAAGGAGTGGGCAGAGGTGTAAAATACATTAAATATGTCATAGAGTCTAGAAAAAGCTGGATTTAGAGTTGATTCTTTGTTTTGTTGGATACAAGATGTAGAAGCAATATTGGTGAACTCCATGCCATCTTTGCTTATATATGATCTATATTTGATAGGAGGGTTGGCGGAAGAAAGGCTCCGGCTGGTTGGGTTGTCATCTCCCTAGTGTGAATGCAGAATGGTGGCGGGTGGGCGAAGGAAACTCCTGCAGCTGGTGACCCAGTTTGGGGTGCTGCTCCTTACCCGGTGCCCGTTCTGGTTTTGTTTCACGTGTATGCCGAGCGGGCAGAGGCAAAGGGGAAGCCAGATATCCCTGTTCCATATCTCTATTATTATCTGGCGGCCTCTGTAATCTGTGCCAGTTTCATGTCTTTTGGCGTTAAACGGCGCTGGTTTGCCTTAGGATCGGCCATGGAGCTGGCAATCGGCACCTACGCTGCCCACGTTGGTGGATATGTGCATTATGGAGACTGGTTGAAGGTCAGGATGTATTCACGCACCATTGCTGTCATTGGTGGCTTCCTGGTTTTGGCCAGTGGTGCCGGGGAGATATACAGACAGAAGCCACGGAGTCACTCTTTGCAGTCCACTGGACAGGTCTTCATAGGGATCTACCTAAATTGCATGGCGTATACCTTGCAGCATAGTAAGGAGGATCGCCTGGCGTATCTAGAGTTCCTGCCGGGAGGTGAACCCGCCCTGCAAATCGTCTTTATCCTATTTGGGATCTTGGCTTAATCTTTCCTATCTGGGTATTACGTGAGGATTGCTGCCCAGGTTCTAGCAGTGCTGCTTCCTCTAACCCTACTCCTCGTAGGTGGCAACCTGAACTATTGGCACACTAACAGACGGGTGGAATTGTGGAACAAGATGCGACTCATTGGACAGAACATTGGCATCTTCAGTGCTGCTGTCATAATAGCCACGGATGGCTGATATGGATGCTCCACAAATCACTATAGGTGATCTGACCAACAATCCCTGCAAGAATACCCAGTTCTTTGACTTCTGGATCATACAATCTAATCATTCTATCGACACGTCTCATGCCGTCAGAGCCTTAAAGAGCATAATCAGAACACTAGGAGCAAAAATTTATTTTTATTTATTATGTTAAAAAATAAATGTACCTTTGTGTAAAACCAAACTGCACCTTTTTAAAAGCATGTTTGTTTATTTTACTGTCAGAGTAAGAAGTATGGACTTTGAGCATTTCAGTGTACAGAAATGAACAAATTAATAGTCCAGCTTGGTTTGTGAAAGGTAGAAAAAACATGACCTAGACCAGTGGATAGGCAACCTTCGGCACTCCAGATGTTGTGGACTACATCTCCCATGACACTTTGCCAGCATTATGGTTCTAAGAGCATTATGGAAGAAGTAGTCCAAAACATCTGGAGTGCCAAAGGTGGTCTACCTCTGACCTAGATAAAGCTGTGAGTATTTGGGACTGCCATTTTCACACAGCAAAGGCCTCTATTTAAGCTTTCCAAGTGATTCAATACCGTTTTAAAATAATTCCAAATGATAAATCTACAGAAGTCAACATTATAATGATTGGGGAGGTTTTGTATATAACTCATTTGGAAAGTTTTTCAAACAGTATTGAATCATTTGCAAAGCGTATTAGATCAAGGCCTAAGTAAGGTCTCATTCACTTTTCTTTTTTTTTCTCTGGACAATCTTTAGTTATGCAAAGATATGACAAATGGGAGATGCAACAGAAAAACTAGAACAGAAAAAGTGAGGGACAGACATTAAGGCCATTGGAGAAACAGATATAAAATAGAAAAAAGTGTTTAAATGAATAATAATAAAACAGAATATAGAACAAGATTTGAATGAGAAAACAAGCAATGGGAGGGAAAAAGCATGTGAGGAGAGAGCGAGGGAGTTCACCACACCAGTGATAGTAAATGATCCACATGTTTGGGGGGGGAGGGGCTAAAGCAAAAATCAATGCTTAAAGACTTACGTGTGCCCATCCTAGCAATATATAACAACCATGAGAACTATAATTCTGAATATTTATCTGAACAGTTCTACAATTCAGCGGTAAGAGCTTCCATTTTATACATCTCCTCTGCGGAGAACATCCACTGCTGGAGAACAGGAGCAGCCTCGGATTTCCAGTGATGAGGAATAAGAATATTAGTTGCATTTAGTAGATGCTAAGTAGGGGGTATTTTTTATTGAGAGCGATAAAAAACAAAATGGGGGTTGATGGAGGTAAAATAAGTTCCAGCACTCCAAAAAGTGACTATGCAAGGTCTAGTCCACTATATATGCAAAGCCATGCGCCAACCCAGTGGCGTACTAAGGGGGGGCGGTTCGCCCTGGGTGCCACCAGGGTGGGGGGTGTCATGACCCTGGTCTGGGGGCTGGAGGGGGCTGTGTGAGCTGTGGCAGCACAGTACCCCCCATGTTAGTTAGGGTGCCAGGCGACCAGAACAGCTCTCACATGCTAAGAGCAGCTGAACTGGCCGCACGGAGGTAAAGTGGGGGCGGAGCTAACACAAATCATGGGCGAAGCCAAACCGGCAGCGGAGGTGGGGCTTACTAAGGCCCTTACCGGTTACTGCTACACATGGAGGTGCAGTAAAATGGAACCTCATTCCCTGCTTCTCCACAGGCTTCAGGGAAGGACGACAGGGAATACACTCCTCCTCCAGCCCACTGTCTGTAAGTAAGAGTGTGTATGACTGTGTGTGTAAAACGGTCTGCCTGTAACTGTGTGTGTGTGTAACTGCCTGTAACTGTGTATTCGTGTGTGACTGCATGCCTGTAACTTTGTGTGTGTGTCTGCCTGTAACTGTGTGTGTGTGTGACTGTAAGTGTGTGTGACTCTCTGCCTGTGACTGTGTGAGTGACTGTATATGTGACTGTCTACCTGTAACTGTGTGCGACTACCTGTAACTGACTGTGTGTGTGTAACTGTCTGCCTATAACTGTGTGTGTGACTGCATGTGACTATATATGTGTGACTGTCTGCCTGTGACTGTTTGATGTTGCCTGTAACCGTGTGTGCCTATCTGCATAGGCATGGGCACGGGGTGTGCCGGGTGTGCCTGGGCACACCCTAATCCCTGCGGCACGCGCTATGTGCCTCCCTCTGTGGGCCGGTGAGGGAGATCAAAGATCTACCTCACTGGCCCACAGCAGCATGGAGGGAGGCAGAAGAGGACCCAGGGAGCTCTAGACAGCAGCTCTGCCAGGATCCTCTCACAAGATCTGAGCATTGCCACGGCAACGCTCAGATCTCTCGAGAGTGAACTCTAACCCCGCAGGATGCGGGGCTAAAGTTAACTCACCACTGGACTACCAGGGATGACAGCAGCACGGTCCCCCCTCCCGACATAAGGTAAGAAGGGAGGGGGGATATTAACTAAATGGCCCACCCACCTCCACACAATACACACAAACAGCACCCTCACACATACACACACAGCACCCTCACAAACAAACACACACAGCACCCTTACACACACACACACTGCCTGCACACACACACACACACACAACGCCCACACATACAGCGCCTTCACACACACACACAGTAGTGTGTGTGTGTGTATATAATAAGCAGCATGTTTGTGCTTTAGGGTGCACACCCTTATGCAATGGGCTGCGCACGCCTATGACTATCTGTCTGTGACTGTGTGCATGTGACTGTCTGCTGCTGCCTTTAACTGTGTGTGTGTGTGTGTGTGACTGTCTGAATGTGACCGTGTGTGTGTGTGTGTGTCAATGTATATGTGACTGTCTGCCTGTAACTGTGTGCATGACTGTCTGTGACTGTATGTGTGACTGTCTGCATGTGACTGTGTGCGTGTGACTGTCTGCCTGTAACTGTGTGTTACTGTCTGCCTGTAACTGTGTGTGACTGTCTGCCTGTAACTGTGTGTGACTGTATGCCTGTAACTGTGTGAGTGACTGCCTGCCTGTAAATGTGTGTGTGGGGCTGCAGGGATTTTGTAGAAGGGGCAGGGGTTTTGTATTTGGACAGGAGTGTTTATAAGGGGGGGATAAGCAGGGGATTTGTAGACGGGGGGCAGTACAGGATTTGTAGACGGGGCAGTAAAGGATTTGTAGAAGGGGCGGGACAGGGGTTTTGTAGGAGGGGGCGGGGCAGGAAACGGGTTTTGTAGGAGGGGTTGACAGCGTTTTTGCAAAGTTTACAAATTGTAAAAGAAAAAAGAAAATTTTTTTACAGGTTCTTTGCTCTAGGTACGCCCCTGTGCCAACCTCACTATGACACCACCAACATGTATCCGGTATCTCATCGGGAATACTCTGAAGAAGCGAAGGAAACCGGTACCACTGCAAAAGCTCTGCTTTTCAGCTAGAAACAAATGTAAGGGGGCTATGGTGATAAATGTGTGCAACAGTTAACATAGACATGCCCCTTACCAGGAATTGTCCATTCAAAAACAGTAAGCCTCTAGCTCGGACTCATCCAAAGTCCTGTAATAGTATGTTGACCAAATCGGAATTGTTCCAAAAGCCCGGCAGGCGAAACATGTATTTTTACAAACACACACAAACACGTCTTCTTCTTAAGAAAGCGTAGGGACGCTGAATACAAGAAATATTAGGGTTATACGTCAACAAAACCATGGGACCTGGGATGAACATGTCTTTACTGAGTGCCAAATTGAAAGAGTGGCCCCTATCATGGGGAGAGTCTGTAAGTAAGGTGCGTGCCTGGGATCCAACCTAGGTTGGGCTGGGAGAAATCCCTCAGTTTATTCCAATTTAAGAGAGATTCTTTGCACGTTAAGAGTGGGGATGTGCCAATCTACCAAGTGGAGAATATGCACGGCTCGATAAGTTAAAACAGATGGTAAACCCATCCCTACATGACACTTAAGAGTCAAATTGTCCTTTTTAGGTACACAGGTCTGCCAAAAAGAATTTTAAAAAGAGGATGACGAAAAAAAAAAAAAAAACTGCTTTGAAATCTTAATCATAACTAATTACTATTTTTTATTGTGAAGGAGGTGGTTTCAGTCACAAATTTGAACAAGACTCTTCCAAAGCAAATGTAAGCAAATGAAAAGATGGCTGTTTATTAACCCTTTTCACATAGGTATATATTAATTTAAGCTGACAAGGTGCCTAAGTCCACCAAGTTCAGCCTTTCACATTAAATTTGAACACACGCTGAGGAAAACTTAATTCTTGACTACAAAAATGCTGCCAGATTTCTCCTTGCATCAACAAGCATTACCCCACATATTAACTATTTTACCCTCGAATATTCTGGATTTCCAAAGAAGCACCTAGATATTGTTCGGAAACCTTTAGAGAATCTGATAAAACCACTTTAGGCAGAGAATTCCACTTTTATATTATTCTTACAGTAAAGTACCCATTCTTCTGCTGTAAGGTGAAATCTCCACTCTTTAAGTCTAAATGGGTAACCTATTGTTTTTTAGGCTGTCCTATTAACGAAAAGATTACCAGGATGGTGGTGGCCACACTGCATTAGTGGGAAAGCAGCTAATGGAGCTAATAATAGACTGTCTGGTCAGACATCAGCCGCTGCCAGGTGCCCAACCTAACAGTCCTGTAACTGAGATGTCGGCAGCTTCCCCTCCAACAAACGGCCAAGCTAGTCATTAGTTTATAGACCCCCAACTCTAAGGAATCACTGAAGAGAATAACTTGTGTTAAGGTTCCTTTAAAAACCTCCACCACCACTTGGGGAGAAAAACTCAAATATTCCCCTAAAACAAAACGGAGCAAATATGGGTGTGTTTACATTAAAAAGCCTGCAAAGACAGGCTGTAGTCACCAAAATCACTACATTAAGCTGTAGTAGTTCTGGTGACTATAGTGTCGCTATAGTCACAATTGGATGTTATTTGAAGGCTTTTCCCACATCACTTTAATTTTCCTATAAAGAAAGTTTTCGTAAAAATCTTGTAAAGAAAGTGTTTACATTGCTGCCTAGGAACACTTCTAGTGGCAGTCAACCAGACGTCCACTAGAGGTACTTTCTAGTCCATGGAGGCACTGAACATTCCCCATAGAGATGCATTGAATCAATGCATCTCTATGAGGAGATGGTGGTTGGAACAGTGCAGCTCTTTGCTGTGCATGCAAAATAGCCTCCCAATACTTTACTATGAAAAAGCATTGGATTGGCTGAGATCATCAGGTTCATCTCAGCAATGGAAGCAAAACCAGGTAGGTCGAGCCATGGTGAGACCGGCAAAGCGGGTGGGAAAAAAGCGAGCTTAACCTTTTTACCGCACAGAGGGGGTGGCTGGACAACTAAAAATAGATATTTTAACATTGTAGTGTCAGGAATACATGTTTGTGCTTCTGACACTATAGTAGTACTTTAAAAACATCCCTTGAACCGCTGTATCCAATGAAAAGGTGGCAGGCTATGCAGACAACTTACTCCTCACCCTTACGGACCCAAAGCACTCACTACCACCATTACTTAGCGCACTAGCACAATACTCCACAGTCTCAGGCTACCGACTGAATCTAGACAAAACAGAGGCACTACCGGTACAGAGGTAAAAACCCTGCACGAACCAGCCAGGCTCAAGAGATAGGTGGACCTGGAGCACGACCTGTTCGGCAGGGACTTCCCCTCCCTATACATCTGGCTCCCAAAACAAGCAAGGCCCACACCCCCTCAGACAACCTCTATCAAAATATAGGACAAACTCGCACAACAAACCCGTCCCCACTAACCCCAATTCTGCAAAATGCACACTTCGAATCGGGAATGAACATGTGCAATTTTACCCATTATGAAGACAATGACCCAACACGAATATACCGGTTCTACTGAAACCACTAACTCATCCTATTCACAGACCTGTCACATAACACACCACTTACTACCCACGATTACTTTTGTTACATACAAATCAGAAACTTCCTGGACACCACCACCTACAAAACAGCAGAACAAACCGCCCCCATGACATTCAAAAAAGTATGCATTCAAAATCAGGTACAAAGATGACAGATCTCATTGATCTACTCCCTCTTGGTCCGGACAGCCCCGGACACACCACTGTCATATGTCATGTCTTGGTAGAGGGATCTGGGACCCCCAGAGGACCCTACAGACTGCAGGGATATTTGGGAAGCCACAGCAACTGTCACAGTCTGCATCACCCATTATGAGCAGGCTTATAAAACATTTATGCGGTGGTACCACACACCCCTAAAATTTAAACAGATGGGAATATCTACAACTGACCTTTGCTGGAAGGGTTGCGGCCAAAAAAGAAACATATTACCACCTGTGGTGGGAATGCCATCAATTAGCTCAATTGTGAACGGAAATAGCAAACCTTGCTTCCAAAATCTTACACACAACCATAGTTAAGGACCCCTTGACGTGGCTATTATCCAAACCTCTGAAAGACACGCCCCAAGCACAAAACAAACTAATAGCCAAAATGTTGTTGGCCACCAGAAGAGCCATAGCATCACACTGGGGGGTTGGCGACAGTCCTGAGTATAGGAGACGTAAAAAAGAAAATAGACGACAGTAGTAAAATGGATTGCCTGACAGCCCTACTCCATGACACGACCAAACACTGTGACAAAATTTGGAACCCATGGCTGTTTGAGTTCCCCATTCCAACTTAGTTGCCGGGGTCCGGCTGGGGTCATGGCATCGGCTACTCACGCTACTACCCTAAAAAACAAACCAGCGATACCTACCGAGGTTACCAACAATGACTAATGGATCGCCCACACATTTTGCCACCCCTCGACTCCACACACTTCCCACCCAGACCCCCCCAAACCCCAAGGTAAAAGTACTCCACTTAACTAAACACTACTATAGACAAGTCACTAACGCCATGACAGCACCCAGAAACAAGGGCATCATGGGGATCTCCAAGGCAACATCCTCATCGCATCATGGCATGACCCCCAAGGACCCTTCCCACCCTCCTCATAATCAACCAAATATCCACAGACAACACCAGAACGAAAATACACTAACAGCACAGAATACATGGCCAGTCGTCACACCCAAAATGGAGCCCAGCACAGAAATACCAGATACCAGATGAACGGAAGCAAGCACAAAACCGTCCTCAAGTGGACAAGGCAAATACACAAAGACCATCAACCCTAGTTATACCTAACCCAGCTTAATTGTTCTACAATATATTAAACAAACCAAGCTGCACAGTCCTGTAATAAAGTTATACACTTTCATTAGAACCAAAACCGACATAATACAAGGATTGATTGCACTCTTACCTCGAAATGACTAAGCAACTGTATTGTATTCTATACTGTTACATTATGTTATGCGGTCACATTATTACAAACCCTCCCTGTTTGTTTATCCAATTTTTTAACAAATGCTTTACTCGGTACACATCCACCGACCAACTGTATTGTCTTTCAAAACGCAAAAATAAAGATTTTTTTTTAGAAAATACTGAACAGTGTGGAGAATAGATGAAGATGTTGATTATTTACAGTCCCTTTGCAGAAATGCAGAGACAAAATGGAGTCTTGGCAAAAACGAAAAAAAAACAGAATATGTTTGGGAGGCAAGGGGTTAAACCAGGAGGTCTACCACCACAAAATAAAAATGAGGAAATACATGACATCAATTCTTCTTCTACATCTCCCCAAAACAGAGGAAAGGGTCTGAAAAACTAATTGTGGCGTTTGAAAGCATGCAAATTCTTTGGCCCAATAATAACACTAAAGAAGATGATCTTTAACCCGGCTAAGGCTTAATAACCTCTTCTTTGCAAATGAAATACATTAGTAGGACTAAATGGAACACTATTATTGGATAGAATATTAGATCTCGAGCATTTACTATGCTCTCTACTGGCTGTTGTCATTATAAAGGAAAAAAAATGTCCCTGTGCATCATGAAATCTTACCTTCTAACACAGTTATGTGAAATAATTGTAATGTTGACAAGCACACATCCAGTTGCTTTACTGGGAGAAAGAAAAAGAATGGATAATCTAGCGTTTGGGATGTGGCAACCGCAACATTTCTATTTTTGACACACACCAAAGACAATTCAGCAGAATAATGCTTCAGTGGGTAATTGCAGCCTAAGGAGGATCTTTAGGGAGACAAATTATATTTCACTGGCAAGAGAAGAAAGGTCAAGAGGTAGAAACGTGCCAGCTATTAGCATGCATGGAGTCACTGCTTCGCCTTTTACAATATTAAAATTCAGTAACGTTCGTCAATAGAATTAATGGCACAATTTGATTCAAACCTTTGGGCAATAGAGCAATACATTGCTCATTCCTCCAGCACTATAAACAGTTAAAAGATGTTTGTTGGCTCCATGAAAATTATTAATAGTACCCCAATTCCTCATCTTCTCAAATACCATAATTTGGCTAACAGAAACACAAATTAAATTAATGTCTTCTAGGTGAAGAAGAAAAAGATGGTGACCTGCTAAAGAGGAGCTTGAAGTCATCGGACCACTACCACCATTTTATGCATCTTACATATCATGTCTGGATGTCTCCTATATAAGGACAGTGTATTAAAGTGTAAAAATGGTGCAAGAGGGAATCCAGTCAAAATTAATAACAAAAAAGAAACACTCAACCCACCATTGTAGTAAAAAAAAAAAAAAGCACTGATGGTACGGATAAAAAAACAAAAAAAAAACACATAAATTGACTTGCAAAATGTAGATGGCAGTGAATAAGTTACCTCAATGCTTAGAGATGGAGCAAGGAAGAAAGTAGAAAAGCAAGCAAGAGAAGGATATGTTAATCACATTCAACATGAAAATTCTGGCCAAGGACCAAAAGGAGAAGTACATTCAATATTCTGCAGAATCTAATTATATGCTTTCCCTGAAGAATTGAGTCTTGTGTAATAAGATGGACCACTTTGTGACTGGCCAATCGGCAGTCCTCATATTGTGTCTCTTCTATCTTTTAGAAATTATAATAAAGGTTAATCTTAATAACTATATTGTTTATCTAGAATGAAATAAAACATGATGAGAATTTGTAGATCAGCAAGCAATACGCATATTTAACCCTGTGCTGCAAGGCTGTAACAGAGACTAATTAGCAGAAGCAACATAGGCAGCAGGGTGCGTTGGGAAAAATAATGAATTTTGAGTGGTGGAGGAGTGGTAATTACTTTTTAAAAACTGACTGGGAGCTATAGGGTATTGGGGTGTTCATCTACAAAAAAATGCAAATTGCAGAGATCACAATTTTGTGTTCAGAAAAAAAAAGGGAAATAAATAGATTATGTCTCGCTCGCCGCACCAGGGATGGGAAGCAAGAAGAAGAATTGAAGAGATATTGATCATCTGAGGTATGACGGTGGTCCTGATAATGAATGCATACCATAACATGCTAAAGACATGTTTTGCAAAGATGGTCATGAATTTGCAGTGGAACAGCAGGTGTATTGCGCAATCACATGGGATTTTAAAGCATATATTAGGCAGACACAGTGTGATATCAAGCCAACTGGCGTGACATCACAAAGAAGGACAAGGGGAGAGTGAAATTTAAAGATTGTATACGTGCATAGTAGAAGGGACACCATAAAGAGATATATGATTAATTACCACTGAGATAACGGGCAGATATATATATATATATATATATATATATATATATTTATTATTGTCAAAATAGTCACAATATATTCAAATACAATTCAGAAACCTTGCTTAGACAGAATTGAAAACATGTACATTGTGCTATACAATGGAAGGAGAGACTGGTTGTACTGGAGAGATATTTGCATGAAAGGACGAAAGATGTCAAATCCATTTTTTTAATACAGCAGCATTTTCTTTGAAAGCAGATTAACGTGTTCGCTTTTATTTATTTTGTCTGTGTTCTGGGAACCCCTAAAGTCATCTAACATTAAGGCAACTTAATCCATTAAACTAAATTTAAAGAAAATATATATAACCTGCATCGCAAAAAAGAACTGCTTTAAAATTGTGAATTTTGTATAAAAATAATGATAATTAACAGTTTCATAAACCAATTTAGTATTCATAGCTCAGAAACCCCACTTTCACTCTAGATTTCTGTATTAAACCTTAAATGCTAAAAGGCAGCATGTAAGAATAAATTCTATGGCAGGGAAAGGTCAAGTGGATTTTAAAATTAATTTGATTCAAAAGATGAATGAAAATCTCATATATACAAGAATGTGCAGCAAGGTCATATCTGGGGCATAAATGAACCCGTGATATTTATATATCTAAATTGTATGAAGTGCTGCCAATTGGATATTCATAGTGTAACTTACATAAATAGCAAAGCTTATCATGGAATCCACCTCAAGCACAGAATACCAAAGAGTATTGGTTAATGATACGAAACAGGAAGACATCTTTACTGCAACTCATAAATTCTCGACACCATACAATTAGAATTCACAAGGATATAATGAAAAAAATTCAAATTACAAAAAATAAATAAATAAATGTAAGGGTTTTAAGCACTTCTTCTCCATCACCACGAATATAAAAACCACAGAAATGGTTTATTTTTAATACAAACAGACATCCATAATTCTGATTAATATCCATCCATGTCAGCATTTTACATTGAAACTCAACAGAAAAAAAATGTTTTTGAAAAATGTAAAAATTATAAAATGCTCCAAATGCAAACAATTACTGCAGTGAAAAAAAAAAAAAAAAAAAAAAAAACACCACAGACTACAAGTATTTTTATGTGTGGGCCCTGACAGCTGGAAATAGCCCTGATACACATGAGATGCCTTCAACGACAAAACAAATGTAACATGTTCCTTTAAAATGGCAATTCAGCAAACAAGATAAAATGTAGCTATGCAACCAATACGTAAAATAAACAAGAAAAAAAAAATGCATAGTCTATTCATTTAACAGCATCAATAATTCAGTTTCCTTATTTTAACACCTATGTTTAAAAATAGATCGAAGTATATTTGATACCATACATTCTTAGGGGAATCACAAAGAAAGGTTGATAACAGACAAGGGACACATTTCTCACAGCTCCCCATTTGCTGCTATGAGAGGCAGTCTCCCACTAAAACCTAGATATACCCTGGGTTGATTAGTGCAATTCTTCAGGGTATTTATTGTACGAATTCTGCTTTAATCTAACCAGTTAAATATTTTACTGAAACAATTCAAAACGACACACACACACACACACACACACACACACACACACACACACACGTTACCACCATCTATACTTAAAGACAAAATGTAAAATGATGAAGGCATACATCTCATCTATAGGTAAATAGCATTTTTATTCCTTGGGGTTTTTTTTGTTTTTTTTTACATCTTGCGGTGACCGTGCCGTATATATTACTGAGTGAGGGTCACACAGATGGTTTGCAGGAAAAAAAAAAAAAAACAACAACAACTGGTTTATATGGATACTGATCAATGAATCAACATTTTCTTTCCCTCCCCCATCATCCTTCATCACAGCAAAAAACAATAATAATAAAAAAAAACCAGAGTAAATATAGAGGGGGAGGGGGCGGGGGGCTTCGTTATTACTAAGCCTGTGTATAAAACCATATTTCAGCAAATAAAAAAAGCTTTAATAGCTGGATAGTAAATGCTGATTGTCAGACACAGAATGCAGCAGCCAGCATCTTTTCAGACAAATGAAGGTTAGACCATTCCAGTTAATGCAGATGGAGCCATACATAGATTAATATATAAACAGGTCAAGGCTGGTTTCTGGTACAAATACATTGTATTGGGGTAAATGACAGGCTGCCTGGCAGAGAGGTAAATAGATGGACTGAATGTCTTACCTCTCTGTGTTTTCTTCAGCTCTTATTGCACCAATGCAGCAGCTCTCTCCCTGCACCTGCAGAGCACAAGCTGACGTCGTTTGATTGACAATCGGAAAGTGGTGGTGGGCGTGGTTTGTGGAATCACCATCTCGGTCCCCTCGGTGGAAAAGGACAGGAGTGATAGGAGCTCGATGTTAGCCAATCGGAAACCGCCGCCTGGGTAGAGCAAGGAGGAGGTGGGTTTTAGTTTCCATGGCGACAGTGGAACGTGAAACGCCTTAGTGTTCTTTACTCCCTAGTTCTTCCCCCTCCAACATGGAAGGCTGTAAATAATGGATGGGTTGGGAGAGGGCTGAATTTATTTAAAGGATTGTGAAACAGCGCTGCTTAGTTAATGCGTTTCAGTCACGAAATGCAACAAGCATCCTCTCTAGGGAACGGCAGTCTTAGCACCAATGCGCATTTTACGGATTTTAGAAAATCTTACCCTGAATAGACATAAAAATAATGCAATGTAATATAGGGGTATGTTATTGGTAAGATATACAATCCTCTGCAATGATGCCAGTAAAACACAGTTTGCCTTGGGTGCAGAGTATTACCCCCTTTTTTTTTCTAGCAGCCACATTTTTAAAGGGACACTATAGTCACCCAGACCACTTCAGCTCAATTAAGTGGTCTGGGTGCCAGGTCCCTCAGGTTTTAACCCTTCACATGTAAACATAGCAGTTTCAGAGGCACTTTTGTGATGTTGGATACCAAATTTGCATGCAACATTAAGAAATGCTTCCCTATGGACTGTTAGAATGCACACGCGGCTCTTGCTGCGCATTCCACTCCACTCAGGAGTCGGCGGGGGAGGAGAGGTCACCAGCGCCGAGGGAGCCCTGCACTGGATTAAGGTAAGCTGCTGAAGGGGTTTTAACCCCTTTGGCGCCACGGAAGGGGGACCGTGAGGGTCCCCCAAGGATTACATAGTCTCAGGTTTGTTTTCCTGACACTATAGTGATACTTTAAAGGTTCATGCCTTCTCTGTGTTTTAACATAACATAGGTATTGAAGAAATGTGTTTTATTAAAGCAGGATTGTCCCCTCACTAGCCCCTCAAAAAATGAGTATTTGAAATACTCATTATGAACGCAGTTAAAAGATATACTGAGACACTACAACCACTACGCTGTCTATGAACGGTCTAGCATAGTGGTTCCCAAACTTTTTAGGTTCAAGGCGCCCTTAATATTTCAGTATTTTTCCAAAGCTCCCCAAGTCAAAATTTCTAGGTTGCGTATCTGTACAGCACTGCAGCATTTATTGGCACTATAGTGTAATGTACAGTGTTGGTGTTTGAAGGGGTGCTTGTATATAGTTATTGTGTTTTAATACAGGGGTGTGTTTGTATGTAATATTTGCGTTTGATTGCAGGGGTGTGTCTAAATGTAATGTTCACTTTTAAATGCGGATGCAGACATTTGTGTGATGTATTTGTCTTTGAGTGAAGGGGACTGTTTGTATATTTTATTTTAGTTTGAATGCATGGCTGTGTGTATGTAATATAAGAGTTAGATTGCAGGAGTGTGCTTGTATGTTGTGCTGGTGTTTGCTTGGATGCATACACTACCACATACATACTTACACAGCTATTCATGCACATTAACACACAGATGCATATAAATACACCGATACCTACACACAAATTCATATAGACACCGAACTATACACACATGCATCCTGACACACACAAACATTGATACCCACACCATGACACAGATACACACACTGACATAAAAACACACACCCTGACACACAGATGCACATACACAGAAGCACATATATATATATATATATATATATATATATATATATATACACACACACACAGAGATGCACACCCTGGCACACACATACACTCCTACTCACTCACACTTAAACTCACACACATACAAACCCACACACATTCAAACTCATACACACATACAAGTAATTATTATTTTTTTATATATCTCCAGCCACCCTCCTTTCAGCTTACCTTATGTGCCAGGAGGGTAGCTTGGAGTCCTGCTGCTGTGGGAGTGAGGGGTCCAGAGCTCTTCATGCTCCTCTCCCCTTACGTTGCGGCTGCCTCCTCTCCCTCCTGCTCTGTCTCCCAGCCAGCCGACATTACAGGAGTCCGGTCATAGTCTTAAAGGACCGCGGCACTCGACCGGGCCCCTGTTCAGCAGTAATGTTTCCCCAGAGCTATAATCTTAGCACCGGGGAAACATTCCGTGGCACCCCGTGTGCACGTCCCAGGGCGCTGCAGCACACAGTTTGGGATCTAGCGGGATCCTCCATAGAGAAAAATGCTGTTCTCTCGCGTATGCTTGAGACTACAGCAGTGATGTTGGCTCCTGGTGTTAAAGTAGACCTACCGGGAGAAAATGGGGGTGTCCTCAAGGGATAGATTTAGGTAATATATACAATAGATACAAATACATCAGTGTGTAGGCAGAAAACACACCTAGTGGGTAATAGGTGAAAATACACAAAAAATACCCTTATTTAGTAGTGTAGTAGATGAAAGGACTCCTCATATGTCCTCAAAACAATATTAGTATACTCCCAAAAGACAATCTACAACACAAAAATAATAGAGACGGACATAGAGTAGTAACGTAATATAATGGGGATTATAGAGGTAAATGATTACACTCACAGACCCAATTTGATTGAAGACATATCATAAATGACGATGAATAAACTTCAGGACTTGTGGAACGTCAATAACATGCATAGGAGGAAGAAGAAAAATAATAGTGCAGAGTATCTTAAATAAGAGTCACACAATTTATTACAAGATACACTTACAAAAAGGCAGTATCAAAAAGGCACATCAAGATCTGCTGGAACTGCAACCCAATAGCAGGATCAAATGAGCAGGAAAGCCAAATAAAATACACTTTTAAAAATATACAAATAAATACTCTGTACATAAAACGGGCCTGTTTTATGTACAGAGTATTTATTTGTATATTTTTAAAGTGTATTTTAAATAATTGAATGTGTCCAGTTTGGGTACATATCCAGAAATAATAATATACCGCATATAGGGCAAAAAACTAAATAGGACACTAGCTAATATTGCACTCACAATGAACCAAAGTATTTGGGATTATCTCCCCTTAAGGGGTATTTCTGCTTTCTGATTAAATCTTCATTCCCGGACATATCCATGGCAGCACTACAGATGGGTATAGCTCTTCCCACTCCCAACTTGGACAGGAACATCTTCTAAGTCAGACATAGGCAACCTTCGGCACTGCAGATGTTTTAGACTACACCTCCCATGATGCTTTGCCAGCATTATGTGTGTAAGAGCATTATGGGTAATGTAGTCTACAACATATGGAGTGCCAAAGGTTTCCTAGCCTTGTTTTAAGTAAACAATAAAAAGAGGTTCCATCCCCTACATCCAGGGCCGATTTTAACGTGGGGCAAACGGGGCCCAGTTACTCTTGAGTGGCCAAAAGCAGCTACCCTGTGTGCCCCCTGGCAGCGACCCTACCTCATGTGCTTCGGTACCTGCTGAAATAAGTGGCGAAATAAGATTACTCCGGACCAGGCCCCTGTCCTGTTGCCTGCTGGGAGGAAGTGAGGTCAGATCACTCCCTACCAAGTAACAGGGTGACGCTGGGCAGGAGGCACACACAGGAGGAGGAGATCGACTGAGGAAGTCAGACTCCAATTAGCCTGGGCCATCCAGCTCCCACTGGACCCCAGGGATGCCACCCTTCTGTACCCAAAATGTAAGGAGATAGGAGGGAGGCTAAAATATGTAAATTGATATTTGTCAGTAACCCATTACTTCTAAATCTTAGAGTCAAAAGATTTATTATATTTCAATAAATTGCTGTTATTTTTAAATCAACTGTGCAATGAGCAATTCCATTTTCTCTTCCCTTCCCTCTTTTGTCTTTCCATATTTATGAATTGGATACTACACAGATTTGAGATACCAACGTTTATTCTGGACATTATAAGACCGACCCCCAAGTGGTTACACAGGGGTTGTTACAGTTACTGAATTTCTATACAGTCTTTATTAATGCCACAGGCAGTGTGGTCTGTATCTGTTATTGTTGCAACTAATCACAATATCTTAGGGGTGGAAATAAGTGGACTTATATCAAGAAGCCTGTAATTCTGTACTCGCTCATATAGAGATCTTCATGAAGACACCAACTATGCTGTGTAAAATACCGCAATGTGTTCCATGTCCTGTTCCTCTAACATCTATTGCTACGACACCCATCCATGGAAAAAAATAGGAAAGTATTGAGGACTTTGTCATGAGCATTTGTTTATATTGGATAGAATGTCAGCAGTCGGTGCTTGAATAAGTATAAATGCATTGTGACAGACATCTGGGGATCTCTCAAGTACCACTGAGGCAATTTTACATTAGAAGTATCATAGTTCTGATACATATATGCTGGCAATACTGCAAACACCTTCTCAGTGCTTGTAGGGCCAAAGGTTAGACATTTTGTCCACTTGCCTTTTGGTAACTCGTAGTGTCTGCAAGTTTTCTCAAAGTTGCAGAGAACACAACATTTGTATTTCTTTACATAATGTTTGAGTGGAGTGGAGTGCCAATTTAAACTAATTTTCTCAGTCTATTACTCTTTCTCAGTCTCCTGGTATTGGAGTGAACATCCATGCTTGAGGATAATCTGATCCTAAATGTAATACACTATTAATCTACCTTTCCATTCCCATTTTTAGATAATGCATATACTCAAAGTTTGCATTATTTGGTCATTCAGACTCCTTGAAAAAAAACAGTCACTAGTTACAGACTGCTCTCATGACAAACTCCATCCTTCTCATCGACAAATAAATTGACAACTTGTTCTGGAGAGATTGTAGATCTCCTGGTAACTGTTGTTATAATCCCTGTCCTATATCTTCACAGGTGTCAACTTTGATTCTAGACACGGCCATTCCTACTCTTTTATTTCTATATTCTATTCATCTTGGCCAGTGTAATTTGGCCATTTAAGATGTTTATCATTTCCACACATCCCCATCCTCTGGCAGAGTCATGTTCATGAAAACCAATGATAGAGCCTATATCTCCAGGCTATGGTGACTATTCATGATATTTTTATCTTCTAAGTGCATTCCTGAATTTAATATTTTTTTTATTTTAACTCAATTTGTTATTGATGATCCCCTTATCATGGACCTTAGGCCTGGTGTATTTTTCAACCCTGCCCTCTGTTTTGTTTATTAAATACATTTCCCTGTTCAAATGCTTTATTATTAAAGATGTTCCATCAGCACCCAAGGCTAGTCAATCTATGCTTCTATCCATTTCTTCATGTCCCTTTATTCCCTAGTGAGATCCTCGCCTATAATTTGCATGCTTGGTTGTAAAAGTCTCTGGACTCTCACAAAATCACAATGAATCAATAAAAAGCTTAATATTATAGTAGTTTTGGTATGCTGTAGAATATTTATCTACTAAGCACAAGGCTAAGATCTGCTCCAGTGACAGTCTGGAGAGCATGCTGGATGCGTCCTCTCCTCATACTGTCACTGAGTTGTAGTATGGCTAAGCAGTGCCGCCACTTATGGATTTCATGTTCCTCTGCCGAGTCAGTAACTGAAGCTCTGAGAGGCAGTACTCTTTTAGTGGCTTGATGACCCTCTATCCACACACATCACCTGCCACTTGCTTGAAGTTTCACTGACTAGACAAAGAATCATGCATAGATGTTGACACTTGTCCCACTTGGCCATGCAACATGCTCACAGTGGGTTAGATGGGTCAGGAGAGATACAAGGGGTGAGAGGGCTTAGGAGAGACACAAAAGTGGTAACGTTGGGAAACAGTGAAACAAAGTAGAGAAACAAAAGGGGAGGAGGAGAGCGATGCTATATATCAGAAATTAATATGTCAGTTTAACTACATGTGGTTTGAATTACATAATTTAGTAACACTGACATGTAATGTGAAATAGGTTGCATTTTACATGCTTCCTGATGCTGTAATCCAAAATATGTTTCTGTCTGTTTAATTTTGTTCTGGGAAAGAGCTGTACCTTTAAGTACAATCTCTATTACACTGAAAGAAAACTCTGTCTCTTACTGAGAAAGTAAGATAAGAGGATTTATGCAAAGCTTTTAAATAAATTTACAGAGTGTCTTACTAGGAGGAGGAGAGGAGCAATTGTAATATATCATTCAGGCTTATATTTGATATTTTGTGAAGATCGAAGCTATTACTACAATAATAAAGATCTAATTAAAGACAAGTTTAACTATGTAACTATGTAATAAACCAAAAATTAACAAATTAGAGACACATATGGTTATTCACTACAGTAAGAATTAGAAGTGAATTTCAAATTAAAGGTTAAAGCTATGGCTACTGACCAAAAGGTAAGATTCTCAATTGCTGTACATCTCCCACAATCAGGGCCGGCTCTACCTGTAAGGCGACCTAGGCAGTCGCCTAGGGCGCAACTTAGCAGGGGGCGCCGGAGCCCTGCACCCGGAATCATCGGTGCAGCTCCTCATGTTGCGCCGCCTGAGCGCTTTAGCAAGCCTCAGGAGGCGCAGCACTGCTGTATGGAGGGCGGCCGGATTTGAGTGACTGGCAGGAGGGAAGCGCAGAGTGCACCCTCCTGCTGGTCTCTTAATGTAGTGTAGCCAGGCGGCGCGGAACACGGGACAGGAACCTGTTTCCTGTACCCGGCGGACTGACAGGAAGTGCTCACTGAGTGAACGCTTCCCTTCAGTCTGCCGGCGGCCGGGTACAGGAAAGAGAAGTTCCTGTCCGCGTTCCGCGCCGCCTGGCCACGCTTCATAGGAAGGAAGAGGAGAGTGAGGATCACCAGAGGAGGGGAAGGGGTGGGGACTAAGGACCACTGAGGGAGGAGGGGGGGGAAGCTCCACTAGGGGTTTGCCAGAGGGAGGACCACTAAGGGGGAAGAAGAGGACCACCAAAGGGGAGGGAGGACCGAGGGAGGAGTAAGGACCACTGGGAAGGTCCACTAGGGGTTTGCCAGAGGGAGGACCACTAAGGGGGGAAGAGGGGAAGGACCACCAAAGGGGAGTAGGGGGGAGTGAGAAGACCACCAAGGGGGGACTGCAGAGGGACAGGGGGCCAAGGGAGAGCACTAAGGGACAGAAAGAGAGAACACTGAGGGACAGGAGGGAAGGGGAAATCACTAATTGACAGGAGGGGAGAGCACTATGAAAAATTTAAAAAAAATAAAGAGCTGCTCCCCTCTTAGTCCCTATTCTACCCCACAAACCCTCTCTTTTACACTACACACATACACAATTCTTCCCCACACACAGAAACATACAATGCATCCCTGCTTACACACACACACACACCCAGAAACATACAATGCATTCCTTACACACACACACTACATCCCTTACACAAATTGGTATCCCTATACACTACATTCTATAAGAACACACACACATTACATCCTCTAAAATAACACATAAAACATCCCCTACACAAATACTCATGGGTGGGCCATGTAGGTGGATTTATGGGTGGGCATTGTAGGCATACTCACGGTCAAGCCCTGGGGGCCCAGACCTTGAGCTGTGTAAGGGGCCCCAAAAAATGGCGCTGCTTCCTGTTCGTTAATTGTTGTGAGCATTGTTACAAACAGTCTCCAGAGAGCCTCTTCTACACCAGACCTGTGGAGCCAGACTGAGCCCATCATCAGCCTCTTGTCCTCATCTGGTTGTAAG